CGGTTTCCTGTCTCATAGAAAATCCTCGGTTTTGACGTAAACCAATCTGTAAACCAGTTAGCAAACCAGCAAAACCAACCAGCAAACCAGCAAACCATATCCATAGTAGAGCTGATCCGTTCACATCAACATCCTCAAGATTAGCTGAACACTGGAAGCCTTTTGTCCTCTGTCTATTGCATGGAACTGATAAAGTTCCACGCCTCTTTTCTTTACGACCCTCTGTTCATTACGAGTTTCTTTACTAGTTCTTTACTATCATTCAGAAAAATAACGATACAGGGTGCGGCAAAAGCTCTGACACTTTTTGTAAACGGGCAGTTTGACTTTGAAAAAACGCGATTTTTGAAAAACTAACACCGGATTATAAAAGTTCAGATATTTTTACCCCCTAATATACTTTTTTACACAAAAATTGCCATCTAAACAACCTTTTGATGAGGATGTTTAAAGGTCGTTACAGCAGTTTTTTTTTTTGCTTTTGAGATTTGGGTGCCCTTCGTAGAATCGCTTGAAAATCTTTCGTTTTTGAGTTATAAAGTTTTTTTTGTGGCTTGTTTTCAAGAAAAAAACTCAGTTCTATCAAATGGTAACAGCAGTTTTCGGAAAAAATTTCATTCTGCAAAGTTTAAGTCAACTTTCGCAAAAATCTTCAGCGACCAGATCGGGATATAAAAAATTCTCGTCAAAAAGTTATTGAGAGTTGAAATCTTTTTATGAAAATGGCTATATTGGGGTGAAACTACCTAAATTTTTAGAATCCGGCGTTAGTTTTTTGAAATTCACGGGTTTTTGAAGCCAAAAAATGACTGCTTACAGAAAAAGTGTCAGAACTTTTGCCGCACCCTGTATTTCATATCCACGAATAGTATTGTATTAATCCTAATATAATAATAATATAATTAATATTAATTAATGTATTAATAAAGTTAATCCTTAGGAAGAAGACTCAATTTCTGTACAGATAGCCGCCAATGATGCGGTATTGTTGCCTATAAAACCTTGATTGATTTTCCCCTACTAAACCCACTCCCTTCCTTGATTCGATCCTCATAAATTACCCTTATTTTTTTTACCCAATCTAATATCTAACATCTAAAATCGGTACCTAAAACTGGTACCTACGACAGTTTCTTTGCGGTGCTAAACTTTTCGTTTAGGTTTTCCTGACAAACTCAGTGGATCCGATTCAGTGGAAAATTCGCGATGTCTCGCATCGAGAAGGCTTCGTTCCATCGGTCAGTTTATAGTAAATAGTTCGTACTAACACAGCAAATAGTTCGTACTGCTGGCTACGGATTTATTTGTAGTTACAGTTTGTACTTATACTGGCCTGCTTATACTGGCCTACTTACTGGCCTGTTTATACTGGCCTACTTACTGGCCTACTGGCCTACTTACTGGCCTACTTACTGGCCTACTTACTGGCCTACTTACTGGCCTACTTACTGGCCTACTTACTGGCCTACTTACTGGCCTACTTACTGGCCTACTTACTGGCCTACTTACTGGCCTACTTACTGGCCTACTTACTGGCCTACTTACTGGCCTACTGGCCTACTTACTGGCCTACTTACTGGCCTACTTACTGGCCTACTTACTGGCCTACTTACTGGCCTACTTACTGGCCTACTTACTGGCCTACTTACTGGCCTACTTACTGGCCTACTTACTGGCCTACTTACTGGCCTACTGGCCTACTGGCCCACTTACTGGCCTACTTACTGGCCTACTTACTGGCCTACTTACTGGCCCACTTACTGGCCTACTTACTGGCCACTTACTGGCCCCTTACTGGCCTACTTACTGGCCTACTGGCCTACTTACTGGCCTACTTACTGGCCTACTTACTGGCCTACTGGCCTACTGGCCTACTTACTGGCCTACTTACTGGCCTACTTACTGGCCTACTTACTGGCCTACTGGCCTACTTACTGGCCTACTTACTGGCCTACTTACTGGCCTACTGGCCTACTGGCCTACTTACTGGCCTACTTACTGGCCTACTGGCCTACTGGCCTACTTACTGGCCTACTTACTGGCCTACTGGCCTACTGGCCTACTTACTGGCCTACTTACTGGCCTACTGGCCTACTGGCCTACTTACTGGCCTACTTACTGGCCTACTTACTGGCCTACTTACTGGCCTACTGGCCTACTGGCCTACTTACTGGCCTACTTACTGGCCTACTGGCCTACTGGCCCACTTACTGGCCTACTTACTGGCCTACTGGCCTACTGGCCTACTTACTGGCCTACTTACTGGCCTACTGGCCTACTGGCCCACTTACTGGCCTACTTACTGGCCTACTGGCCTACTGGCCTACTTACTGGCCTACTTACTGGCCACACTGGCCTACTGGCCCACTTACTGGCCTACTTACTGGCCTGCCACTTACTGGCCTACTTACTGGCCTACTTACTGGCCTACTTACTGGCCTACTTACTGGCCTACTTACTGGCCTACTTACTGGCCTACTTACTGGCCTACTTACTGGCCTACTTACTGGCCTACTGGCCTACTTACTGGCCTACTAGCCTACTTACTGGCCCACTTACTGGCCTACTTACTGGCCTACTTACTGGCCTACTTACTGGCCTACTTACTGGCCTACTGGCCTACTGGCCTACTTACTGGCCTACTTACTGGCCTACTTACTGGCCTACTGGCCTACTGGCCCTACTTACTGGCCTACTTACTGGCCTACTGGCCTACTGGCCTACTTACTGGCCTACTTACTGGCCTACTGGCCTACTGGCCTACTTACTGGCCTACTTACTGGCCTACTGGCCTACTGGCCTACTGGCCTACTTACTGGCCTACTGGCCTACTGGCCTACTTACTGGCCTACTTACTGGCCTACTTACTGGCCTACTTACTGGCCTACTTACTGGCCTACTTACTGGCCTACTTACTGGCCTACTTACTGGCCTACTTACTGGCCTACTTACTGGCCTACCTACTGACCTACCTACTGACCTACTAACCTACTTACTGGCCTACTTACTAGCCTACTTACTGGCCTACCTACTGGCCTACTAACCTACTTACTGGCCTACTTACTAGCCTACTTACTGGCCTACTGGCCTACTGGCCTACTTACTGGCCTACTTACTGGCCTACTGGCCTACTGGCCTACTTACTGGCCTACTTACTGGCCTACTTACTGGCCTACTTACTGGCCTACCTACTGACCTACCTACTGACCTACTAACCTACTTACTGGCCTACTTACTAGCCTACTTACTGGCCTACCTACTGGCCTACTAACCTACTTACTGGCCTACTTACTAGCCTACTTACTGGCCTACCTACTGGCCTACTAACCTACTTACTGGCCTACTTACTAGCCTACTTACTGGCCTACTGGCCTACTGGCCTACTTACTGGCCTACTTACTGGCCTACTGGCCTACTTACTGGCCTACTTACTGGCCTACTAGCCTACCTACTGGCCTACCTACTGGCCTACTCATCCCAAGGTAAAGTAAGTAAGTAAGGTTCTCCAGAGCAAAACCAATTTTTGACCCTGGCTAGTTTAAAGTCTTTAAAGTTTAAAGTTTAAGTAGGTAGGCCAGTTTAAGTAGGTCATTATAAGTAGGCCCGTATAAGTAGGCCAGGATAAGTAGGCCCGTATAAGTAGGCCAGGATAAGTAGGCCAGTAAGTAGGCCCGTATAAGTAGGCCAGGATAAGTAGGCCAGTAAGTAGGCCAGTAAGTAGGCCAGTAAGTAGGCCAGTAGGCCAGTAAGTAGGCCCGTATAAGTAGGCCAGTAAGTAGGCCAATATGGACATTAATCATATGGAAAATATGGTTTTGGTCTTATTATTATCATCCTGATCTAGCAATTTCGTCAGAATCAACCTTGTACAACACCAAGTACAGTACAGTACTAGTGTTGAGTGTACTCGATTCATTTCTGCTGTAGATAGCACAGTAATGGTATCAGTTTCAAGCGTTAAACCCGTCTTTAGGTCGTTTTCCGTTTGCCGCCTCCTGATCAGCGTCTGAACGCGCAACTCGTGCGCTTCATCCAGAAATTCCAAAAATTATCCCAATTGTGGACGGACAAGCATCGACACGTCCGATTTCATCTTGTCGCCAATACGATGCGATGGATACAGTAAGATTTCGCTCAATTTTAAGCTAAAGGTCTACCATTTAGAGCTGCATTAGTTAGCCAGGTACAGTACCATAAAATATAACTAAACCTGGTGGATCTAGTGCTACAGTATACTGACTACTAGACTTGTAACAAAAAACATCTCTTGGTCCTACGGTTTCCCTTGTTTTTCTCGGCATCAACGCTTCTATTTTGACTATTTTGACTATAATTCGATGCAGAATGAAATTGCGCGTCGAATGATACCAAAACCAACTCAAAATGCAATATCCATGCAAAGTTATTGGCTAAAAACCTAAACCCCACTCATTGTGGGCGGGGCTTAACTTTTTGCCTCATAACTTTGCGTGGATATTACATTTTGAGTTGGTTTTGGTATCATTCGACGCGCAATTCTATTCTGCATTGACTGATAGTCCAAATAGGCGAAATAAAAGCGTTGGTGCTGAGAAAAAGACGAAAAACCTTAAGTTGTCAATGGAAAAAAGGACCAACAGATGTTTTTTGTGACAAGTCTATTATAGATACACTTTACTTGATTCAGCATACTGTACGGGGATTGTAAGAGTAGTAATTACTGTCGATCAGATTACTGTAGATCAGATTACTGTCGATCAGATTACTGTAGATCAGATTACTGTAGATCAGATTACTGTAGATCAGATTACTGTAGATCAGATTACTGTAGATCAGATTACTGTAGATCAGCTTGCTGTAGATCAGATTACTGTAGATCAGCTTGCTGTAGATCAGCTTGCTCTAGATCAGATTACTGTAGACAGTATTCCAAAGGACTTTCACCTTTCATCTTAGTCTAACAATGCACAATCTGAAATCTGACATCTGACATCTGACGAAGTAAACCAAAATATTTCCAGAAACTGGAATGTCGACGATTTTATGGATTTCGGTGATGAGAAACGGGCAAAAATCTTGGGAGCACTCGACGAGGATATTGGTGAGTCAAAAAGCTAGTCATTTTTGGCAAATTAAAGCTCTAGTGTACGGTAAATGAAGTCGTTTTTTAGGAAAACTCGTCGGCGAGCTCGGTCCGAATGATCCATTGTCATTGAATCTGAGATCGGATCTCCGACAAACAAAAGACGCTTTCTATCAACTAGAACAACGATCACAGAAGACACCTGGTAAGTGAAGAAAGAGTAAGGTTTGGCTACAGCACAAGGACTCTGAACTGTGCTCTGGACAGAATTTGGCTGTCCAGAGCTGTCCAGAGCTTGGCTGTCCAGAGCTTGGCTGTCCAGAGCTTGGCTGTCCAGAGCTTGGCTGTCCAGAGCTTGGCTGTCCAGAGCTTGGCTGTCCAGAGCTTGGCTGTCCAGAGCTTGGCTGTCCAGAGCTTGGCTGTCCAGAGCTTGGCTGTCCAGAGCTTGGCTGTCCAGAGCTTGGCTGTCCAGAGCTTGGCTGTCCAGAGCTTGGCTGTCCAGAGCTTGGCTGTCCAGAGCTTGGCTGTCCAGAGCTTGGCTGTCCAGAGCTTGGCTGTCCAGAGCTTGGCTGTCTAGAGCTTGGCTGTCTAGAGCTTGGCTGTCCAGAGGTCCAGAGGCCCAGAGGCCCAGAGGCCCAGAGGTCCAGACGGTCCAGAGGTCCAGACGGTCCAGAGGTCCAGAGCCAGACGGTCCAGTGCCAGTCGAGTGCCAGTCGAGTGCCAGTCCAGTGCCTTCTTTCGTTTCTCTTCGTACTTTTGTTTAAAAAATTCTAGAGCCCGACTTCTCTGAGCAATTCGATCAGCAAATGACGACGATTTTGCGGAAACTTGATGACTCTTGGCGGGTTCTAACTGATCGAATCGGCCGCCCCGTTGAACGATCCCTTGCCGAGCACGATCAAACTTTAGAAGAACACAAACATTTCGAGGAATCACTTCATTCTTTGGACTCCGATGTATCAACTGTCAAAGGACTCTATTCGCAAATCAGTGATCCAACGGCCGCACAAAGGGTTTGTTCACCTTTTAGACCTAAAATTGATTGTGGTAAACACTTTGGTAACTGGTAAACAACTGGTAAACAAGCAGTACTTTGCCATTCGCCATAATTTGCCATGGCAATCCAACTTTGAGCTTAAATATCTTGGGATTGGACCATCCAATTTGAATACTTTTTATACCAATCGATAGAGAAAGACTTGGCGCATCTAATGATATCGAGAATATTTGAATTGGACAGCCCAACACCAAGATATTGGAGCTCAAAGCTAGATTGGCAATGGGAAAGGAGCACGGAGCGCAAAGCAAATATATATTCACATTTCTAAAGCTTATCCGGCACAAAAATCTTCTTGAAAGCCCAATTGATATTCAAAATCGATCCCTCCTTTTTCCTTTCCACTATTTAAGAAAGAGAATTTGTATTTAATTCCTCTTTTTAATCTATTTCTTAATTAAAATTCTTTATCTAGACCATTGCCCATTTTTTCGCAAAAAAAGTCGCTAAAAAGTCGCTAAAAGTCGCCAAAAGTCGCTAAAAAGTCGCTAAAAGTCGCTAACAGTCGCTAAGAGTCGCTAAAAGTCGCTAAAAGTCGCTAAAAGTCGCTAAAAGTCGCTAACAAAGTCGCGACCTAAAATTGAGTCCCTCTTTTCCTAGGGAGTCTCATCGGCGTCGTCACATCTGTCTAACACACAGAAAGTCAAATAGGCAAATCATTTTGCATTATATATTTTCCAAAAAGTCCCCTAAAATGGTTTAGTTTAAGTTTCTTTATCACTAAACACAAAAAGCAAAGAAATGCCTCTACCCGGGTTCGAACCCGCGAGGTGTAGAACTGAAGCCAAGCACACTAACCACTAGGCCTCGCCTTCACTTTTTTCCAGCTGCTTGATTTGTGGTTTGACTATTCATGATCGAGAAAGCCACCAGCGAACAACGAAGCTTTAGCCATAGAAAATTCATAACACCCTTTTTTTCCTCCTCGGCCAAGCGGTCTCGTGGTGTAGTGGTTATCACATCTGTCTAACACAAAGAAGGTCGACGGTTCGATCCCGCCCGAGATCATTTTTGATTTCTTTTTCTGATTTAAGATGGGGAAAGCTTAAGATGGAGATTTTTAAGTATGGCTATGGCTTTTCGAAATCGTTAGCTTCAGTTTTTCAGACGATTTTCAGACAATTTTCAGACATTTCAGACATTTGAGACAAATTTCAGACATTTTTCAGTTAAACCTCGAAAAGCTGAAAGATCTTTGGGAAAATCTGTGGGATTTGGCGCGAATGTATGTGGAGAGATTGAAAGTCCAAGAAGCTGTGATGAATGGGACGAATCAATTGACGGAAACGGCGAAAAAGCATGAGGTGGATGAGATTTTCAAAAGAAAACCCGGAAAATCTGCAATTCCCGAACACTAAACCGAGTTTTTGCCGAATTTAACCGAATTTAACCAGCATTACAATATAGAAGCCCTATTTTTTAAACTTAAAATATGACTTTCCTCAGTTGCCCAATGATCTGGAGATCTGGAATCGGGAGATCTGGAGATCTGGAGATCTGGAGATCTGGAGATCTGGAGATCTGGAGATCTGGAGATCTGGAGATCTGGAGATCTGGAGATCTGGAGATGGAATTGTATTTGATGCTAATTTCCTACAATATTTTCCTATTTACAGTAGTTCTAAAGTCGATTTTGTAAATGTTTTGTAAATATTTTGCAAATTTTCAGATCGCTCTCTGTAGCCACGACGATTTGTCAAGCGATTTGCAAAAGATGGCGAAAATTCGCGAGAATTTAGTGGCCACGAAAATGGTTAGCTTTTTGAATTCGAAACTTTTACAGCATTTACTGTAATCTTATCGTAAAGAGTACAAGTACAGTAGTTAGACAAAGCCTAAGCCAGCCTAAGCCAGCCTAGGCCTAAGCCTAAGCCAGCTTAAGCCAGCCTAAGGCAGCCTAAGCCAATCTAAGCCAGCCTGAGCCAGCCTAAGCCAGCCTAAGCCAGCCTGAGCCAGCCTAGGCCTAAGCCAGCCTAAGCCAGTCTAAGCCAGCCGAAGCCAGCCTAAGCCAGCCTAAGCCAGCCTGAGCCAGCCTAAGCCAGCCTAGGCCTAAGCCTAAGCCAGCCTAAACCAGCCTAAGTTTAAGCCAGCCTAAACCCGCCTAAGCCTCACAAAATCAGCTCGCAGTCGTTTCTGAGAGCTTCTACAAAAGTTACAGTAACCCATAAACCTCTATGAAAGTTACGGCAAACCCAAAACCTATCGAACAAGTCATAATTGATACTATAGACGTGATGATTACTGTAAGAGCGATGAAATTGGTGACAGGGAATGTTTAAAGCAAATCATAGAACACTAGGTGAATTGACTACTTGAATTGACTACTAATTGACTTTTAAAAACTGTTAAATAGTAAAGGCTTTCTCATCGTTAAGTCCTCATAAATGAAAAACAAGTACAAGACATGGGGAAATTTCAACCCAAACCGAATTCCACCATTCTCAGCCGTCTCTTCACCGATTTCTTTGAAATTTTGTTTACAAATAGAAATCAGCTTTCTCTACTTGTAGACAAAATTTTAAAGTAATCAGGCAAAAGAGAGCTGAGGAAATGAAGGTGAAATTGACGAATTGACAAACTGTCAAACTGACATCCTGTACAAGAACTGACATCCTGTACAAGTACTAACATCCTGTACAAGTACTGACATCCTGTACAAGTACTAACATCCTGTACAAGTACAAGCACTGACATCCTGTACAAGAACTGACATCCTGTACAAGTACTGACATCCTGTACAAGTACTAACATCCTGTACAAGAACTGACATCCTGTACAAGTACTGACATCCTGTACAAGTACTAACATCCTGTACAAGTACAAGCACTGACATCCTGTACAAGAACTGACATCCTGTACAAGTACTGACAATCTATTACCAATCAAGAAACCTCTTACTAATCAAGAAAACAGATGTCAAGTACAGCAAAATACTCTTCTCCAGCATCGATGTAACCCTCAAAATCACTAATCACCTTTTGATCTTTAGACTCTTGGCCAAGAGCAATGGCTGCTGGACTCGTTGAACGCTCAGGTGGCTGCTTTGAGGCAACATGTCATCAGGACACGCCAACACATTCCAACGTTCGTTTTTAGAGAGTTTCTAGAGAGTTTTTAGAGAATTTTTATCCAATATTTTGTCAGAGCTTTTGAATGGTGTATTTTTAGACATCCTGATGTGGACCATGTCGAGGACGAGGCCCAACAACTCAACGTTCGTTGGGAGAACATTTGTGTACAGGTGGCTTCTTTGGATAAACTTTATCTAGATCTATAAGCCTTTTTAGATCTAACAAGATAGCTAGACATAAACTTAAACATAAAAGATATCTGAGTTAGATGAAAGTTCTCTAGGTAAACACTTCTTTTAGAATCGAGAACGCTTGGAAACGGTGGAGAAAACGATGCAAACGATGGTGTTCGTGCGAGGAGAGCTGCTCAATGAAATGACATGGCTCGAAAAGGTATTCAAAAATGGGACTTACAGTAAACTAAACCTGGCCAAAGCTAGGCCCGGATAAGCTAAACTAGAAATAGATCTATTCGGCCTAATTCGTTCAAAGCGAGGGTCAAGCTACTGGAATCTCCTTGACCCCCACGTCCGACCCTTTCAACTTTTCCATCTTTACCTTTTTCTCAAAATACAAAAGTTTTTCAAATAGACAGAAAAACAGACAGACAGACAAACAGACAGACAGACAGGCAGACAAACAGACAGACGGACAGACAGACAGACGGACAGACAAACAGACGGACAGACAGACAAACATGTAGACAAACAGACAGACAGACAGACAAACATACAAACAAACAGGTAGACAAACAGACAAACAGGACCCGGGGGGGGGACAGACAGACAGACAGACAGACAGACATGTAGACAAACAGACGGACAGACAGACAGACAGACAAACTTTGCGTTTTACAATAAGACAATTCTAATAGCTGAAGTTATCCCATGTTCCAGGTCGAGAAAACGATCGATCAACTGCGTCGGCCTGAGGAGTTACGTTCGAATGAGTTGCAACAGCAATTGGATATTTTGGCTCAAGAGTACTCTCAATTACAGGTACTTTCAACTAGTCATAGGATTTATCTAAATGCACAATGTTTTAGGAAAGAACAGCCGCCATTGAAGCGCTAAATCGCGAGGGTGGAAAGTACATTCGTGAGGCAAAACAACACGATTTGAGAATCGATCAGTACACGGATGGGGTCATCAGAGTGCACGGATCGGGAATAAGGGATCTGTTCACGAGGTTTGCTTTGCAGCTACAGCTACATCTACAGCTACAGTTACAGCTACAGTTACAGCTACGGTAACCCTGAAAGTTCTCCCTTTAGAGCCATTCCCCAGCCGATGAATGGAGCTCAAACTGTCGCGAGTGAGCTCGAGATTTTGAATAAACGCTTCGCTCAACTTTCGTCGATGATTCTCGAGAAGCAAAATCGAGTTCAAATCATGGTGCAAACGTACAAGAGGAAACAACAGGTGAGGCTTATATACGAAAGCGTATATAAGGCGACACTTTTCTTGTAGACACTTTTCTAATCGTTGTTTTTCAGGAAGAAGCCCTCAAAGAATGCCTTGAACGCCAAAAAGATCTTGACTCGGCGATTGCCGGTCTGGGAAATCTCGAACAAACGATTTACCCGACAAAGTTGAATCTTCAATTGAATCAGGAAAGGCCAGAGGATGCGGCTAACGAAGTTCAGGTTTGTTAGATCTCAAGTAGATATATGACAAGTTGGTCTTGGCACCTGGCTTGGCCCCTAGCTTGGCCCCTGGCTTGGCCCCTAGCTTGGCCCCTGGCTTGGCCCCTGGCTTGGCCCCTGGCTTGGCTCCTGGCTTGGCTCCTGGCTTGGCCCCTGGCTTGGCCCCTGGCTTGGCCCCTGGCTTGGCTCCTGGCTTGGCTCCTGGCTTGGTCCCTGGCTTGGTCCCTGGCTTGGCCCCTGGCTTGGCTTGACCCTGGGCTAGGCCTGAGCCAGAATTCTGGCCTGCTTGGGCTTAGGCAGCTTTTTTGGCAACTTTCTTTTGATGGAAACTGACACTAACTTTCTATGCTAAAGAAAGATCAATCTCTGTTACCTTTTTCGGTAAAATTTCCAGAAAAATCCATCCAGGCCGCGTATATAAGGCGTCTTCATAGGGCGGCGTATATAAGGCGGCTTATGTGCGGCGGCGTATATAAGGCGGTTTCATAGGGCGGCGTATATAAGGCGGCTTATATGCGGCGGCGTATATAAGGCGGCTTTATAGGGCGGCGTATACAAGGTGGCTTATATACCGAGGCGTATATAAGGCCGGCTTTATAGGGCGGCGTAGACAAGGTGGCTTATATACCGAGGCGTATATAAGGCCGGCTTTATAGGGCGGCGTAGACAAGGTGGCTTATATACCGAGGCGTATATAAGGCGGTGCATACAGGACGGTGTATATAAGACGGAGTATATAAGACGCCGTATATACTAAAGCGTACAAAAGGCGGTGTATATATAGGGCAGCGTATATAAGGCGGCTTATATACTAAAGCGTACAAAAGGCGGTGTATATAAGGCGGCGTATATAAGGTGGCTTATATACCGAGGCGTCTATAAGGCAACGTATTCAAGGCGCTACATATAGGGCAACGTATATAAGGCGGCGTATATAAGGCGGCTTATATAGGGCGGCGTATATAAGACGTCTTATACTAGCCGGCTTATATAAAGCAACGTATACAAGACGTTTTCTACAATTTTCAAGCTAATTAGAGCGCCTCATATAATCAAAAACGTTCACTTGAGCACTTTTTTTCTAACCAAAATTCAGAAAAAAGCGCTTGACGGGTTTTTTTTGAAAATTTTACTGAAAATAGAGAAAATCTACGCCTTTATTTTATTTAAAAAAAGTAAAAGCAATTCTTGTTGAAAAATTCGTCAATTGGGTAGGTTTGTGTTGTGTGTTTTAGTGTTTTGAACTGAGTGGAAAGAAGTTTGAGTTGATTAGAGGGATTTGGCTGATAGTTTTATTGGAAATAAGAAAAGCTAAGTGCCTTTGATACTAAAGGTTTTGATCTTTCAGTCCGTGAAAGCCTCTCTTGACGAGTGGGCGTCAAGAGTGCGCGAACAACTCGAAATGGCGGATCGTTTATGCGCCGAGCAAGTCGACCAACTGCCACCCGATCAGTACGCAATTCTGAAGCAGAAGAGAGATGAGCTGGCAAATGTCTACGAGAATACAGTGAGGAATGTGGAAATGGTTTATGAGAGGTGAGGCTGGAGAAGGGGCTGGAGAAGGGGCTGGAGAAGGAGTTGGAGAAAGAGTTGGAGAACGAGTTCTACGGTTTCTACGGTTTGTACAAGTTACTGTAGTCTACTGGAGTTGCTGGAGCTAGTGTTTCCATTGCCAGTTACAGTACCTAAGTTATACGAATCAATTCGAGCTACAGTAGTTCTGTTAAAGACAGTGAAAGACAGTGAAAGACACTGGTAGACAGTAACAGTACTACTGGTAGTACTAGTAACAGTACTACTCAAATCTGGGCAATTAACAGTAGCTCAGACTACGACTCAGACTTTGACTCCTCTCATTTTCCAGACTGCACGCGATCACTCAGCTACTCATCGAGTTCTCCACTCATTCCTCATCGATGCAATCGTGGATCACCGATGCGACGCGGAGAGCTGGAGATATTAAAGCCTCGTCAGCTGATCCGTCGAATATCGTCGAGCAACGGGCAAAGGCTAAACAATTACAGGTGAGTCATGCTCCAAGCTAGCTATAAGACGGCTCGATAATAAGACGGCTTGTATATAAGACGGCTTGTATATAAGACGTCGCGTATATAAGGCAGCGCGTATATAAGGCAGCGCGTATATAAGACGGCTCGTATATAAGGCAGCGCGTATATAAGGCAGCGCGTATATAAAGGGGACGTATATAAGGCTACGTGTATATAAAGCTACGTGTATATAAGGCGGCGCGTATATAAGGCGGCGCGTATATAAGACGGCTTGTATATAAGACGGCTTGTATATAAGACGGCTTGTATATAAGACGTCGCGTATATAAGGCAGCGCGTATATAAAGGGGACGTATATAAGGCTACGTGTATATAAAGCTACGTGTATATAAAGCTACGTGTATATAAAGCTACGTGTATATAAGGCGGCGCGTATATAAGGCGGCGTGTATATAAGGCGGCGTGTATATAAGGCGCTGCGTATATAAGACGGCTCGTATATAATATGGCTTGTTTATAAGGCTAGAAAGACCAGATTCCGGCAATTTAAGCCTGTAGCGGTCCATGCTGACCTTACTTCTGCTACTGACCTTTCCATTCCTTCTGGTCACTCTGAAATGGACCAGGATAGCAGCTGGACTAATCCTGCGTCTAGCTCTGGGATCCGGTCAAGGAGATTTTGAATTAGTTTGAACTAGAACTAGCCATTTCTATGGCTCCTGTTCACCCCGGCTCTGGTCTAGCCAGTCCTTGAATGATTTAACCGACTAATTGTACAGTCTGGTCTAATTGTACATTCTGGTCTAGCCTAACTGACCTAACCCAGTCTGGTCTAGCCTAACTGGATTTTAAACGGATTATTCCGACCTCGGCTTGCTTCTAGGGGCTTAAAATTCTTTCCAAGTATCAATTTATATTCTAAAGAGAATTTCCAGGATGAAGTAGCCGGTGGAGAGCCTCGTTTGAAGCAAATCGGCTCAATCGTTACTCGGATCGAGGCAGAAATCGCGGCGATGCACGAAAGTGTCCCACAAGTGCAGCTGGGTGGAGTGAATGGAGATGAAGTGAAGAAAACGTTCTACCGAGTAGAGGTAAAGGCTTGAGGAGCACAAAAGTAGTATCCCTAGTATCTCTAGTATCTCTAGTATCTCTAGAGCACTGTAGTATCCACTACAATATCCCAGACACTTTAGCTTAGGCTAGGATACTGTAGTGAGGTTGCTACAGGGTCAGTAAGGATATTTTAAGTACAGGGTCAGTAAGGACTATCGCCAATCTTTTCAGGATGACTACAACGAGCTGCTGAGACAGTGCCAAGATCTGTCGTCCTTCCAAAATCGAGTCGCCGCACTTGGAAATGATGTCGCTGAAAGGGCTGGACGGTAGGATTTCAAGAATATAGTAACTATTACAACAAAGTTGTTCCAAAGCTGACCCGAGCCCTAGTGTAGTTCTTGATCAAGGTCCTGAACTCTATCTGGCTTTGGATCAAGGTCCTGAACCCTACCTGGCTTCGGATCAAGGTCCTGAACCCTATCTGGCTTTGGATCAAGGTCCTGAACCCTATCTGGCTTTGGATCAAGGTCCTGGACCCTATCTGGCTTTGGATCAAGGTCCTGAACCCTACCTGGCAACGAATCAAGGTCCTGAACCCTATCTGGCTTCGGATCAAGGTCCTGAACCCTACCTGGCAACGAATCAAGGTCCTGAACCCTATCTGGCTTCGGATCAAGGTCCTGAACCCTATCTGGCTTTGAATCAAGGTCCTAGACCTTATCTGGCTTTGGGCCAAGATCCTGGCCCTTATCTGGCTTTAGATCAAGGTCCTGAACCCTATCTGGCTTTGGATCAAGGACCTTATCTGGCTTTGTGTTGTGTCAGAAAACTTGCGTTCAAGGACACAAAATACGGCTGTTAAATCCATTTTTCAGTGCGGACAACTGGTTACGTCAACTCGAGAATCAACTGAATGACCTCTTCGGGAAGAAAGGAGTTCCAGTGGAAGAAAGACTGAGAATCGCGGATGAGATGAATCGACGAGTGGCTGATGAGCAATCACAATTAGATGATGCGGATCAAGCGGCAATGAAACTGCTGGGAATTCTCGAAGGAACACCCGCCTACGATGAAGTGAAAGAGAGGCACCAGAAAGAGCACAATGAAAGGAGGAAGAGGTGGGAGAGTTTGGGAAAAAGTACTTTGCTTACAGTACTTTGCTTGGAGTACTTTGCTTGAAAGTAGGGCTTAGGAAAGCTTCTATATGCTTCTTAACATTCTAAAGTACAGTACTTGTACAGTACAGTGCTTGTACAGTGCTTGTACAGTACCGTGCTGTACAGTGCTTGTACAGTACAGTGCTTGTACAGTGCTTGTACAGTACAGTGCTTGTACAGTACAGTGCTTGTACAGTACAGTGCGTGTACAGTACAGTGCTTGTACAGTACAGTACTTGTTCAGTAGGTTCTTATTGGCTATTTCTCTACGTTTAGCCATAATTTCATAATATCAAAGAAATTTCAGACACAGTCTTGTACTCGATCAACTCCAACGAGTCGTCAACGAAGCAACAACGGAACAAGCAATCGGTGAAGGGGTCAAAGATGCGGTCAAGGGATTAGGAGAATGGGCTGATCAATGGGAGGACAAGGTTTGAGAATAAAACAAGCCCTAAGCAAGCCCTAAGCAAGCCTTAAGCAAGCCTTAAGCAAGCCAAAGTCAAGCTGAAGTCAAGCTGAAGTCTGGCTTGGCTCAAGCATTGGCTTGGCTCAGGCATTGGCCTGGCTCAAGCAGGCTCAAGCATTGCCTTGGCTCAAGCAGGCTCAAGCATTGCCTTGGCTCAAGCAGGCTCAAGCAGGCTCAAGCAGGCTCAAGCAGGCTCAAGCATTGGCTCAAGCATTGATTCTTATGTGTACATTTGTTCAAATAACACTTTCAGATGTCCCAGCAACATCCAATCCCCTTGAAACAAGATCTCTTGTCAACGCTGAAGAAAGAGGAACAGTTGGAGCACTCAGAAGCCGATGCAAGACGTGCCTTAGCTGATCAACTTGAAAATGAGGTTACAAGCATTGTTTAGAGTTAGATCTTGGCCTGGCTTGGCTGGTTTGATCTTGATCCTTGTTTGACACTTACCTGATCTATAGATAGATCAATCCAGCGCCAATACTTGACTTTTGTCATGTTTTCGAGAAAATCGAGTCTATGAACTAGAAAATCAAGTCTAGAAACTTTCTCACTCTATTTCTTAGTTCTTTACCAGCTCCGAACATGGAACTTGTTAGCTATTTGAATGGAATGAAAGCTCTAATACTCTGATAATATTAGTCTAATAAAAAGTGTAAGTTAAGATCTTTAAACCGTTACGAGTTTTGTTCAAAAGCCAGGCAAGCTAAGATCAAGCCTGGCTCAGAACTGCGGTTCACTGGCTGGCTCACTGGCTGGCTCACTGGGCTCAGAACTGCAGCTCACTGGCTGGCTTACTGAGCTCAGAATTGCGGCTCACTGGCTGGCTTACTGGGCTCAGAATTGCGGCTCACTGGCTGGCTCACTGGCTGGCTCACTGGGCTTAGAATTACAGTCACTGGCTGGCTGCACTGGCTGGCTCATGGGGCTCAGAATTGAGACTCACTGGCTGGCTCACTGGGCTCAGAATTGCGGCTCACTAGCTGGCTCACTGGGCTCACAATTGCGCACAATTTTAAGGATTAGACCAAGCCTGGTAGGATTATGCTTTGAAGATTCTCTTCTTACAATCAGCTTTTTAAAAACAAATTTTAGGTCCGAAAGCTCTCCACAACGAATCCATCATTGGTGGAAAAAGAGGGTTTAGAGGAAAAACTCGGGGCGACAAAGAGAAAGTTGGCAAAAGCGAATTCTTGGCATCAAGCTTTCCAAGACAACGTAAACGACGCACTGAAAGGAGTGATCGATTTGGAGAATCGAACGGATTTAATCCAACAACACTCGAATCTCTTGATGCAACAAGTGAAACCGATTCCACCGAAGGTAAATCTGGGTTATTCTAGAGCTTGGCTGACTTTTAAAGTCCTATAATCTGCCAGCTAGACTAAAATTGGGTTATTGTAGTTTTTGGCGGTAAAAAAATAGCTCTTTAGCCTTTTTTCATTCAAAGAATAGCTCTTTAGCCTTTTTTCAATGGCCTTTCAATGCCTTAGTCTATTTTTAGCTCAAAATCTCAATCAGTACTTGCCTGAATGCTTTAAAAACATATCTAAATGTGAAAAATGTTTAAAAGAATCAATCCTAAGCTTTCCTAAAGCTTTCCCGAAAAAATCTCGGAAAAAGAGCGAAAATGATCTCGGGCGGGATCGAACCGCCGACCTTCTGTGTGTTAGACAGATGTGATAACCACTACACCACGAGACCGCTTGCCCGAAGGAGGAAAAAAAGGGTCTTATGAATGATCCGTGAATCAAATTGACTAAAATCTGGCTAGACTAAAAAGCTTCGTTGGTCGGTTAAGGGCGGGTTTTTCCGGAGGGTCTCCATTGGTACCATGGCGCAGTCGGCAGGGCCCTTGTCTGCAAGCCGCACGATTCGGGTTCGACTCCCCGTACTGCCGCGAAATCTTGACTTTTTTGATTTTTGTTTGAAATGACAAAACTATATTATATTCTAAGGTTTTCTAAAGGAAGGTGAGCTTTATTGGTCTCTGTTCTATTGGCAAACTTGGCTAGATCTGTTGGTAAACTTGGCTAGGCAAGAAGAACTAGATATAAATGTAAATCAGTATGAAAAACATCGAAAAAACAAAAAAACAAAAAAATTTTTTAGTAATCCGAGGGTCGAGGGTTCGATTCCGAGTCAAGCCAATTTTTTAAAAGAGTTAAAAAAACTTCTTAAAAAGATAATTCTAGGGTAATTTTGAACGCTGATTCCGAAAAAAATGATTTTAGCACAGATTTTCATACAAAAAAACAAAGAAACTCGGGTTTTTTCGGCTAAAAGTACCTCAATAAATAAAAACTTTGAAAGTTGATTGACAAACGATCAAATTGATGAATGGAAATTGATGAATGGAATCCTTTTTCTTTCAATCCGCTAGATAAATAGCTTTTGAATGAGCACACGATCTTTTAAGCTATTACACAAATGGGATAAGTCGTCTAGTCACTCGATCGTCTAGTCGCCTAGTCGGTCGCCTAGATCCTCTTCAAAACAATTGGCCAAACGGCCAAACGGCCAAACGTTCTCCCCAACCAAAAAAATACCCTTACTATATTAGCTATAAGTAAATTCACCTAAAACACACACAAATCTACCGTAAACTTTTTGCAGGATCTCGAAAAAATCGAAGAGGCACGAAACTCGTTGAGAGCGTTAGGAGAAGAGACAATCGAGGCGGGCAAAATCCTCGGGAAACTTCTGCAAATCCCGGCTGTCACTGAGACGGATCATGTCGAGAATTTGATGAAAGAAGCTGGAGCAAAGGTAGATTTACATCTCTCACTTTCGAGTTACTATCCGATTACTAGTCCTTACCGGATAGGAATTCGTCTCAGAAAACTGTTACCCTGTGCAGATGTTTATAAGCACTTGATTGATTGACTGGCCTTTTTAGGCTTAGGCTTAGGCTTAGGCCTCAATTAGACTTGGCCTAGTCTGGTGCCAGTCTGACTGAGAGCTAGCCGAAACTAGTCAGTCAATCGTCTAGTCGATCGGATCGGTCGGACGTCTAGTCGGTCAATCGTCTAGTCTTCTAGTCGTCTAGTCGTCTAGTCACTCAATCATCTAGTCGTCTAGTCGTCTAGTCGTCTAGTCGTCTAGTCACTCAATCATCTAGTCGTCTAGTCGTCTAGTCAGTCGATCATCTAGTCACTCGATCATCTAGTCGGTCGGTCGTCTAGTCGTCTAGTCGGTCAGTCGTCTAGTCGTCTAGTCGGTCAGTCGTCTAGTCCCTCGATCGTCTAGTCTTCTAGTCGTCTAGTCGATCGATTGTCTAATCGGTCAGTCGATCGTTTAGTCGGTCAGTCGTTTAGTCGGCCAGTCGTCTAGTCCAAGCTAGTCGTCTAGTCCAAGCTAGTCGTCTAGTTCAAGCTAGTCGTCTAGTTCAAGCTAGTCGTCTAGTCCAAGCTAGTCGTCTAGTCCAAGCTAGTCGTCTAGTCCAAGCTAGTCATCTAGTCCAAGCCAGTCGTCTAGTCCAAGCTAGTCGTCTAGTCCAAGCTAGTCGTCTAGTCCAAGCCAGTCGTCTAGTCTTCTAGTCGTCTAGTCAGCCAGTCGTCTAGTCCAAGCTAGTCGGTCGGTCGAGTTTGACCAGGTCTTAGCCCTGATTAAGCTGAGTTGAGCAGGCTTGATTCTGCTCTGATTTAGTCCGCTTGATCTTGGCTTTCCTGGCTTTGAGCGTCATGCTTTTTCAGATTTTCAGCTATCTTTATAAAATTTGTAAATTTAGGTCGACGCGGTGGCTCAAGCCGTTGAAGATAAAGCGCAAAAAGCGGCAGAGTTAAGCGAATTGGACAAGAAGTTCTCTAAACTCAAGGAGGAATTCGGGAGCTGGTTGAACGATTTGGATGAGGTTAGGACTTGACATTTAACTTGAAAAACGAGTTATTCTTTGGGTTATTCGTTAGAGGTACTTAAAGAGTACTGTATTAGGTCCAGAGAAGTTAACTACAGTACTCTTCAAGTACAGTAGTACTCTTTAGCTACTGTAGTACTCTTTAAGTACTGTAGTGTACTGTAGTGTACTGTACTAACCCATTTTTTGCCTTTAGACAGTTTCCTCTTTATCTCCTTTATCCTCAACATCGGATGGCTTGAAAGAGCAACAAAAAGAGTGCTCACAGTTGAGAGATCAATATGCAGAAGGAGCACAACCTTTAGAAGAATTGGAAAGGTTATCGATTGCCATTGCTGAGCTAGAGACGATTCCTGGTGAGTCTAAGAAAATGAAGGTGATGAAAAATGAAGAAAATGAAGGATAATTATAAAGTAGTTTCAATAGTCCAGGGTTAGAGATAGTTATAAAGTAGTATTCAATGTACATCATAATTTGATCAATCCAAATTTCTCTGTGACATCCAACTAGAATATAACCAAAAGATTAGACAGCTTACTCCTACTAAAACAAGAGTTATACAGGCGAGAAGGTTGACTCGAAAAGTGCTTGACTGAAATTCCGTAATGCAGGAATTTGATCAATTCAAATTTCTCTGTGACATCCAACTAGAATATAACCAAAAGATTAGACAGCTTACTCCTACTAAAACAAGAGTTATACAGGCGAGAAGGTTGGCTCGAAAAGTGCTTGACTGAAATTCTCAGCTACAGTACCCGTGTCATATGTCGTTTAAAGCAAATCGACTATGGGGAATTCAAAAATCGAGCTCATTTCTACTGCTACAGTACTGTTGCGTATTTTTGCAGTGTTTCATACCTTTCTCCTCCTCTTCCGGCGCTTTCATCTTTCTTGTTTGCTTTGCTTTATCAGTGAGCGCTTTCATCTTTCTTGTTTACTTTATTAGTGCTTTATCAGTAATGGTTTTATCAGTGAGCGCCTCGAAGAGTAGCTTGGAGTTGATCGAAACGAAGAATGGATATGATTTTCGGATTCCTGATAGTCGATTTGCTTTAAACGACATACGGGACGGGGGTGTTGGACGGAGATTTTAGCCAGGCACTTTCCAGACTCGGTTCAATTACGCGACTTTGTGTAAAAACAGTAATTCCAGAATTGCGAAATCCAGAAATTTGATCAATTCAAGCTTTAGTGTGACATCCAACTAGAATATAACCAAAATCTTAAACAGCTTACTCCTACTAAAACAAGAGTTACGCCGGCGAGAAGGTTGGCTCGAAAAGTGCTTGACTGAAATTCCGTAATGCAGAAATTTGATCAATCCAAATTTCTCTGTGACATCCAACTAGAATATAAACAAAAGATTAGACAGCTTACTCCTTCTAGAACAAGAGTTATACAGGCGAGAAGGTTGGCTCGAAAAGTGCTTGACTGAAATTCCGTATTGCAGAAATTTGATCAATCCAAATTTCTCTGTGACATCCAACTAGAATATAGCCAAAAGATTAGACAGCTTACTCCTACTAGAACAATAGTTATCCTTTAGAATCTGATCCCGATCTGATTTGGTAGATTTTTAGACTTGAACTGCCTTGATTGTCTTAAGCTTGGCCTTGATTGTCTTAAGCCTGACCTGTCTGGCTAATCCTAGGATAAGAGTGAATCAGGTAGGACCTGAGCACTATAAGATTAAGGCCAGAGGTAGAGTCAAGTTTGAGGTAAGTAGTAGAACTGGGGGACGGTAAGAAGAAGGGTACGAAGAAGAAGGCTGGGGTAAGGCCTGCTATGGTGGGTTTAGGATACAGTAGGATACAGTAAGATACAGTAGGATTTAAAGGCTAGAGTTATACCTGGAAAACCAACACTTGCTTCCCAATTTCTAGGCTCGAGAAGCAGCAGTATTCCAAGAAATGTATTCGATCTGAGATCTCGCTACGATCAACTGGGATCACAAATCGATGGACGAGCTCAGAAAATCAACGAACAACAAAAACAAGCACATCAATTCGAGGACAAAGCCGCCGCTGTGCAACAATGGATCAAAGAGCAGAGGGGAAAGCTGGCGAATGAGGTGAGGTGTTCTTTGAGCTACTGTACTGTTCCCAAAAAAGCTGTTTGCTTGTAAAGCGGTGCCCTACGTACCAAGGGTACGGACACCCAAAAGATATAGAAGTAGTAGCCCACCCTACAGTAACCCACAGCAAGCACTACGACGCCCAAAAGGCGCGTAAAGCGGCCACGACCAAGGGACGGACCCAAAAGAAGGACAGAACCCCGCCACAGAACCGCACAGGCAAGCTACTACGACAGCACAAAAGTTCTTGTAAAGCGGGCCACGACCAAGGTACGGCCCAAAAGAAAAAAGTACAGTAACCCACGCCTACAGTAACCCACAGGCCGCCCGACGCCCAAAAGCTGCTGCGAAAGCGGTGCCACGTATCCAAGGGTACTGTGACACCCAAATGATTAACAAAGTACGTAACCCATTCGACACAGTAATCCTTGCTACAGGCTTAAGCTACTTATGTACTGTTCCCAAAAAGCTGTTTGCTTGTAAAGCGGTGCCCTACGTATCCTAAGGATACTGTGACACCCAAAATGATTATACAAAGTACAGTAACCCATTCTGACTACAGTAATCCTTGCTATAGGCTTAAGCTACTTACTGTACTGTTCCCAAAAAAGCTCTTTGCTTGTAAAGCGGTGTCCTACGTATCCTAAGGGTACTGTGACACCCAAAATGTTTATAGAACAATAATAAGGCCGAGTTTTTCAGTTCCCGTTGGATCTCTCAGCTGATGGAGTGAAATCGTCGAAAGAACGCCTTGAACACCTCCAAAAGGAAAACCGAGCCGGGCAAAGAGGTGTCGATGATTTGAGATTTGATGCGATCTCCCTGATTCGCTCAAATCCGAATAATGCAGAGGTTGCGATGCTCGAGAAAGCAATCGAAATGGAATGGGAAGCATTGCAAAATCAACAGGAAGCGACAAGGAAAAAGTTGGAGGATGCCGAGAAAATCGTGAGTTTTCTGGAGAGATAATTCAACTCGTGTGCTAGAGGAAATGCGTTTGTGCTCAAGTCCAGTAGTTCTCAGAGCTCTGGCAGGCACAGCGATTGCACAGCGATTCGATTAACAAATTTAGGTGGATGGCGTGAACCAATTGGATCGTTGGTTGCATGGAAAACAGCGGTTGATTGACTCTGTTGGTGCTCCTTCTACTGATTCTCATATGGCAAAAGGACAAAGGGCACAAATTGATATGTTAAAGGTTGGGAGAAATTACAGTACGCAAGATAAGGGCTCAGACCCAGGCTCTGGCTAAGGCCCAGGCTCAGAGCGACCTCAGGCTTAGGCCAAGCTCAGTCCAGGCTTAGGCCAAGCTCAGTCCAGGCTCAGGCCAGGCTCCGGCTCTGACTCTGGCTTTGTGACGCACCTTCCTGTCGCATTTTGACATTTAGTATTCTAGAAGTCTTGTATTTTAACACCTCAAAGTACACATAAGACTACAGGTTCTCATTGCCTCCTCGTGTCCTTTGAGCACTTGTAACTTTGAGCCTTTGAGCACATGTGCATTCTGGTGCTCAGGCTCAGGCTTGCTAGAATCGCCAGAGTACTAGAATCACCAGAGTCCTAGAATCATTTAGATTACTAAGAAATATCTCTGTTACAAAGCTAGATACTTATTTCTCAGATTGACACCGAAAACGAGCGCCTTAACATGGAAAAGCTGAAAGATTTGGCGGAAAAGCTCGGCGATTCGGCGACAAATGATGGAGATAAGGAGATCATACAAAAACAAGTGAGCTTAATAGGAAAGATTTTGATTTAGTCTTGTTGTACAGTTGGCTAGCTGGCTGGCTGGCTAGCTGGCTGGCTGGCTGGCTGGCTGGCTGGCTGGCTGGCTGGCTGGCTGGCTGGCTGGCTGGCTGGCTGGCTGGCTAGTTGGCTGGCTGGCTGGCTGGCTGGCTGACTGGCTGGCTGGCTGGCTGACTGGCTGGCTGGCTGACTGGCTGGCTGGCTGGCTGGCTGGCTGGCTGGCTGACTGGCTGGCTGGCTGGCTGGCTGGCTGGCTAGTTGGCTGGCTAGTTGGCTGGCTAGTTGGCTGGCTAGTTGGCTGGCTAGTTGGCTGGCTGGCTGGCTGGCTGGCTAGTTGGCTGGCTAGTTGGCTGGCTGACTGGCTGGCTGGCTGGCTGGCTGGCTAGTTGGCTGGCTAGTTGGCTGGCTGGCTGGCTGGCTGGCTAGTTGGCTGGCTGACTGGCTGGCTAGTTGGCTGGCTGACTGGCTGGCTAGTTGGCTGGCTGGTTGGCTGGCTAGTTGGCTGGCTAAGAGCACTGTACCCCTAGTGCCTTCAGTATCCCTGGATACTGTATCATCTTGGTATACTGTAGTATTGTTGTACCCAGGGTTACTGATTGTGGTACTCAGGGTTACTTGTATCACACTCTAACTGGTAACTCTCATTTTGTCATCAATTTCAGATCGATTTGCTGAACGATCGCTGGGGATCGCTGAATGATGGATTGGAGAAGAAAGAGTCGAATATTTCGAGAGCAGCTGAACTCGGCGCTGAGATTGCGCAGATCAACAAGGAGATCAAGTGGGTTATTTTAGTTCTCGAGCCATGCCAAATAGCTGACGATAGCTAATTGCTGACTACAGCTTTCTTTCTGTCTTTCTGGCAATTACAATTAGTTTCAAAGCTCGAAATTCTCAATGCTTACAAGAGTACTGTTTAAAGTACTGTTTAAAGTACTTTAAACAGTACAGTTTCATTTCTAGAAAGAAACTCGGCGAGCTGGAGCACGAGGTGGACGCAGTTTCCCGTCTTCCATCAACAGAAATCAATCAACAATTATCCAAACTGGACGAGTTGAAAAGAAGAGAAGGAGAAGTGAATGAGTTGTTGGAGAAATTGGGGGAAAAGGTAAAGAAAGCCGATGAATATGCGGTTGATTCGACGAATCAAACGGAAATCGCCGAAGGATTGTTGAATGCAAAGACGAAAACGGCTGAGGTGAGTAGAACTCTAGAATTTAAGTACGAAAGGAAACGAAAAGACCTTCTGGTCTAACAGAAAGCCTAATAACAGAGCTCCTAAGCCTATCAGAGCTCCTACGCCTAATAACAGAGCTCCTAAGCCTAATCACAGAGCTCCTAAGCCTAATCACAGAGCTCCTACGCCTAATCACAGAGCTTCTAAGCCTAATCACAGAGCTTCTAAGCCTAATAACAGAGCTCAGAGCTATTGGAAACTTTGTAAAACAAATTTGACTTATTACTGGTTTCCAGTTGGACAAGAAGATCGACTCGGTGAAGCAAGCCGCTCTTTCCGTCAAAGATCAAGGAGATCTCTTGGATCGACACGTTGATGGACTCTTGGATTCGATTCAGTTATTGGCACTGGATATCAATAATGTAAGTTGTAAGAAAAGGCACTCTGGTGCACGAGGAGCCTGAGCCTAAGCCAGCCCAAGCCAGCCCAAGCCAGCCTAAGCCAGCCTAAGCCAGCCAAAGCCAGCCTAAGCCAGCCTAAGCCTAAGCCTAAGCTCGGAAGTTTCAAAGCTCAACTTTAGTCTCCACCAATTTGCGCTGACAAGGAAAAGCTATTCGATGAGATTTCCCGTTTTTCTCATTTGTATGATGAGATTTTGGGAAAAGAAGGAGATGTGAGTTTGATGAAGACTAAATTGCAAGAAGATCTCCTATCGAAACCGGAAAGGAAAGAGAAATTCGAGCGATTGAATAGGGAATGGACACCGCTGTTAGAAGCCACGAAACAGAGAAGAGCCAGTTTGGATAAGGTGAGGTTTTCGAGATCTTAAAGACACGTAAAGCAGTACTTGATTGAACCCTGATCATCTACTGGGTCTAGGCTAGGTACTGTAATTGTAATACTGAAGTACTGAAGTAATACTGAAGTACCCAGACTGAGTCCAATCCTTTAAAACTGTTCCGAACCTAAGCCTAACCTTAAGCCTAACCCTAAGCCTAACCTGGGAACTGGCCGAGACTCAGAAAATCGGAGTTGAGCCTAAACCCTAATAGTGTGAGACAGGCAAGCCTAAGCCTAAGCTTAATCCCAAATCCAAATAGACTCAGTCTTAGCCGCCAAGCCTAAGCCTAGCCTCAACCCAAATAGACTCAGTCCTAGCCAAGCCTAAGCCTAGCCCCAACCCAAATAGACCCAGCCAAAGCCAAGCCTAAGCCTAGCCCCAACCCAAATAGACCCAGCCAAAGCCAAGCCTAAGCCTAGCCCAGACCCAAATAGACCCAGCCCAAGCCAAGCCTAAGCCTAGCCCCAACCCAAATAGACCCAGCCAAAGCCAAGCCTAAGCCTAGCCCAGACCCAAATAGACTCAGTCCTAGCCAAGCCTGAGCCTAAGCCTAACCAAAGCCCAAATAGACCCAGCCAAAGCCAAGCCTAAGCCTAAGCCTAGCCAAAGCCCAAATAGACTCAGTCAAAGCCAAGCCTAAGCCTAAGCCTAACCAAAGCCCAAATAGACTCAGTCAAAGCCAAGCCTAAACCTAAGCCCAGACCATGTACGAGTACTGATTATAAGCTAAGGCTAGATGCTGTACTGGATCCTGGATTTGAATCCATTACTGCTTAAAACTTGTTCTTTATAATGCTATAAGCATTAGGCTAGTACTGAACCTAGTTAGTACTGAACTAGTTAGTACTGGTCTAGTACCTAGACCGGGAACTAGACCTAGATCTAGGTCAGACCGTAGTGCTAAGCTAGATACTAGTACCGGAGCCAAGCCTGGGTCTAGACTGGATCTAGACCAGGTAGTAGGAGTAGATCCAGTCCAGATCTGGGTACAAATACCCAGGTCCAGCCTAGATCTAGGTACAAGTACCAGGCTCAGATCTAATGTGTCAAGCCAGGTACTAGCAGGCCAGACAGACACTATCAGGCCAGACAGCCAGATCCTTCCTAGAGGCCCAGATCAGCTATCTAACTAACCAGGGCCAAGATCTGGACAGATCTGGACAGATCTGGACATAGCTTAAATATTATCCTCACAATTTCTAGGTGAACGACCTTGTCAAGCAATTCATTGACCAAGAGGCCACACTGAAGAATCATTTGGTTGGCGATGAGCAAGGATTGGCTAAAGCTCAAGAAGAGGCTCAGGGTGAGATCCCGAACACCGATGGATTGTTGACATTAGAGGAGAATCTGGAACGACGAGCTCATGAAGCCGATACGCTGGATAATTTGGCTGACAGGTTCGATATTTTTGTCTGATTTTGGATTGAGAGAAAGCTGTGAATTCAAACAAACAGCTCTCAAACAAACAGCTTCCAAACAAACAGCTCTCAATTTCAGAATTGAAAAGCTTGCCCCAGGCCCAGATGCTCGACATTTGAAGCGAGGCGCCGAGAATCTGTGCGATGATGTGAGAGCGTTATCGAAAAAAGCGAGAAATGGATTGGCGGCTGTGCAGAAGAAGGCAAGTTATTAAAAGATATAATTTAAAAAGATAGCCAACAGTGAAATGTAGCTTTTCAAATATTTCTACCTTGGCTGCTATCTGGGTTACTCTAGCTAGTCCATACGGGTAGTGTAGGGCAACTAGTAGAGCAACTAGTAGAGCAACTAGTAGAGCAACTAGTGGGGCAACTAGTAGGGCAACTAGTAGGGCAACTAGGAGGGCAACTAGTAGGGCAACTAGTAGGGCAACTAGTAGGGCAACTAGGGCAACTAGTGGGGCAACTAGTAGGGCAACTAGTAGGGCAATTAGTGGGGCAACTAGGGCAACTAGTAGAGCAACTAGTAGGGCAACTAGTAGGGCAACTAGGGCAACTATTAGGGCAACTAGTAGAGCAACTAGTAGGGCAACTAGGAGCAACTAGTAGGGCAACTAGTAGGGCAACTAGGGCAACTAGTAGAGCAACTAGTAGGGCAACTAGTAGGGCAACTAGTAGGGCAACTAGGGCAACTAGTGGGGCAACTAGGGCAACTATTAGGGCAACTAGAGTACTGTACAATGAAAGATGTAGTCAGCCAACGAAAGATTCATCACTTGGCTTACTGTGGCCGAGATTACGATGGGTTTAGGGTAAGAAGCAAGCAAGAAGCAAGCAAGCTAGCTAGCCAGCCAGCTAGCTAGCAGGCTCTACCCTATTCAAAGAAAAGTCACAGAAATTGTCAATCCCTTGTAGCTATCGTAATCCTGCTAACAACATCTTTTCAGATCGATCTGCGCACCAAATTCGACAAGTTGATCGACGAGAGCACAGCGTTTGCCGAGGGAAAAGAGGCAGAACTTGAAAAGGACAAGGAGATGATCAATAGAGAAAGATTGCAAGCAAGTGAGTGAATGAAAAAGTCTATTAAAAGGCTATTAAAAGGCTATTAAAAGGCTATTAAAAGGCTATTAAAAGGCTATTAAAAGGCTATTAAAAGATCTATTAAAAGATCTATTTTATTGTAGGATCTTTTTATGAGTTGCTTGGATTGAAATGAACTTTTCAGAACTCTCCGAAGTCGAGTCGTTTTGGGGGAAAACTGGTCGAGAATTGAAACAACTTGGGCAAGATTTGAAGCAAATTCTGCCCGATGAAGCCCATCAATCCATCGATTTGCCAATTGAGGAGCTGGGAGAGAGATTCGAGGGATTGATCGAGAAGATGAGGTGGGGGAGTTGGGATTTGAGTGGCTTGGAATTTGATTGGCTGACTTTGATTGGCTAGATTTGAGTGACTAGATTTGAGTGACTAGATTTGAGTGACTAGATTTGGGTGACTAGATTTTGGTGACTAGATTTGGGTGGCTAGATTTGATTGACTAGATTTGAGTGACTAGATTTGAGTGACTAGATTTGAGTCACTAGATTTGATTGGCCTAAATCTAGGCCAGGTTCTAGATATTGTACTATCCGAAAGAACAGATCTAAATACAGTACTGGTAAGCCCAGATCCCAGTCAGGGCTAGATCCTAGTCAAGCTTAGATCCCAGTCAAGCCTAGAGCCCAGTCAGGCCCAGCTCTTAATCAGGTCCAGATCCTAGTCAGGTCTAGACTCTAGACAGGTCCTTTGTCAAGCCTAGTTCCTAGTCAAGCCTAGTTCCTAGTCAAGCCTAGTTCCTAGTCAAGCCTAGTTCCTAGTCAGGCCTAGTGTCTCCTGTATCCACTGGTACTATTCTTTGTAGCTTGTCTTGATCCCTTACTTGTAAAGTACTGAAATCTGAGCCTTAACTGATTTAATGAGACTCAAATAAACTGATGTTTTTGTGAGTCTCTCATTCAGCTAACATATTATCATACCAGCTTTGGTCATTGAGTGATAGGGTAGCTGCAGCTAAGGCTGGTTTATCATTCGATAGTCAAGTTCTAAACCCGAGCTAGGCCAGAACCTGGCTTTTTAAAAATAGACTTAAAGATTCTCGATAGTCGAAAACCCTAAATCGCAATTTTGATCATTTTGCCTGATTATTTTGCCTTTTAACTGATAGAACAAATGTTTTTACGGAGCGTCGCGTTTGCGCACAAACAAACGTCTCTTTTGCTTTATATATAGTAGATTATCAGATTCATTTTGCAGATTGATCGATTTGACGCTAAACGAGAAACGCAAAGAGGCCGAGAATGTGAAAGAGAAAACGATTCGATTAGCGACAAGGCTGAACTCTTTATACTCGGTAAACTAACTGATCCTGATCCTCCAGAGTACTGTAAGCCTTAGCTACAGTAATCAGTAACTACAGTAGACATTAACTACAGTAATCAGTGACTTCAGTAGACACCAACTACAGTAATCAGTGACTTCAGTAGACACCAACTACAGTAATCAGTGACTTCAGTAGACACCAACTACAGTAATCAGTGACTTCAGTAGACACCAACTACAGTAATCAGTGACTTCAGTAGACACCAACTACAGTAATCAGTGACTTCAGTAGACACTAACTACAGTAATCTTTATCCTACATAAATCCCCAGTTTGCTAACCACAAAGTACAGAACTACAGGTCGGCGACAACTTTGGAAAAGTCGTCGCCGATCTGTAGTTGATCGCCGACCTTTAGTTGATAGCAAACGTTTGTCTTCTCGCCAAGATGCCAAGTGTTATTTAGAGAATTGTAGCCCTGAATCTTCGCTACATTTCTCTACCAAAAACTTCTCAATTAGCTTTATACAACTCATTTTACAAGCCCTCGAATACCAAGTGACAAAAATGGCAGACCAAAGACCTTGCGCTCATTCAAGTGCTTGTAAAATTAGTTCTATAATTCTAATTGGGAAACGTTTAAGGGAAAAATGTAGCCAAGATAAAGGGCTTTATTTTTGTATATAACACTTTGAGCTTTGGTAAGAAGATAGGCCTTTGGCAGGAAGTGAAAAGTCGAACTTTCTGAAAAAGTTGGCACTTTAGTCGGCGATCACTGTATTCAGATAGTATTTCACTGAAATAAAGCACATAAATGTTGCAATAACCCTCTAAAACTCATAAAAGCTTTTCTTTTCTAGGATTTAAACGATTTGGATCCGATTGGGCGAAGTTTGGATGAGTTGCAAAAGCAGAATGAACAATGCGACGAGATGAATGCGGAGCTAAACGACAGGGAAAACGAGTTGAATTCGGTGCTGAGATAGAGCTGGGATAGAGCTGGGATAGAGCTGGGATAGAGCTGGGATAGAGCTGGGGTAGAGCTGGGATAGGGCTATTTTAGTAGAGCTAATTATCAAGCTATCTTCTAGATATCTAATTTTTGATACACTACTGGAGCTGGAACTGGAGCTGGAGCTACTAGAGCTCCGGAGCTCTGGAGCTGGAGCTCTGGAGCTGGAACTCTGGAACTCTTGAACTCTGGAACTCTGAAGCTCTGACACTGGAACTCTGGAACTCTGAATCTCTGGAGCTGGAGCTCTGGAGCTCTGGTTTTTCGATCGTTTTTCGAATAAAATATGATCTTTCATTGTCCAGTGCTGTAGATATCGATTTTCTAGTTCTAGTTCTAGTTCTAGTTCTGGATCTAGTTCTAGATCTAGTTCTGGATCTAGTTCTAGTTCTGGATCTAGTTCTAGATCTAGTTCTGGATCTAGTTCTAGTTCTGGTTCTAGTTCTAGTTCTAGTTCTAGTTCTAGTTCTAGTTCTAGTTCTAGTTCTAGTTCTAGTTCTAGTTCTGGATCTAGTTCTAGTTCTAGTTCTAGTTCTAGTTCTGGATCTAGTTCTAGTTCTAGTTCTAGTTCTAGTTCTAGTTCTAGTTCTAGTTCTAGTTCTGGATCTAGTTCTAGTTCTAGTTCTAGTTCTAGTTCTAGTTCTGGATCTAGTTCTAGTTCTAGTTCTAGTTCTAGTTCTAGTTCTGGATCTAGTTCTAGTTCTAGTTCTAGTTCTAGTTCTGGATCTAGTTCTAGTTCTAGTTCTAGTTCTAGTTCTAGTTCTAGTTCTAGTTCTAGTTCTAGTTCTAGTTCTAGTTCTAGTTCTGGATCTAGTTCTAGTTCTAGTTCTGGATCTAGTTCTAGTTCTAGTTCTAGTTCTAGTTCTAGTTCTAGTTCTAGTTCTGGATCTAGTTCTAGTTCTAGTTCTGGATCTAGTTCTAGTTCTAGTTCTAGTTCTAGTTCTGGATCTAGTTCTAGTTCTAGTTCTAGTTCTAGTTCTAGTTCTAGTTCTAGTTCTGGATCTAGTTCTAGTTCTAGTTCTGGATCTAGTTCTAGTTCTAGTTCTAGTTCTAGTTCTGGATCTAGTTCTAGTTCTAGTTCTAGTTCTAGTTCTAGTTCTAGTTCTAGTTCTAGTTCTAGTTCTAGTTCTAGTTCTGGATCTAGTTCTAGTTCTAGTTCTGGATCTAGTTCTAGTTCTAGTTCTAGTTCTGGATCTAGTTCTAGTTCTAGTTCTAGTTCTAGTTCTAGTTCTGGATCTAGTTCTAGTTCTAGTTCTAGTTCTAGTTCTAGTTCTAGTTCTAGTTCTAGTTCTGGATCTAGTTCTAGTTCTAGTTCTAGTTCTAGTTCTAGTTCTAGTTCTAGTTCTAGTTCTGGATCTAGTTCTAGTTCTAGTTCTGGATCTAGTTCTAGTTCTAGTTCTAGTTCTAGTTCTGGATCTAGTTCTAGTTCTAGTTCTAGTTCTAGTTCTAGTTCTAGTTCTAGTTCTAGTTCTAGTTCTAGTTCTAGTTCTGGATCTAGTTCTAGTTCTAGTTCTGGATCTAGTTCTAGTTCTAGTTCTGGATCTAGTTCTAGTTCTAGTTCTAGTTCTAGTTCTGGATCTAGTTCTAGTTCTAGTTCTAGTTCTAGTTCTAGTTCTAGTTCTAGTTCTAGTTCTAGTTCTAGTTCTAGTTCTAGTTCTGGATCTAGTTCTAGTTCTAGTTCTGGATCTAGTTCTAGTTCTAGTTCTAGTTCTAGTTCTAGTTCTAGTTCTAGTTCTGGATCTAGTTCTAGTTCTGGTTCTAGTTCTAGTTCTAGTTCTAGATCTAGTTCTGGATCTAGTTCTAGTTCTAGTTCTACTTTCTAGTTCTAGTTTCCTAAATTCCTAGCTTTTTCACGGGTTTTACGATCATTCAAAAGCTCAAAAAGCTCAAATGCTTTTCTTTTTTTTCTTTGAAATTCGATACCCGAGTAAATAGACTTGAAACGAAACTGAAAACTCGATTTTTTTACATTAATTTCTAGTTTTTTTTATATAAAAATATCCTGATATTCGTGATTTACGGTTTTACAGTTTTCTTCGGTTTTTAACCCTTTTTTACTTCTATTCTAGATCAATGACTTATGGAAATCAGCTCTGAACATCCAAGCCGTCACCCCCGAGCAATTGGCAACAAATCAACAACATTTGGATGACATGAAACGGGTGAGTTGAATGCAATACGTTGATGCTAACGAGAAAATCTCTTTTGCTGTCGGTCTTTAGCTGTCGATCTTTAGTTGTCGGTCTTTTGCTGTTAGCAATTTAAGGTTTTTCGTCTTTTTCTCAGCAACAACCCTTCGATTTGAACTATTTTGACTATACTTTCCCTTTTGCCGTTGGTAATTTAGGATTTTCCTCAGCACCAGCGCTTCTATTTCGCCCATTAGGACTATAATTCGATGCAGAATGAAATTGCGCGTCGAATGATACCAAAACCAACTCAAATTGTAACATCCATGCAAAGTTATAGCCTAAAAACCTACACCCCGTTCATTGTGGACGGGGCCTAACCTTTTGCCCCATAACTTTGCATGGATATTACATATTGACTTTATTTTATTAACATTCGACGCGCAATTTCTTTCTGCATCAACTGATAGTCCAAATAGTCAAAATCGAAGGGTTGGTGTTGAGAAAAACCGTAATTTAAGTTTTTTCGTCTTTTTCTTAGCACTAATCCTTCTATTTTGCCTATCTGAGTTATCATTCGATGCAGAATGAAATTGCGCGTCGAATGATAACAAAATTAAGTCAATATGTAATATCCATGCAAAGTTATGGGGCAAAAGGTTAGGCCCCGTCCACAATGAACGGGGTGTAGGTTTTTAGGCTATAACTTTGCATGGATGTTACAATTTGAGTTGGTTTTGGTATCATTCGACGCGCAATTTCATCCTGCATTGATTGATAGTTAAAATAATCAAAATAGAAGCGTTGCTGCTGAGAAAAAGACGAAAAACCTTAAGTTGTCAATGGAAAAAGGTTTTAGGCAATAACTTTGCATGGACATTAGATTTCGAGTCGGTTTTGATATCATTCGACGCGCAATTTCATTCTGCATCGAATTATAGTCAACATAGAGTAAATAGAGGGTCTGTTGCCGAGAAAAACACAAAAAATCTTAAATTGCCAATGGCAAACGGGGTTATGAGCGGGCTTTTTGTCTCATAACTTGGTGATTACATTTTGAGTTAATTTTGATATGTTATGGATACTGTAGCCAGGCTGTAGGCGGGCTATGAAAGCGTACTGTAGCTCGTTTCGCTGGGATACTGTAGCTAAGCGACTGTAAGTTCCTTTAACTTCAATTTTTCAAATTTCAAATTTCCATCGAAAATCGAAAGCTTCGAGCCGTTTCCTTTTGAACAAACATTCTGTGAGTCATCTTTTTTGAAAAACTTTACGCCCTTTTTATTGAGCCCCTTTTTATTTATCGATTTACACTCATATCCTGTCAGAAAATTCAAACAAAATCTTTCAAAAGTGCCGACAAAAATGCGGCGTTTTTGAATGAAAACGAATATTTTTCCGATCCCATCCCGAATCGCTCACTCGTCGATTTCTTTTGGGAAATTCTCGAAAATTGAGAACACCAATTTTCTCGTCGTTTCCCTTTTAGTCTTGATGCCATTTTTTCTCACAAAGGTTTGATGATCTGGCTGGAAATCTGGCTTAATATCTAGCTTGGAATCTAGCTCGGAATCTAGCTTGGAATCTAGCTCGAGATCTAGCTCGGAATCTAGCTCGAGATCTAGCTCGGAATCTAGCTCGAAGTCTAGCTCGGAATCTAGCTCGAGATCTAGCTCGGAATCTAGCTCGAAGTCTAGCTCGGAATCTAGCTCGAGATCTAGCTCGGAATCTAGCTCGAAGTCTAGCTCGGAATCTAGCTCGAGATCTAGCTCGGAATCTAGCTCGAAGTCTAGCTCGGAATCTAGCTCGAAGTCTAGCTCGGAATCTAGCTCGAGATCTAGCTCGGAATCTAGCTCGAGATCTAGCTCGGAATCTAGCTCGAGATCTAGCTCGGAATCTAGCTCGAGATCTAGCTCGGAATCTAGCTCGAAGTCTAGCTCGGAATCTAGCTCGAGATCTAGCTCGGAATCTAGCTCGAGATCTAGCTCGGAATCTAGCTCGAGATCTAGCTCGGAATCTAACTCGAGATCTAGCTCGAAATCTAGCTCGAAATCTAGCTTGAATGGCTCGAGATCTAGCTCGAATGGCTCGAGATCTAGCTCGGAACCTAGCTCGGAATCTAGCTGGGAATCTAGCTCGGAATTCGAATTAGTATAGAAAAAATTCATTCAGCGTTTTGTACTTGCAAAAAGCTATGCAAAAAGGTTATCATGACAAAATTTTGGGCAAATTTCCGGCCCGAGTCTTTCCGGGCTTATTCAAAGCTGATATTGGCTGGGATTCCAGAAATAGATCCATTTAGATTAGAAATTAGGACCAACGATTCCATTTTGATTATTGAAATGAGGCGCGGGCTTCGCGATCCGGATAGGGTGTGGATAAGATCCGAAATTTGATCAAATCTGATTCGAATTTTGAGAGAAACTTAGCAAGACTTAGAAAATTGACTTGTAGAAAAGTCATTGAAAGTCATTGAACTTTTCCAAGCACAAGGGAAGGAAAGGCGAGTAAATACCAATCATTTGAGTAGCTTTACAGTAACCTTCCTACAGTAGCTTTTCTACAGTAGCTTTTCTACAGTAACCTTCCTACAGTAACTTTCCTACAGTAGCTTTTCTACAGTAGCCTTCCTACAGTAACTTTCCTAAAGTTTACTTTCAGCTAATCGCTAAAGGGAAACGAAAACTTGGCGATCGTTTCAAGAAAATCGGGTCAATCGAGGAGGATTTGAAGCGAATTGAAAAGTGAGTTTGAATCATTTGTCTTAAAGATTACAATATTCAAAGCTACGATAATATTTAATAGTGAATCGAAAGCTGTTATCGATGACGTGAATCGCTTAGCTGAACATGATGCGCTGAAGAACGAGAATGGATTGACTGATCCGAAAGCAAGAGCTGAGGTTGGCCGAAAGCGAAGACATAAACTTGAATACGCCAAAGCTGGTTTAAATTAGATAGATTTGAATCTAATCTGTACAAAAGCTGGATTAGATCTGGATTAGATCTAGATTAGATCTGGATTAGATCTGAGCAGATCTGGATCATAACTGGATCATAACTGGACCAGAGCTGGATTAGATCTGAGCAGATCTGGATCAAAACTGGATCAGAGCTGGATTAGATCTGAGCAGAGCTGGATCAGAGCTGAATCAGGGCTGGATTAGATCTGAATCAGGGCTGGATCAGAGCTGAATCAGGGCTGGATTAGATCTGAGCAGATCTGGAACAAAACTGGATCAGAGCTGGATTAGATCTGAGCAGAGCTGGATCAGCGCTGGATCAGATCTGAATCAGGGCTGGATTAGATCTGAGCAGATCTGGATCAGAGCTGGAGCAAAGCTGGATTAGAACTGGATCAGAACTGGATTGGATCTGAGCAGATCTAGATCAGATTCCAATCAGACCCCAACCAGACTCCAATCGGATCCCAATCAGATACTAAACAGAAACAGAGGGCCAGTGATCAAGTCCAGCTAGGCCCTAGTCAATGTTAAAATCAGAACAGAACCAGATCCGGACCAGGATCTAATCTAGGCCTACCAAAGCCCGGCTTTAAATTCTGGAAATTTTTCTGGAAGTCTGGAAGTCTGGAAGTCTGGTAGTCTGGAAATCTGGAAATCTGGAAATTTGGAAATCTGGAAGTCTGGAAGTCTGGAAGTCTGGAAGTCTTTCTGAAAGCCTATAAGCGCTCTGAGCTAGAATAATATAAAGCATAAATAAAGAATAATTTCCAGGAGCTCCGTCAACTCAAAGATCAACTCCGACCGGTGTCCGAGCGAGCCGACAGCGTGCAAGCCGAGTGTAAAGCTTTGATCAAAACAGCATCCCCGGATGCGGATACAAAGCAATTGGTGAGATATTAGAGTTATTGAGAAAGAGTTATTGAGAAAGAAATAAGCTGAGTGGAACTGAGCTCAGGCTCAGACTGAGAAGAACTGAGCTCAGGCTCAGACTGAGAAGAACTGAGCTCAGGCTCAGGCTCAAGCTGAGTAGAACTAAGCTCAGGCTCAGGCTGAGAAGAACTAAGCCGGTAGAACTGAGCTAATTCAAAATTTCCAGTCCTCTACCCTAGCTGAAGTCTCTCGAGCAGTTGATGGGATCAATGCCTCCATTGGCGCCAAACAATTGGCTCTGGATGCTGCCGTGCAACAAATGGGAAGCTATAACGATGCACAAAGGGTTGGTTAGATCTGGATTACTGTACCTCGTAGCTGTTTCCTGTAGCTGTATTACTGAATTGAGCTTTCCTTTGTTTCTAGGACCTCCAAAACTGGCTCGAGGAGACCGAGGAGCTCGTTGGGAATCAAAAAATGCCATCTTCTGACGCGAAAGTTGCAAAAGCGCAATTGCAAAGCTACGATGTGCTACTAAAACACATTGAGGATAAAGAAACGAGGTTTGTTTAGTGAACTGGCACTGAAGCTCGCACTGAAGCTATCAGTTGACAACTAAATAATCAGAATTTTTTACTTAAAATTGATTTTGAAAATGTTGGAAGGTAAGGAAATACAGATCTGCATCATTGGAAAGATCTAGAGGCCGCGTATATAAGACGGCATATACAAAATGGCATATATAAGGCGACGTATATAAGGCAGCGTATATAAGGCTGTATATACGGCGGCTTATATGGGGCAGCTTATATGGGGCAGCTTATATGGGGCAGCTTATATGGGGCAGCTTATATGGGGCAGCTTATATGGGGCAGCTTATATGGGGCAGCTTATATGGGGCAGCTTATATGGGGCAGCTTATATGGGGCAGCTTATATGGGGCAGCTTATATGGGGCAGCTTATATGGGGCAGCTTATATGGGGCAGCTTATATGGGGCAGCTTATATGGGGCGGCGTATATAAGGCGGCGTATATAAGGCGGCGTATATAAGGCGGCTTATAAGGGGGAGCTTATATAGGGCGGCGTATATAAGGCGGCGTATATAAGGCGGCGCATATAAGGCGGCGTATATAAGGCGGCGTATATGGGGCAGCTTATATAGGGCGGCCTATATAAGGCGGCGTATATAAGGCGGCGTATATGGGGCAGCTTATATAGGGCGGGGTATATAAGGCGGCGTATATAAGGCGGCGCATATAAGGCGGCGTATATAAGGCGGCGTATATGGGGCAGCTTATATAGGGCGGCCTATATAAGGCGGCGTATATAAGGCGGCGTATATGGGGCAGCTTATATAGGGCGGGGTATATAAGGCGGCGTATATAAGGCGGCGCATATAAGGCGGCGTATATGGGGCAGCTTATATAGGGCGGCGTATATAAGGCGGCGTATATAAGGCGGCGCATATAAGGCGGCGTATATGGGGCAGCTTATATAGGGCGGCGTATATAAGGCGGCGTATATAAGGCGGCGTATATAAGGCGGCGTATATAAGGCGGCTTATAAGGGGGAGCTTATATAGGGCGGCGTATATAAGGCGGCGTATATAAGGAGGCGTATATAAGGCGGCGTATATAAGGCGGCGTATATAAGGCAGCGTATATAAGGCAGCGTATATAAGGCTGTATATACGGCGGCTTATATGGGGCAGCTTATATGGGGCAGCTTATATGGGGCAGCTTATATAGGGCGGCGTATATAAGGCGGCGTATATAAGGCGGCGTATATAAGGCGGCGTATATAAGGCGGCGTATATAAGGCGGCGTATATAAGGCGGCTTATAAGGGGGAGCTTATATAGGGCGGCGTATATAAGGCGGCTTACATAGGGCGGCTTACATAGAGCGGCGTATATAAGACGGCTTATATAGGTCTATATAAGACGATTCCATCATGCAATGCAGAAAAATGAAAAGAATGACAAAATGGGAGTTTTTGTGTGCGGTTCGGGAGCATCCACGCTTTAGAAAGCCCGCCACGCTTTCGCGTTCGCTTCAGTCCCGGAAAATCGCACGCCAAAAGGAATCTAGCATCTAATTTACAACTTAATATTAATGGAACTGTTAGTGTCCCATAATTTCCCCATTTTCAGTGTCGACGGTTTCCGTGGGATGATCGGCAAGCTCGCGAACATCGCCTCAAACGATGACGAGAAGAAAGCGCTGGCTGCAAAAGCTGACGAGGTAGGATAAAGTTGTAAGGTTGTAAACGATACTACGGTGTCGTTTACAATACCGTAGTATGTAAACAATACCGTAGTATCCTACTACGAAAGTCTGTCTTCTAAAACGCTAAAATCTCGATTCCAGATCACAAATCGATACGAAGACTTGCTGGAAGGAGCTCAAAAGGCTCAGGCTCGCCTTAGAGATACGGTGGATTTGGCGGAGAAATTCACGCACGAGTTGGCCCCATTCGAGCAATGGTTGCAACAAGTCGAGAAAAAGTGGGTGATCTAAAAAGAGATCTAAAATGATCTAAAAGGAGAACGTTCAAAACCGACCGTGACATTTCGACGCAAAACTTTGGCGAAAAGGTAAATCGATTACGAGGATTCCAAAGCTGTAATCCGTCTTGGCTGACGGCGCTCGGGCCCTGGTGCTCGGGCCCTGGTCTCGAGCCCTGGTGTTCGAGCCCTGGTCTCGAGCCCTGGTGTTCGAGTCCTGGTGTTTGGGCCCTGGTGTTTGGGCCCTGGTGTTCGAGATATAAGCGTGCAAGGTTCTCAGCGTGCAAGGCCCCAACACCAAGGCCCGAACACCAAGGCCCCAACACCAAGGCCCGAACACCAAGGCCCGAACACCAAGGCCCCAACACCAAGGCCCGAACACCAAGGCCCCAACACCAAGGCCCCAACACCAAGGCCCGAACACCAAGGCCCCAACACCAAGGCCCCAACACCAAGGCCCCAACACCAAGGCCCGAACACCAAGGCCCCAACACCAAGGCCCGAACACCAAGGCCCCAACACCAAGGCCCCAACACCAAGGCCCGAACACCAAGGCCCCAACACCAAGGCCCGAACACCAAGGCCCCAACACCAAGGCCCGAACACCAAGGCCCGAACACCAAGGCCCAAGGCCCAAGGCCCATCAGCGAAAACGGATTACAGCTTTGGAATCCTCGTAATCGATTTACCTTTGTGCCAAAGTCAAAATGTCACGGTCGGTTCTCAGGTTCTTCCTTGCAAGAAGAAATTCTGGACCCAGATTTTGAGCGCTTTTTTTCAGAATCGGTCAACTCGGCAACGTTCCGACTGATTCGGAGCGCTTGGGCACGCAAATTCACGAAGTGGAAGAGATTCGCGATGAGATCGATAAGAAAAACGATGTGGTAGACAAGATTTGTCAGGTAGGAGAATAGTTTAGGTACAGAAGAAAGCATTCTAGGAAAGGCAAGGCTAGGCTGGACAAGGCTAGACAAGGCTAGACAAGGCTAGGCAAGGCTAGACAAGGCTAGGCAAGGCTAGGATCGGCTAGATTAGACTGGACTGGACTAGATTACCCTAGACTAGACTCTAGACTAAACTAGACTAGACTAGACTAGACTAGACTATGCTAGGCAAGGCTAGACAAGGCTAGGCTAAGCCAGAGCCTGAGCTGAGCCAAGGAAGAGCCTAACCTAGCCGAGAAATAGCCATAACTCCAAACAGCCATAGCATTGAGTCACTCAGCCGTCTATGTTAAGCAAATCCTTCTCTACCGTAATCTTGAGTGTCACAACTCTGTGCTAGCTTGTGAGCCTAAACATTTATGTATTCTTTTTCAGCTTGGCCCAGCTTTGGCCTCATTGGTGAGCGTTGAGGACGCTGGGGAGTTGGAGGCGCAAATCGGCAACGCCACCGCGAAACACGGGCAGTTGGCTGAAAGGTTTGGCTTTAGTTTTATATATTAGCTTCAGATCTAGATAAATATCATCATAAGGATAACTTTATCTAATTTTGATAGACAGGTTCTTTTCTAGAGCCGAACAATGCCATCTATCACTTCATGCGATGGGAGAGCTCATCTCCGATTTCGAGCAGGTACTGTTTATAAAGCTTTGTGCGACAGGAAGGGTGCGACAGGAAGAGCCTGAGCCTGGACTTAGCTTGGCCTGAGCTTGGCCTAAGCCTGGGCCTAACCTGAGCTTGGCCAGAGCCTAGGATTGGCCTAAGCCTAAGCCTGAGCTTGGCCAGAGCCCAGGATTAGCCTGAGCCTAAGCCTGAGCTTGGCCAAAGCCTAGGATTGGCCAGAGCCTAAGCCTAATCCTAAGCTTGGCCTAAGCCTGGGCTTGACCTGAGATTGGCCAGAGCCTAGGATTGGCCAGAGCCTAGGATTGGCCAGAGCCTAAGCCTGAGCTTGGCCCCAGCCTGGGCTTGGCCTGAGCTTGGCCTAAGCCTGGGCCTAACCTGAGCTTGGCCAGAGCCTAGGATTGGCCTAAGCCTAAGCCTGAGCTTGGCCAAAGCCTAGGATTGGCCTAAGCCTGGGCTTGACCTGAGATTGGCCAGAGCCTAGGATTGGTCAGAGCCTAGGATTGGCCAGAGCCTAAGCCTGAGCTTGGCCCCAGCCTGGGCTTGGCCTGAGCTTAAGCCTAAGCCTAAGCCTAAGCCAGCCTAAGCCAGCCAAAGCCAGCCAAAGCCAGCCTAAGCCAGCCTAAGCCTAAGCTATAGCTACAGGAGTACTGGCTTGATTACTAGCATACTAGCATACTACTATTTACTAGCATTTCCAGGACATGACCGAACTCGCCACCTGGCTAGACCAAATCGAACAAGACATGGCTGGTGTTGAAGAATTGCCGATAAATCCAGAGGAATTGGTTGAACAAACGAATTTGTTATCGGTATTTTTTAGAAAGAGAGGGTTTGCTATGTATTTGGAGCGCGAATCTTGCAAACACACCATTTCCGGCAATGGATTCAATGCGCCGGAAAGCGTGTGCTAACGGAGCCAGACAACGGAGCCCCAAAATATTTGACTTGACTATTTGGACTATCAGTTGATGCAGAAAGAAATTGCGCGTCGAACGATATCAAAAACTACCCAAAATAAAGTATCCATGCAAAGTTATGGGGCAAAAGGTTAGGCCCCGTCCACAATGAACGGGGTGTAGGTTTTTAGCTAATAACTTTGCATAGATATTACATTTTGAGTTGTTTTTGATATCATTCGACGCGCAATTTCATTCTGCATCGAATTATAATTCAAATAGGCGAAATCGAAGGGTTGGTGTTGAGAAAAACCGTAATTTAAGTTTTTTCGTCTTTTTCTTAGCACTAATCCTTCTATTTTGCCTATCTGAGTTATCATTCGATGCAGAATGAAATTGCGCGTCGAATGATATCAAAAACAACTCAAAATGTAAGATCTATGCAAAGTTATTAGCTGAAAACCTACACCCCGCCGATTTTGCACAGGGCTTAACCTTTTGCCCCATAACTTTGCATGGATATTAGATTTTGAGTTGATTTTGGTATCATTCGATGCAGAATTAAATTGCGCATCGAATGATAATCAAATAGTCAAAAAGGAACAGTTGGTGCTGAGAAAAACCCTAAATTGCTAATGGCAAAGAGCCGACAGATCTTTTCGTTACAAGTCTACTACAAGCCACCGTAACTTTCTTTAGCATTGATATTTTTGGCTTGCTTTAATCCATTTGAAAGCTCTTGAAATTCTCTATTTTTTAAGCCATAGATCATTTGAATCCGAAAAATCTGAAGCAAGTTAGAAGCGTTTAAAGTTTACGTTTGTCGTTTACAATTTAAATTTTGCTATGGAAAGCGCAGTTTGCTATGGAAAGCACAGCTCAAGCCTAAGAAAGCATAGTCCAAGGCTAAGAAAGCATAGTCCAAGGCTAAGAAAGCATAGTCCAAGGCTAAGAAAGCATAGTCCAAGGCTAAGAAAGCATAGTTCAAGGCTAAGAAAGTATAGTTCAAGGCTAAGAAAGCATAGTTCAAGGCTAAGAAAGCATAGTTCAAGGCTAAGAAAGCATAGTTCAAGGCTAAGAAAGCATAGTTCAAGGCTAAGAAAGCATAGTTCAAGGCTAAGAAAGCGCCATTCAAGCCTAAGAAAGCGCAGTTCAAGCCTAAGAAAGTGCAGCTCAGGGCTAAGAAAGCGCCATTCAAGCCTAAGAAAGCGCAGTCCAAGGCTAAGAAAGCATAGTCCAAGGCTAAGAAAGCGCCATTCAAGCCTAAGAAAGCGCAGTCCAAGGCTAAGAAAGCATAGTCCAAGGCTAAGAAAGCGCCATTCAAGCCTAAGAAAGCGCAGTCCAAGGCTAAGAAAGCACAGTTCAAGCCTAAGAAGGCACAGTTCAAGGCTAAGAAAGCATAGTCCAAGCCTAAGAAAGCACAGTTCAAGGCTAAGATCTCCAAAAAGAATTGTATGTAAGAAATGTAAGAAGTTCTCTCTAGGAACTCGTCGAATCGGTGACCGAACGAGACGCTCTTGTGGCAAATGTGGTGAGAGTGGGAAAAACTTTATGCAAAGCGACGACAGCCGACGAGGCCCTGGCTTTGCAAGGAAAAATCGATGGATTAAAGAATCGGTTTGGCGCTTTGAAATGCAAAAAATAACTTCAAAAAGCTCAAAAAGCTCAAAAGCTCAAAAAGTCTTCCCTTTAAACCCCTAAATTCTAATCTTTTTAATATTCTAGCTACGTTGCTGTGGCCAATTATGCGGATGAGAAGCTCGGTCAACTTTCGAAGGCGATTCCCTTGTCGGATCGATTCCACGAGGGGATTGAAAGAGTCATGGAATGGGTGAGGCCTCTAGACCTTAGGATTTCCTTTTCGATTAGGATTTTGTTTGTGGGCAAAAACGCTAGAGCTTCGTCCAAAACCACCCAATCATATTAGAAGAAAGCGAAAGAAGAAAGAAAGAAGAAGAAAGCGAGAAAGCGCGATTGACTGGATTAGATTCAAAAACAATCACTTATTTGGGTTTAGCCGTTATCCAGGGAACTTCTCACCACCGCCAATCGATTCTCCGTGTCAATTTGCATAAGAACCGCAGGCTAAAAGGCCGATTTAAAGCTTGTGGAGCGAGGTAGAAAGGCTTAAAGTTGGGTTCTAGGAGGACTTGGGCCAGTGGACTGCCGTCTAGGAGGACTTGGGCTAGTGGACTGCCGTCTAGGAGGATCTAGGAGGACTTGGGCTAGTGGACTGCCGTCTAGGAGGATCTAGGAGGACTTGGGCTAGTGGACTGCCGTCTAGGAGGATCTAGGAGGACTTGGGCTAGTGGACTGTCGTCTAGGAGGATCTAGGAGGACTTGGGCTAGTAGACTACCATCTAGGACTCGTCTAGGACCACTGCTGTCCCACAGTGACCGTTTAACAGAGTAGTACCGATGAACCCGATAGCTTTCTAGCTTTCTCTGCCTTCTCTAGATTCTATGGATAGTGTTTAATTCATTCTACAGACGTTTTTTAGGTTGAAGCTGTTGAGGACGATCTCCGGCACATCGATTCAGTCGATCTAGACACACAACAACAGTTGATACACGGAATTGATGAAGATGTGACACAGTGGAGACCTGAGGTATAAAATTTTGACGAATTTTGACGACTTTTACGACTTTGAATCACTTTTGCTATCAATTCATGCTTTTTGAAAGAAAGCTGGGTGGTTTTTGATCTAGATATTGATCTAGATATTGATTTAAAAAGCTTTTTGGCTCATCCATCAAGCTTTATTGGCTTTATTGGCGATCTATCAAGCTCAGGCTCAGGCTCAGGCTCATCCATCAAGCTCTGAGGCTCATCCATCAAGCTTTATTGGCTTATTGCGATCTATCAAGCTCAGGCTCAGGCTCAGGCTCATCCATCAAGCTCTGAGGCTCATCCATCAAGCTTTATTGGCTTTATTGGCGATCTATCAAGCTCAGGCTCAGGCTCAGGCTCATCCATCAAGCTCTGAGGCTCATCCATCAAGCTTTATTGGCTTTATTGGCTTTCTTGGCTCATCTATCAAGCTCTGAGGCTCATTTATCAAGCTTTATTGGCTTTCTTGGCTTTCTTGGCTCATCCATCAAGCTCTAAGGCTCATTTATCAAGCTTTATTGGCTTTATTGGCTTTCTTGGCTCATCCATCAAGCTCTAAGGCTCATTTATCAAGCTTTATTGGCTTTATTGGCTTTCTTGGCTCATCCATCAAGCTCTAAGGCTCATTTATCAAGCTTTATTCGCTTTGTTGGCTTTCTTGGCTCATCCATCAAGCTCTAAGGCTCATTTATCAAGCTTTATTGGCTTTATTGGCTCATCCATCAAGCTCTAAGGCTCATTTATCAAGCTTTATTGGCTTTATTGGCTTTCTTGGCTCATCCATCAAGCTCTAAGGCTCATTTATCAAGCTTTATTGGCTTTATTGGCTTTCTTGGCTCATCCATCAAGCTCTGAGGCTCATCCATCAAGCTTTATTGGCTTTATTGGCTCATCTATCAAGCTTTATTGGCTTTAAAAGCTTTTTGGCTCATCCATCAAGCTCTAAGGCTCATCCATCAAGCTCTAACGCTCATCCATCAAGCTCTAAGGCTCATCTATCAAGCTTTATTGGCTTTAAAAGCTTTTGGCTCATCCATCAAGCTCTAACGCTCATCTATCAAGTTTTATTCTTTTAACTCGATGCTAACTCATGAACTAACTCAGAATCTCGTTACTTTGGTAATTCTCGTAATACTAAACCTGAAACCCATTTGTAAGAGGATTATAGAGTCCTGTGTACAAGAATTTTCCAGGTGGAAGAACTCGTCGCGGTCAGCTCTCAACTCCAACAGTTGGCCGGTCCCGAACGTGCTGAAGAACTCTACGCCCATACACAGGAAATGCAAAGGAGAGTGAATCTCATCGCTGATCAGGTAAGTTCTCGTTTACAATAGTTAGTTAGTTTAAAACCTTAGTAACTCTAGTACTGTAATAACTCGGGCATTGGATTTTGTACCTCGGCTGAAGCCAGTCAAGTCACAATCAGGGCTGAGTACTTGTGTTAGACCCAGACATACTGGATTTCTAGTACAGGGTCCAATACTGCAACAGCACCAGCTATTAGAGCATTGAAAGTACGGTACCTAGGGTAGCCTGCTCTAAGCTGACTTAGAGCCAACCTAGTCTACCGTAGCTTGCTCTAAGCTGACTTAGAGTCAGCCTAGTCTACCGTAGTCTACTTTAAGCCAAGCCGTTTATTCAATTAGCCAATTATTAGTAAGCTTATCTGATAAATATATCATTTCCAGGTCGGTCGTCGAGCCGAGCGCCTTGACTTGGCCGAACGACAATCCCGAGCCGTCGTTGAAGAGTTGGAATTCGTTTTGGAGTGGTTGAATGACGCGAAAGAGAGAGTGATGAATGCGGCTCCTTTAGCAATTGATCCCGACTATTTAAAGGTATGATAAAGAATATTTAAAGGTACGATTTTGTCTATAAAAAGTCGTAACAAGTCCATTTCAAAAGCTACCCTAATCCAATCGATTTCTTTTAGGCCCAACTCCGGAATCAAAAGCTCCTCAATGAAGATTTGAGTGTTCAAAAGGTGAGTGATCTTCAAAGCTCTTTTCGGCTGTTGCTGCTGCTTCTAGAAGTTCTTCTAGAACAGCTTCTCTAGAACAGCTCCTTTAGAACAGCTCTTTTAGAACAGCTCCTTTGGAACAGCTCTTCTAGAACAGCTCCTTTGGAACAGCTGCTTTAGAACAGCTCCTTTGGAACAGCTCCTTTGGAACAGCTCCTTTGGAACAGCTCCTTTGGAACAGCTCCTTTGGAACAGCTCCTTTGGAACAGCTCCTTTAGAACAGCTCCTTTGGAACAGCTGCTTTAGAGCAGCTCCTTTGGAACAGCTTCTCTAAAACAGCTCTTCTAGAACAGCTTCTCTAAAACAGCTCTTCTAGAACAGCTTCTCTAGAACAGCTCCTCTAGAAAATCCAGTATTCCTGTTAGTTTTATCTTTTCCTTAAACGAGTTTCCAGGCTCGTCTACGAGACGCGACAGCTGAATGTCGAAAAGTGGCTCGACAAATTGGACCTGAAGGTGGACAGGATGCGTTGCTCTTGGAAAAGGTTTGGATTGTTTGATCATAAACTATTGATTGGATTGTTTATTGATCATAAACTATTGAAAATAGACAATCCTACGCTCATCTTCGATAAAAAAGCGCTCTTTTTTAGGCTGAAGGTGCCCGAGAGTTAGCCGACGAGGTTTCCCATGTTTGCGCTGAAAGAACCGAGGCTTTGGAACAAGTAAGATATACTTTAAATGGTTTAGAAAGTCTAGAAAGTCTAGATAGTTTAGAGCTTCAGTAAATGGTTACTGTCAATTTTTGGCATGACTATTGGCTACGAATTTTAGGCTCTTGCACTAGCTGAACAAATCGGTGCCTCGTTCGACGACATGAGCATCTGGTTGGATCAAGTTGAGGATGAGCTAGCCAATCAACCGGCTGTCACCACAGCCACACCACCACACGAATTGTCCAAACAGCAACAGCACAATATTGTGAGTGTTAAAGAGATAATTTTGCTATTTAGTTGGAGCAGCTGATCGCTCGGAGAAGCACAGGAGCAGCTATTCGGAGCCAGCCAAAGCTCAAGTTCGTCTAGAGCCAGCCAAAGCTCAAGCTCATCTAGAGCCAGCCAAAGCTCAAGCTCATCTAGAGCCAGCCAAAGCTCAAGCTCGTCTAGAGCCAGCCAAAGCTCAAGCTCGTCTAGAGCCAGCCAAAGCTCAAGTTCGAATCAATAGTTCGAACCAATCCTTGAACCAATTCTTCACCAGAATGGCACGAATGGAGTCTGGAAGTGTAGACAGCTACACTGGAGGTGTAGACAGCTACACTTGAAGCGTAGACAGCTACACTGGAGGTGTAGACAGCTACACTTGAAGCGTAGACAGCTACACTGGAGGTGTAGACAGCTACACTTGAAGTGTAGACAACGATATTGATCTGATCTTCAACCTTTCGACACCTCTCGGACAGTTCCGCACTTGAATCCATTGTTGAATTTCATATTCAAATGAATTTGAATTCCATATTAAAATCCACTTTTTCTAAAAAACCCATTTTACAACCATTAATCCTATACAATTCGACATTTTCTAGGAACTCTCAGCGGTGATCGCAGCGCAGCGTCCACTTGTTGAACGCTTTGAGAAAGACGTTCGAGCGCTCGTCGACTTGGTCGGTCAAGAAGACGCTGTTGCACTGGAACAGGTGATCTTTGTCGTAAAACTGTAGGAAAAGTATCTGTAGATATTTAACACTATTCAATTACGCTATTCAATTACGCTATTCAATTACGCTATCCAATTACGCTATCCAATTACGCTATCCAATTACGTTATCTAATTACCCGATCCAATTACGCTATCTAATTACACTATCCAATTAGGCTATCTAATTACACTATCCAATTGGGCTATCCAATTGGGCTATCCAATTGGGCTATCCAATTGGGCTATCCAATTGGGCTATCCAATTGGGCTATCCAATTACGCTATCTAATTACGCTATCCAATTAAGGTATCTAATTACGCTATCTAAATACGCTATCTAATTACCCTATCCAATTACGCTATCCAATTGCGCTATCTAATTACGCTATTTAATTACGCTATCTAATTACGCTATCTAATTACGCTATCTAATTACGCTATCTAATTACCCGATACAATTACGCTATTTAATTACGCTATCTAATTACGCTATCTAATTACGCTATTTAATTACGCTATCTAATTACGCTATCTTCCAGATTTACGACCAAATCGTCGGCCGTTTCCAAGACGTGCAAAAACAAGTGAAAGAGCGTGGTGAAGGAATCGACTCGATTCTCGACGTTACAGAAGGTAAATCAAAGAAACTTATCGAATAGGCAGTGAATCTGGAAAGCACACTGTAACTTTAGCATTCGGAAATCGTTTGGATGTTTTCCTGGCGACACTCGAGGGAGCCGCCGAGTCACTGCGCCAGCCAGCAGCCGTTTCTGCTGATCCAGGCCTCCTGCAGAATAGAATCGCTGAAAATGAGGCTTTGTTAGACTCGCTGAAGGATAAGGTACAAGATTTGAATGCAAAATTTATTTGATGGGCATTTATTTGATGATTTTTAAGGAGAATGCCTTAGCGGCGATGAAAGAACGAGCGGCTGAGTTGCTGGCCAGAGCTCAGCCTGGTGATGATGCGGCTTCTGAGGTAATGAACTTAAGGAGAGGCAGGAATAAGGAGATAACTATCGGAATAAGATAGCTACCGGAATAAGATAGCTACCGGAATAAGAAGATAACTATCGGAATACGAAGAAAAATGAACGCCAAGGAGTATTTGCTGTGCTCTCCCCTGTCCAAATCGCTTTAAGAACTCAAAAGTTTTGTCCAATCAAAAAAAAAAACTCTTTCTAAGGTATTAAAGCTGAGAATTAGAGCTTTAAAATAGTATATAAAACATCGAATTTTTTCTGAAAAGCTTTTAGAAAATCGGTTTTAGAAAAATCCAGTTTTCCGAAAAACAGATCAGTTTCAAAAATCAATGCAATGAAATTCCGGATCTTGTATAGTACTTTTAGATCTTACAGTACTCTTACAGCAGTTCTTACAGCAGTTCTTACAGCAGTTCTTACAGCAGTCTTACAGCAGTCTTACAGTACTCTTACAGTACTCTTACAGTTCTCTCACAGTACTCTTACAGTACTCTTACAGTTCTCTCACAGTACTCTTACAGTACTCTTACAGTACTCTTACAGTACTCTTACAGTACTCTTTAAAACACTAGACAATACTCGACTCTAGGTTGCTGCTAAAATCCAGGCGCTTGAACAACTGTGGAATGAGATCGGTGATGGTGCGCAGATGAGAGGAGCTTTTTTGCAAGATGCACTTGCTAAGGCGAACCTTTTCTGGAACGAGTTGGACAATTGCCAGAAAGCGATTGATGATTTAAAGGTTTGTTTGGATAGATTTATTGCAAGTAAGTACAGCTACAGTAGATTACAGTACAGCTACAGTACAGCTTAGAGTACAGCTTAGAATACAGCTACAGTACAGTTACAGTACTTGACAGTACATTACAGTCCAGCTACAGTACAGCTACAGTACTTGACAGTACATTACAGTACATTACAGTACATTACAGTCCAGCTACAGTACAGCTACAGTACTTGACAGTACATTACAGTACACTACAGTACAGCTACAGTACAGCTACAGTACATTACAGTACAGCTTACAGCACTAAAACCTCTATAAACTTTTAGGCACGTTTGGAAACAATCGAGCCAGCAATCGGCCAGCCCGAAAGAATCCGTGAACAACAAAATGGAATGATCGAGATCGAGAAAGGAGTACAGACGACAAAGCCGAGGATCGAGAATCTGAGGTGGGATCTTGATCTGGTTCTGGGACTGGAACTTGCTCTGGATTTTGGCCTGGATTTTGGCCTGGATTTTGGTCTGGATTTTGGCCTTGATTTTGGCCTGGATCTGGACCTGGGTCTTGATCTGGTTCTGGGTCCGGTTTGGGTACAGTATCCTGGACTGTGAATTGCACTCTCTAGGCACTTTGTACTAGACATGGGCTTTTTAAAAAACAGTGCTCGAGTCATGAGGCGTGATTGGAGTCGAGTCGTGATTCGAATTGAGTCGTGATTCGAGTCCGGGGTCGAGTTCGGAGTCCGGAGTCAAGCCGGGAGTCTGGAGTCAAGTCCGGAGTCAAGTCCGGAGTCAAGTCCGGAGTCTGGAGTCAAGTCCGGAGTCAAGTCGGGAGTCCGGAGTCAAGTCCGGAGTCAAGTCCAGAGTCTGGAGTCAAGTCCGGAGTCTGGAGTCAAGTCCGGAGTCAAGTCGGGAGTCCGGAGTCAAGTCCGGAGTCAAGTCCGGAGTCTGGAGTCAAGTCCGGAGTCAAGTCGGGAGTCCGGAGTCAAGTCCGGAGTCTGCTTTGATTTCATTAGCTTTAAAGAGCTTGGTTTAGCACTGGATCCAATATGATCCAGTATCCAGCCCAGATTACCCTAATGAAGATTTACAGTAGCTCTAGTTGCCTCTTTAGATACGCTGGCGCAGCTTTGTTGGCGATTATCCCAGAAGAAGAGCAAACAGCTGTCGAGCAACAAGTTGACATGATCGATCGAGGATTTGACACGATTACAAAGGTTAGATAGATAGTAGGCTAAGAGCTAAATAGATAGATAATAGGTTAGATCTAAATAAGTAGCCAAATGAAGCTATTGTAGTTGATAGCTTAGTAGATAGCTTAGTAGCTAGCTCTAGTAGCTAGCTTAGTAGCTAGCTCTAGTAGCTAGCTTAGTAGCTAGCTCTAGTAGCTACCTCTACTATTGTATTAGTACTAGTTCTGTACTGCTCTAAAGTACAGTTCTTCTCTAAAGTACTTCTCTAAAGTACTTCTCTAAAAGTACAGTTCTTCTCTAAAGTACTAGTTCTTCTCTAAAGTACTAGTTCTTCTCTAAAGTACTGCCCTAAAGTACAGTTCTTCCTAAAGTACAGTTCTTCTCTAAAGTACTGCCCTAAAGTACTAGTTCTTCTCTAAAGTACTGCCCTAAAGTACAGTTCTTCTCTAAAGAATGCTATCTTTAGCACTATTAGAAGCCTGTCGTTCAAAATTACAGTAAAACTCTAAATGTTTGCTTTCTAGATGTTTGCTGACAAGAGTGTCCATCTGGGGAAAGCCATGGAGCAAGCAATGGGCTTCCACGAAGATTTAGCTGCATTGAACGAGTTTTTAGATTCAGCTGAACAGGTAGAAATGATAGCTAGAGTTTGCAATCATCGTTAAAGCTTTTTTTTTTGGAGATTTTAAAGCTTCTAAAGGACTTAATCCCATTTCCAGCGCCTTCAATCAATGGGCCCCGCCGAGCAGATGGCTGTGCACGAGATTCAACCGAGATTAGAGGAGCTGCAACTGTTCAGGTACGGTTTATTGTGTTCTTTTGGATTCTTTGGATTCTTTGGGGTTCTTTGGGGCCCTTTGGGGCCCTTTGGAGCCCTTTAGAGCCCTTTGGGGCCCTTTGGAGCCCTTTAGAGCCCTTTGGGGCCCTTTAGAGCCCTTTGGAGCCTATTGTGCCCTTGTAAACCTACCCTATCTGGTGCACTCGTATCATTTCTCTTTCTAGAATTGAGCTCGATGATCATGCGATGTTGAAAGAGCAAATCAATCAGACGGCTCAAGGATTAGTGGCCGGAGCACCAGCTCATCAAACAGCTGCTGTCAGGATACCGATTGCAGGTGGGATGGGAATATAGAGTAATCTTTTAGAGTAATCTTTCCAGAGTTGAACGGTCGCTGGTCTCGTCTTTACGGTGATATCGCCGATCGGGAGCATAAGATTGAACGAGCCATGCTGGAGATGGGAAGACTTGGTGAAGCTGTGGGACAACTGACTGCATGGATTGATAAAACACAAGTAAGAAGACACTATTTGATGGGTTCTATTGGGTTGTCCAGTTATGAATGCGCGTTTTTTACTATTTTGTAAATTTCTCAAGATACCGAAATCAAGAAAAAGATATATATGAGTATTATTCGAAAGCTGAAGATCTCCTCTACATTTTGATATAAAAAGTTTTTGAATTTGTTCAGCTTTTGGGCAAATTGACTGCACAGAAGAAGAGGTGGCCAAAAAATGGCAATGTGCCTTTGGATCAAGTTTTGGCTCCGCTCAAATTGAGTTAACCGTTTGATGTTTGGCCAATAGATATATCAATACAACTTTTTTTTAAATATAACAATTTCAGAGCATCTTTACTTTTCTTTTCTCTTCTGGGAGGTTATTTTACACCATAAAACTTGAGGAATAGCTAAGCTGGAATGGATTTTTTCGAAAACGACCTCTACCTTTGTGCAGTCAATTTCCCAAAAAGTTGAATGAATTCAAAAACTCTTTTATTCCAAAATGTAGAGGAAATGTTCAGCTTTCGAATGATATATAACACTCATATACATCTGTTCGATATCTTGAGAAATTTACAAAATAGTAAAAACGCGCATTCATAACTGGACAACCCAATAGAATAGATATCTAAAGAAAACGCTGGTACAGTACGCCTTTACACTGTACAGTTCGCACTGTGGACCCAAGCACTATAGAGTTTGCATTAACGATCCCAAAACTTTGCAGAGTACCATCGACGAGCTGGGCGCTCATGCTCCAACGAATCTGCGAGCTGTCGAGATCGCTCAATGCAAGCTGGCCGTCGTTAACAATGATATTCACGCTCATGAGCCAAGGTAAGAAAATTTACTGTAGGTCATAGCTGCCTAGAGTCCTTCTTGGAGTACTGTAGCTGTCTAGAGTCCTTCCTAAAGTACTGTAGCTGTCTAGAGTCCTTCTTGGAGTACTGTAGCTGTCTAGAGTTCTTCTTGGAGTACTGTAGCTGTCTAGAGTTCTTCTTGGAGTACTGTAGCTGTCTAGAGTTCTTCTTGGAGTACTGTAGCCGTCTAGAGTCCTTCCTAAAGTACTGTAGCTGTCTAGAGCCCTTCTTGGAGTACTGTAGCTGTCTGAAATGTTACAGTACTTCAGGAAATGATCTCTGCCGTACTACTGACCAATTTCAGCATCAAATCGATCAACGCCTCAGCTTCAAAACTCCGTCAAAGCAGCGATCCATCAACGCTGAAAGAAGTGATGGGAATGAACGAAAAGTGGAAGAATTTGCAAGAAAGCATCGGCAGTTTGGGAGCCGGATTAGAGAGGGTCGGTTTAATTACAGTATACGCACCCTAGAGTACTCTAGACTACTCTAGACTACTCTAGAGTACTCTAGGCTACTCTAGAGTACTCTAGGCTACTCTAGAGTACTCCAGGCTACTCTAGAATACTCCAGGCTACTCTAGAGTACTCCAGGCTACTCTAGAGTACTCTAGGCACTCTAGAGTACTCTGGGCTACTCTAGAGTACTCTAGGCTACTCTAGAGTACTCAGGCTACTCTAGAGTACTCCAGGCTAATCTAGAGTACTCTAGGCTACTCTAGAGTACACCAGGCTAATCTAGAGTACTCTAGGCTACTCTAGAGTACACCAGGCTAATCTAGAGTACACCAGGCTACTCTAGAGTACACCAGGCTACTCTAGAGTACCCAGGCTACTCTAGAGTGCTCCAGGCTACCAGGTACTCCAGGCAATCTAGAGTACTCTAGGCTACTCAGAGTACACCAGGCTAATCTGGAGTACACCAGGCTACTCTAGAGTACCCAGGCTACTCTAGAGTACACCAGGCTACTCTAGAGTACTCTAGGCTACTCTAGAGTACACCAGGCTACTCTAGAGTACTCCAGGCTACTCTAGAGTACTCCAGGCTAATCTAGAGTACTCTAGGCTACTCTAGAGTACACCAGGCTAATCTAGAGTACACCAGGCTACTCTAGAGTACACCAGGCTACTCTAGAGTACACCAGGCTACTCTAGAGTACACCAGGCTACTCTAGAGTACACCAGGCTACTATAGAGTAACTACAGTATCCTCCCGGTCCTCTAGAGTACTGTAGCCATTACAGGACCCTTTGTGCACCAGATAACACCCCTTACAGTACCCCAGAGTAGTCTAATCATTACAATGCTTACCGTAACTTACGGACTAATTACAGCTTATCCTAGCTCCTTTAGCTCATCAAATAAGTCTTCCTAACCACGGTACAGTACCCAAATCTCCTCAAAAACCGGTAATGAGCTCAAATTTTCCTCAAGCATACGGTAGAGTCAAAGTTTTAGGCAAAAGGAGCTGCAGAGGATATCGGCGGTGAGATGGAACGTTGGCTGGCGTATGTGGAAGATGTTGAGGCACAACTGGCAACAACGAAACCGACTGGGGGACTTCCTGAAACAGCGAAACAACATCTCGAGGATTTCCTTGGATTAAAGGATGAGGTGAGGTTCCCAGGATTGGATCGCACTCTTTGCCAGGCTTTGTACTAGACCAGTGTCCTCCAATTCTAAATCTAATCTAAATCAGCGTTAGTCTAGTAAAGTCTAGCGAGATTCCTCTAGTAGAGTCTGGCTAGACTGGGAATCAGATTGGTGAGATACCCTACTATTAGTCCGTTGAACAGAAAGGGATCAGTTCTAGATCTAGAACTAGATCTGGTTCTAGATCGAGAACTAGATCCAGAACTAGATCTAGTACTAGATCCAGAACTAGATCCAGAACTAGATCCAGAACTAGATCTAGTACTAGATCGAGAACTAGATCCAGAACTAGATCCAGTTCTAGAACTAGATCCAGAACTAGGTCTAGTACTAGATCGAGAACTAGATCCAGAACTAGATCCAGAACTAGGTCTAGTACTAGATCGAGAACTAGCTCCAGAACTAGATCGAGAACTAGATCCAGTTCTAGAACTAGATCCAGAACTAGGTCTAGTACTAGATCGAGAACTAGCTCCAGAACTAGATCCAGTTCTAGAACTAGATCCAGAACTAGGTCTAGTACTAGATCGAGAACTAGCTCCAGAACTAGATCCAGAACTAGATCCAGTTCTAGAACTAGATCCAGAACTAGGTCTAGTACTAGATCGAGAACTAGCTCCAGAACTAGATCCAGAACTAGATCCAGTTCTAGAACTAGATCCAGAACTAGGTCTAGTACTAGATCGAGAACTAGCTCCAGAACTAGATCCAGAACTAGATCCAGTTCTAGAACTAGATCCAGAACTAGGTCTAGTACTAGATCGAGAACTAGCTCCAGAACTAGATCGAGAACTAGATCCAGTTCTAGAACTAGATCCAGAACTAGGTCTAGTACTAGATCGAGAACTAGCTCCAGAACTAGATCCAGTTCTAGAACTAGATCCAGAACTAGGTCTAGTACTAGATCGAGAACTAGCTCCAGAACTAGATCCAGAACTAGATCCAGTTCTAGAACTAGATCCAGAACTAGGTCTAGTACTAGATCGAGAACTAGCTCCAGAACTAGATCCAGAACTAGATCCAGTTCTAGAACTAGATCCAGAACTAGGTCTAGTACTAGATCGAGAACTAGCTCCAGAACTAGATCCAGAACTAGATCCAGTTCTAGAACTAGATCCAGAACTAGGTCTAGTACTAGATCGAGAACTAGCTCCAGAACTAGATCCAGAACTAGATCCAGCCCTAGATCCAGTTCTAAATCCAGTTCTAGATCCAGAACTCCCGAAGATTCAGCATCAGTTTCTAGAAGACTAGGCTCTAGGATTTGATATTGTCTAGTAGTTTGGCCTTGATGTTTTCTAGGATATCAACCTAGCTCCAGCACTGGATTCAACTCAAATATGGCAATTATAAATGCTAGATCTCTATTTTTACAGATTGAGGGCAACACTCCAGCTCTGGAAGCTCATGTGGTCATCACTGAAGACTATCTGACAGCCCATCCTGAAGACGAGGGATCGTGGATTGGAAAAAGTGCGCACACACTCAGACACAAGTGGAATCGGTGAGTTGATGTCTTTGCGCTCTTTCAAAGGCGCCTGGTGAACGGGAGCTGACAAACGGGAGCTGACAAACGGGAGCTGACGATCGGAATCTAACGATCGGAATCTAACGATCGGGATCTAACGATCAGAATCTAACGATCAGAATCTAACGATCAGGTTTCCAATTTCGATTTCAGTTGCAAAGATTTGCTGCTCGATCGCGAGAAGAAGCTATCATTGGCGCTAGAGGAGGCGATCGCTTTAGAGGAATCGATGCAATCCACGTCTCAATGGGTCACCAATATGGAAGAAGCTTTAGCTGGTAAAGGGATTGACTTTAATTGGAATTGGCTATTCTAACAGTAGCATTATAACAATAGCATTCTGACACTAACATTCTAACGCTTAGCTTTAGCTGTGTCACCAATCGGTCGCCTACCCGAGGTACTGGAACGACAAAAAGATGAGCAACAACACATGGCCGATGAAGTGAATGAGAAGTGAGCTAGTCTTTTGCTAGAGAAGCTAGAAGTCTTTTTGCTAGAGTTTTAAGCCAGATTATAGCTAGAATTGAAGCCAGATTCTAGCTAGAATTTAAGCTAGATTAAAGCTAGAATTTAAGCCAGATTATAGCTAGAATTAAAGCCAGATTCTAGCTAGAATTTAAGCTAGATTCTAGCTAGATTCTAGCTAGAATTCAAGCTAGATTCTAGCTAGAATTTAAGCTAGATTATAGCTAGAATTCAAGCTAGATTATAGCTAGAATTCAAGCTAGATTCTAGCCAGATTCTAGCCAGATTCTAGCTAGAATTCAAGCTAGATTATAGCTAGAATTCAAGCCAGATTCTAGCTTGAATTCTAGCTAGATTCTAGCTAGATTCTAGCTAGAATTTAAGCTAGATTCTAGCTAGAATTTAGGCTAGATTATAGCTAGAATTTAGGCCAGATTATAGCTAGAATTTAAGCTAGATTATAGCTAGAATTTAGGCTAGGTTATAGCTAGAATTCAAGCTAGATTCTAGCTAGAATTTAAGCTAGATTCTAGCTAGAATTTAGGCTAGATTATAGCTAGAATTCAAGCTAGATTATAGCTAGAATTCAAGCTAGATTATAGCTAGAATTCAAGCCAGATTCGAGCTTGAATTCTAGCCAGATTATAGCTAGAATTCAAGCTAGATTCTAGCCAGATTCTAGCTAGATTCTAGCTTGAATTCTAGCTAGATTCTAGCTTGAATAGTAAGTCTTGTAACTCGTAACGAATTTTGTCCTTAACTGAAACGAGTCCTTAACTCAATCCCAAACAAAATCCATTCAGAAAAGCGGCAATGGCGGAAATGCAAGCAACCGGCACTCGGATGCAATATTATTGCGAGAAAAAGGATGCGATTCCAATAAAGAATGGTTTAGTCTCGTTGAGGCATCGATTTGAGAAAGTTGCACAGAAAGTCGCTGAGAGGGGAAAGGTTTGAAATAGCAAGGCTTAGATAAGAGGCTTAGATTAAAGGCTTAGATAAAAGGCTTAGATAAAGGCTTAGCTAAAAGCCTCAATTTCAGCAACTCGACTCAGCTCAAGCTGAGACAGATGCCTGGCTGGAAAGTGCCAAAGATTTGGAGTTCTGGATGGCGGAAATGGGAGTGAAATTGGAAGAAGAAATCCCTACGACAGCCAACCATCACAAGTTGTTGGAGTTGAGGGATGAGGCGAAGGTAGGCGCTGGTTTTCCGATAGTCATCCATTAGACAAGGCTGTCCAGGGCTAGTCCTTAGACTGTCCAGGGCTAGTCCAGTCTAGAGTCTAGGTTCAATAGTTTACCACCTTGATCTTATCTCTCTATTCATCCATTCATCCATTCATTCATCCATCCATCATCCATGAATCCAGTAACTAACTAGGCTCAGCACTAGTCTCCAATACTAGATACAAAGCACTAGTACCCTAGTAGCTTCAGCTGGGTCCTGGATCCAGGCCTGACTTGCCGGCTTGCTGGCCGGCTTGCTGGCTTGCTGGCCGGCTTCCTGGCTAGCTTGCTGGCTGGCTTGCTGGCTTGCTGGCCGGCTTGCTGGCTAGCTGGCTGGCTGGCTAGCTGGCTAGCTGGCTGGCTGGCTGGCTAGCTGGCTGGCTGGCTTACTAGCTGGCTGGCTAGCTGGCTGGCTGGCTAGCTGGCTAGCTGGCTGGCTGGCTAGCTGGCTAGCTGGCTGGCTGGCTAGCTGGCTAGCTGGCTGGCTGGCTGGCTAGCTGGCTAGCTGGCTGGCTGGCTGGCTAGCTGGCTAGCTGGCTGGCTGGCTGGCTAGCTGGCTAGCTGGCTGGCTGGCTAGCTGGCTGGCTAGCTGGCTAGCTGGCTGGCTGGCTGGCTAGCTGGCTGGCTGGCTGGCTAGCTGGCTAGCTGGCTGGCTAGCTGGCTAGCTGGCTGGCTAGCTGGCTGGCTCCATAGCTTTGTTGAAACACCACTAACCTGGCCTCGATTTGATTCTAGATCCAGACAAGCAAGGTGAGATCAAATAAGCAGCAAGTTGTAGGAGACTTTGAAACATTCCCGATCCAATGCCAGTGCCCAGGGCATTAACCTGTCCACTGATCAGCTCTAGTCTGACCTTGCCTTCATTCTTGATCCAGTATAGTATTCTGAACCCTGTTTACTGTACTAGTATCAAAATTTTCCAGTCATTCGCATGTAAAACCTCATTTTATATTCTTACTCATACAGCCACCAGAAGTCCTTCAGTTTCACGTAAAGAAAGTGAGGAAAAACTATTGTTTAGCTTTAAATCTGTAGTAAACGTTTTGTTTGGAAATATTTTTGGCTAATTCTTTTGCTTACAGGAAGCTAAACAAGAGCTGATTGGCAAGAAGCCGGAATTCGAGGCTGTCCGTCGGAGGGGACAATCCGTCGGTGATCATGCCCCAAAAACGGAACGTAAAGAGATCGAGAAAAAAAATGGACAGCTGAAAAAGGATTGGGATCAATTAGAGAAAGTGGCCACGGATAGGCTGAGAAAAGCTGAAGAGGTGAGATCTTTGGAATTGATTAGAGAATGGTTTCAATGGTGATCTAGAGCTTGGCTTGGCTTGGCTTGGCTTGGCTTGGCTTGGCTTGGCTTGGTTCTGGCTCGAGCTTGGCTTGGTTTGGCTCTGGCTCGAGCTTGGCTTGGCTTGGCTCTGGCTCGAGCTTGGCTTGGCTCTGGCTCGAGCTTGGCTTGGCTTGAGCTTGGCTCGAGCTTGGCTTGGCTCTGGCTCGAGCTTGGCTTGGCTCTGGCTCGAGCTTGGCTTGGCTCTGGCTCGAGCTTGGCTTGGCTCTGGCTCGAGCTTGGCTTGGCTCTGGCTCGAGCTTGGCTTTGGCTCTGGCTCGAGCTTGGATTTCATTTCAACATTCTTAGGCTGTTCTCGAGTCGGGCGCTTTCGATGACGCCATTGAGGACATTGAGGCGTGGATCGATGCGATGTTGCTCGATGCGGAGACCGATTCGGCGATGGCGGTGAGTTGGCGTTTTGTTTCCCAATTGATAGCGGCTATTTGGCAAATCGATATTAGCACAAGTTTATCGATGACTATGTACAGATCTACGGTATTTATCGAGCCATTTTTACAGTCCAGTGCATAGTAGTGGCATTTTGTCAAAATGCTGGACTTTATTAGATGATCTAGATAAGACTGGATCATCTAATAAAGCTGTCTTTGGTATCATTCGAAAGCCTGAAATCTCTTCTATTCACTGATACAAAAAGATAAGAAGAATCTTATCTCTAGACAAATTTATCGCCCTTCAAAACAGTCTGGATCGTACGCCTAATTATCAACGTTTTTAACGTCCAGTTATCCAGATAGAACTGGTTAAAGTGTTTCTAATAATCCAGATTATCTATTAAACTTATTATCTATTAAACTCAATCTTTTTTAGGGCACTAGGGTCCACGGTGACATTGATACGGTTCGCGATTTGATCGAAAAGGAAAACAAAAGAGGTGACGAGAAAGCAGCGAAGAAGAAACAAGTGGACAAGTTGCTGAAAAAAGCCGACGAATTGATTGAAAGAGGAGTTGATGAAAAAGACGATGTGAGAGAATCGAAGAAGAGATTGCAAGAGAAATGGGAAGCGGTGGGTTTAGTGATTTAAGAACTCGACTAACAAGATGTCTAGCTTAAGTCTAATCTAGTCTTTTGCTAGCTACCAGTTACCAGCTGCTAGCTGCCAGCTACCAGTTACCAGTTAGCAGTTACCAGCTACCAGCTACCAGTTACCAGCTACCAGCTACCAGTTAGCAGCTACCAGTTACCAGTTAGCAGCTACCAGCTACCAGCTACCAGCTACCAGTTAGCAGCTACCAGTTACCAGTTAGCAGTTACCAGTTAGCAGCTACCAGTTACCAGTTACCAGCTACCAGCTACCAGTTACCAGTTAGCAGTTACCAGTTAGCAGCTACCAGTTAGCAGTTACCAGTTACCAGCTACCAGCTACCAGCTACCAGCTACCAGCTACCAGTTAGCAGCTACCAGTTACCAGTTAGCAGTTACCAGCTACCAGCTACCAGTTACCAGTTACCAGCTACCAGCTACCAGCTACAGTAGCTATCTTTTCTTCTTTAGTAAAGTACTAAATCGAATCAAAGACACTTTAGCCATGTATTCTAGGCTTTCTTTTAAATCACCAGATTTAACTCAAAATCTCCAGATTGAAGCCGCAGCGAATGCGCGAGCCGACGCGCTACGGATGGCCAAAGATGAGGCTGAAGATTTCGACGCAAAAGCACATGCGCTTCTCTCGTGGATGGATGAGAAAGATGAGAAATTGCGAGTGAATAACAAGGAGCCGAATCTCGATAAAGCCATCGATGTGGCACAAGGAGTAGTGGATGAGATGAAGGTGACTCTATCCGCCAAATCCTTTTCCTAAACCATTTCCCTAAAACTACCGTAATCCTTTCATCGAATCTATCCGCTTTTCTCCTTTTTCTGTGCGCATTCTGTTTAAAACATCAGTTTAAACTTCCAGTTTAAGCCTCCAGTTTAAAAAACCAGTTTAGATACTTTAAAATACCGGTTTAAACAGTTTAAAGCACCAGTTTAAACACTTTAAAACACTTAGAAATTAGTTTTAGTCCTTTAACAAGAAAGCAAAAAGTTTTCGACGGTGAGCGGATTCGAACCAGGGAGGACTGGTGCGGGAGGCGAGACTGCTAACCGCTAGACCATCTGGTCATTGTTTAGATGAAGTAAAAAGTGCCTCATATCCCAGTGGCGTCGTTTTACGTCGCTTTATACAAGAAGAGCGAAACTATCAAAGATGCCGCGATATGGGGCTCTTTTTCCGTTAGCCGCGAAATCGCCGGATGGTGTAGTGAATAGTGCGCTCGCCCCTCGCCCCGGATTCGGATTCGAACCAGGGAGTCGGATTCGAACCAGGGAGTCCCAGCCCGAGAGCCGAGAATGCTAACCGCTAGACCATTCGGTCGCTTCTTAAAGGAGGTAAAAAAAAGGCCTCATAACCCGGCGGCGTCGTTTTTAACGAAAGCAAAAGGTTTTGCGTGGCGGATTCGCCAGGGGTTCCAGCGCGAGAGGCGGTGTAACCGCTAGACCATTCGGTCACTTGTCAACGAAGTAAAAAAGGCCTCATAACCCGGCGGCGTTGTTTTTAACGAAGGCAAAAAGGTTTTGACAGTGAGCGGATTCGAACCAGGGACCCCCAGCGCGAGGGTCCAGAATGCTAACCGCTAGACCATTCGGTCACTTGTCAACGAAGTAAAAAAGGCCTCATAATCCGGCGGCGTCGTTTTTAACGAAAGCAAAAAGGTTTTGACAGTGAACGGATTCGAACCAGGGAGTTCCAGCGCGAGAGGCGAGAATGCTAACCGCTAGACCATTCGGTCACTTGTCAACGAAGTAAAAAAGGCCTCATAACCCGGTGGCGTCGTTTTTCCAAAAATCCAAAAATGCTAAAAGTCGCCAACAAGTACCGTCATTTCCATTTTCAGTTCGAAGAACCGAGAAAAGAGGCTTTGCTAGCTCTCTGTGCTGCAATCCAAACAAAAGCGCATCCAGCAGCCGAGCAACCGATGAGACACTGGAATAAACTGTTGACGGCACGGTGGAAGGTTTGTCTTTGAGCGTTTGAGCGCATTGAGCAGTGAGCGTCTTTGACTTTGAACGCGCGAAGCCTTTTGGCTACGTTAACTTTTTTCTGACTAGTCAGATTTATGTAGTTTCTCGTTTTTTTGGCAATCCTGGAACGCACATGGCAATTTGTAGGAAACATTTTTCCAAAAAACCTATACAAACGATATTAGGATTTAGAATCGACTCGCTGTGTTTAACTCTTTTCTGAATCATCAGATTTATTTAATTTCTCGTTTTTTGACAATCCTGGAACGCACAGCAATTAGATTTTTTATTTAATCGAATTTTAGACAAGAATAAACTTGTACGGATTACTGTAAGTGATTTACCCACCGTAACCGGATTACGGTGGATAAATAGCCGTAATATCGATGTTTTACTGTAGATGAAGCTGTAGACGAAGCTGTAGAGGCTACGGTAACTCGAGCATATTATAGGAAGTCGAGGATCGAGCTCTCGAGAAGACTGTTGACTTGAAAGAGCAAAAACAGAAGAATGAGGAGCGAGAGAAAGCGCTGAAGGTAAGCTTTAAGGATTACTGTAGATCTACTGTCTACTGTGTCTACTGTCGGATTACGGTAACTCTTTAACTTTTTAGGAACTTCTCGCTTTCGTTGCCAAGAAACGCGATCAACTGCTAGCGATGAGCTCTGCGCCGACGCCTGAGGATCTGACTACGGTAAGCGAAGTGGCAAATAGATTTACAGTCCTGGATTACTGAATTCCCTGGATTGCTGTAGCCATTCCCTGGATTATTGTATCCAATCCTTGGATTACTGTATCCATTCCCTAGATTCTGGATCCATTCCCTGGATTACTGTATCCATTCCCTGGATTACTGTATCCAATTCTTGGATTAGTGTCTCTATTTCCTGGATTACTGTATCCAATCCCTGGATTCTGTATCCAATCCTTGGATTACTGTAGCCATTCCCTGGATTACTGTGTCCAATCCCTGGATATCCAATCCCTGGATTCTGTATCTAATCCCTGGATATCCAATCCCTGGATTACTGTATCCAATTCTTGGACTAGTGTCTCTATTTCCTGGATTACTGTATCCATTCTCTGGATTACTGTATCCAATCCTTGGATTAGTGTCTCTAATTCCTGGATTATTGTATCCATTCCCTGGATTCTGTATCCAATTCTTGGATTACTGTATCCAATCCCTGGATTACTGTGTCCAATCCCTGGATTACTGTATCCATTCCCTGGATTCTGTATCTAATTCTTGGATTACTGTATCCAATCCCCGGACTAGTGTCTCTAATTTCTGGATTAGTGTCTCTAATCCCTGGTTTACTATATCTAATCCAGCAAAAGGATTACTCTGTCATATTCAAGGATCACCGTATCTTTATCCAACACTTACTGATCACTGTACCATTTTTCAGGAAGAAGCCCTAAGATGGGTGGGTGAAATGAGTTCTTTTCTTAATCATATGTTGCTTTTTGTCTTGTCCAAAATTTCAAATATTAAAGAAAACCCTGGCTTTTAGATAATTGATAATAGATAATAGATAATAGATAATAGATAATTGATAATAGATAATAGATATGTGTGCTGTGTGGAATTATCCTGTATCTACTCTCTTTTATCTCAAATTCAGGTGGATAACATGCTGCAAGCGTACGAGCAACTCGACTTTGAGCTCAACGAGAAACAACCCGAGGTGGACGACGCGGTAAAAGGAGGACAAAAAGCAAAGTGAGTCGGGTGGCTAGGGGATTTGGGCTGTAGGATTGCTAGACTCAACTCTGGACACCGTGCTGAGCTATACCGTGCTGTGCTGAGCTACAGCCTGGCTACTAGACCCTATTCAATCCAGCAGCTAGGTGTTCGCGTTCACGTAGAGGCCTAGAGGTCACCAATTGACCTTTTAAATCTCCAAACAACTCCATCTTATAGAATCGACTACGCTGATTCTGAATCTGTTTTCAGTTTTTAAACACGATGCCTGTAACGCGAGTTATCTCGGCTACAAGTTTTAGGCCTCCAACACCACGTCACTAGTTGGCTCCGTGAAGTGAACTCAAGTAAAGACGGAGCCAACTAGTGATGTGGTGCAGGAGGCCTAAAACTTGTAGCCGAGATAACTCGCGTTACAGGCATCGTGTTTAAAAACTGAAAACAGATTCAGAATCAGCGTAGTTGATTCTATAAGATGGAGTTGTTGAGAGGTTTAAAAGTTCATGGCACTGGCAACTGGTAACTGGTAGCTGACAACTGGTAGCTGGCAACTGGTAGCTGGCAACTAGTAACTGGTAGCTGGCAACTAGTAACTGGCAACTGGCAACTGGTAACTGGCAACTGGTAGCTGACAACTGGTAGCTGGCAACTAGTAACTGACAACTGGCAACTGGCAACTGGTAACTGGTAACTGGCAACTGGTAGCTGACAACTGGTAGCTGGCAACTGGTAGCTGGCAACTAGTAACTGGTAGCTGGCAACTAGTAACTGGCAACTGGCAACTGGTAACTGGCAACTGGCAACTGGCAACTGGTAACTGGTAACTGGCAACTGGTAGCTGACAACTGGTAGCTGGCAACTGGTAGCTGGCAACTGGTAGCTGGCAACTAGTAACTGGCAACTGGTAACTGGCAACTAGTATATTCCTAGTAAACTGGATTCATGAAAGCTAGAATTTTAATAACTCTAATAGCTACATAGTTGAACTGTAGCCTGGCCAGAGTAGCAAGTATTCAGAAAGATCCCATAATGACCTAAATCCACGGTGTGCGCTCCAGAATCACCATTTATCTAACGAAAAACAATCTGGGGCACTTGCGGCGCTTGCGGCACTTGCGGTGGCTGCGGTGGCTGCGGTGGCTGCGGTGGCTGCGGTGGCTGCGGTGGCTGCGGTGGCTGCGGTGGCTGCGGTGGATGGATTCTTAAAGCTTTTACGGTACTTGATCATTTTAGAAACCCGAAAGCCATTCAATTGGGCGACGAGTGGAAACGTTTATGGTTGGACGCGTTGGGGCACAAAAATGCGTTGGATGAAACGAAAGAGTTGCTAGAGGAAATGAAACGATTAGAAGGATGGCAATGGGAGGATTGGAAAGAGAGGTACGAGGCGATTTGGAGTACATTGCCTAGAGTAAACACCTAATTACGATATTACATCTTTTCTTTTCAGATACTGTGAATGGAATGATCACGCAAAAGGTCGAGTGACTGATTTGTTCCGAAGAATCGATCGAACCGCCACCGGAAATGTGCCAAGACAAGCATTCATCGACGCTATCATCAATAGTCGTAAGTTGTGTTTGAGAAACGCCTTAAAATGTGCCTTAAACGATCGTAATCCCGTAAACTAATTCGTAATTACTCCAGGTTTCCCAACGTCTCGCTTGGAAATGGAAAAAGTTGCCGATTTGTTCGACAAAGACGCTTTCATCAATCACAAGGATTTCATCAATGCGTTGAGATTCGATAAAAATGTAAGCAATAGGTTACTGTAGCTATTGGGTTACCGTAGCTTTTATTGGGTAGGTTACTGTAGCCTTGCCTGGGTCGGCTACTGTAGCTTTTATTGGGTAGGTTACTGTAGTTATTGGGTAGGTTACTGTAGCCTTGCTTGGACAGGTTACTGTAGCCTTGCTTGGACAGGTTACTGTAGCCTTGCTTGGGCAGGTTACTGTAGCCTTGCCTGGGCCGGCTACTGTAGCTTTTTTTGGGCAGGTTACTGTAGCTTTTTTGGGTAGGCTACTGTAGCCTTTTCTTGGGCAGGTTACTGTAGCCTTGCTTGGGCAGGTTACTGTAGCTTTGATTGGGTAGGTTACTGTAGCTATTGGGTAGGTTACTGTAGCCTTGCTTGGGCAGGTTACTGTAGCCTTGCTTGGGCAGGTTACTGTAGCCTTGCTTGGGCAGGTTACTGTAGGCTTGCTTGGACAGGTTACTGTAGCTTTGATTGGGTAGGTTACTGTAGCTATTGGGTAGGTTACTGTAGCCTTGCTTGAGCAGGTTACTGTCGCTTTTATTGGGTAGGTTACTGTACCTCTATTGGACAGGTTACTATAGCCTTGCTTGGATAGGTTACTGTAGCTTTTATTAGATAGGTTGCTGTAGCCTTGCTTGGGTGGGCTACTGTAGCCTTTATTGGGCAGGTTACTGTAGCTATTGGATAAGTTATTGTAGCTATTGGGTAGGTTACTGTAGCGACAACTACGAGAGCCTAAGTAAGCCTAAGTACTAGAAGTTTACCGTAATTAAAGCCTAAAAATAAGCCAAGCCAAAAACATTTAGCGCCGAGCCGAGCCAAAGTCAGACAACGAGCGGATCGCGATCGAAATCGACCGCCAAGTGCGCGGCTGTGCCTGCTGTCAACCGTACAAAATCGAGAAGATCAGCGATGGGCATTATAGGGTAAAAAAACGATTAGAACTAACAATCAGCAGAACTGGAGCTCTTGTCCGTTATCCTGGGCTTTTATTAAGTTATCTACTAAAACTAAAACTGAACTCACAGACAGGTCACAGACAGGTCATAATTATGATCACAGACACCTCCAGGCCCATAATTATGATCACAGACATCCTTCTAGCTCCTTCTAGCTCCTTCTAGCTCCTTCTAGCTCCTTCTAGGTCCTTCTAGGTCCTCCTAGGTCCTTCTAGATCCTTCTAGGTCCTCCTAGGTCCTCCTAGGTCCTTCTAGCTCCTTCTAGATCCTCCTAGGTCCTTCTAGATCCTCCTAGGTCCTTCTAGGTCCTCCTAGGTCCTTTTAGATCCTTCTAGCTCCTTCTAGATCCTTCTAGCTCCTTCTAGATCCTTCTAGCTCCTCCTAGGTCCTTCTAGCTCCTCCTAGGCAATCGCAAGGGCCGCCCCTTCTCGGCAATAAAAGGGATAAGCACAGGGGAGAACACATTTGCATAAGAGTAGACAAATCATCCAAGAATAACAATAGTAACTAAAATATCAGTTTGGCTGGAAATATCAGTTTCCATCGTGGACCGGAAGTGTTATAGTGATTCTGAAAGCCTAAAACGAGCTCTATAAAATGCTGTATTTGCTTTGGACCATTATTTTAATTTTTCACGCATTTTGAGGTGCGCAAACTAGGGTTTAGAAAAACAAAACATTATCGGCCCTGTTTTTCTTGTTGATTTTCTTGTTTTCTTGCCACTACGGTGTTCTTTTCAAAATTCAAAGTCCCTTTTTAAATTAGCAATAATATTTATAACGGACAAGAGGCTTCTAGTGAAATACAAATCGTTTCCTAGTTTTGTTTTTTAAATTTCTGCTAACAAATTTTGCTAACAGTTTTGCTAACAGTTTGCTAACAGACTTTTTACGCCACTCCAGTTCCTCGATCGTTCACCGCGTTTTAGAAGCTGTTTCACACAGGTTTTCTTCACCAGAAAATCCCCTAAATTTTCGCACTTTTCGTTGTAATTTGTGAAATTTCGGGTAGCTTCTAGTAGATTTGTGCCTTTCGTAGTTTACGATAGCTACGATAGCTACGATAGCTACGATAGCTACTATAGCTATGATAGCTACTATAGCTATATAGCTACTATAGCTACTATAGCTACGATAGCTAGGATAGCTACGATAGCTACGATAGCTAATATAGCTAGGATAGCTACTATAGCTACGATAGCTACTTTAGCTACTATAGCTACTATAGCTACGATAGCTACGATAGCTAGAATAGCTACGATAGCTACGATAGCTACTATAGCTACGATAGCTACGATAGCTACGATAGCTAGGATGGCTACGATAGCTACGATAGCTACGATAGCTACTATAGCTATGATAGCTACTATAGCTACTATAGCTACGATAGCTACTATAGCTACGATAGCTACGATAGCTACGATAGCTACGATAGCTACGATAGCTACTATAGCTACGATAGCTACTATAGCTACGATAGCTACGATAGCTACGATAGCTATGATAGCTACTATAGCTACTATAGCTACGATAGCTACTATAGCTACGATAGCTACGATAGCTACGATAGCTACTATAGCTACGATAGCTACTATAGCTACGATAGCTACTATAGCTATGATAGCTACTATAGCTACATAGCACGATAGCTACGATAGCTACAATTGCTACATAGCTAGATAGCTACGATAGCTAGGATGGCTACGATAGCTACGATAGCTACATAGCTACATAGCTACATAGCTACGATAGCTACATAGCTATGCTACTATAGCTACATAGCGTAGCTACATAGCTATCTACAATTGCTACTTTAGCTACAATAGCTTACTGTGGACATCGTTTAGCTCCTCCAACTTTTCGGTTTATTTACCGTTCATTTATTGTTGGTAATCTACGTAATCTACGCTACAAAACCTTTGATTTGTTTTCTGCTTTCGCGTAAACGCTAAACCCTCTGGCGCACTGAATTTCCGCGTTTTAAAGCATTGTTTCTAGAAGGAATGCGGAATTCAGTGCGCCAGAAAAGATGCGTTTAGATGAGAGCACAAAATGCAGCAGAAAGTGCAGCACAAATAGCAGCAGAAAGGCTCGAGAATTCAGTAAATTACCATCCACCGTAGTCGGGCGTTTCTTTTTTTAAAGTCTCGCATTCATATGCAAATTTCAGTTCGGTGACACGCAAATCCGGCGAATGGTGAGAATTCTTCGATCAACGGTCATGGTTAGAGTTGGCGGTGGATGGGTGACACTGGAGGAGTTCTTGCGATCACACGACCCGTGCCGGGCAATTGGTAAGTGGAGACGCGAAATGGATACAGCGCCACTAGCACTAAGCTACAGTACAGTACCGTACTATGCACTGACGTCTGGATCCAGATACCCAAGCATCCAGATACCCCAGGGCAGAAAAGCAAGCACTGTAGGCGAGATAAGATTACGGTGAGTTTCGCAGCGAGACAACGCTAGCGAAGGGTTACTGTAGCGCCGGATTACGGTCACCAATCGGCCTCCTTCGGCTCCTATAGGTACTGTAGATTACGGTAGCTAAGGGATTAGCTAAGGATTAGCTAGCTAAGGGTACTGAAACTTGAGCTTGGTATACTGTAAAACAAAAGGATGAAAAAAGACTTGAACCACTGACTACGGATCAGCAAGCCGTTTTGGCTGTGCTCTGCCAGGTCTAGAGCCAGCTAGCCAGTTACAGTACCCAGGTAAAGCTCATTCTACGAACTACTAGACCCTGTGGTACTGAGCTAAGCCCTAGACTACGTTGCCAAGCCCTAGACTACCTTGCCAAGCCCTAGACGCTTGCCAAGCCCTAGACTACCTTGCCAAGCCCTAGACAGCCTTGCCTAGCCCTAGACTACCTTGCCAAGCCCTAGACTACCTTGCCAAGCCCTAGACTACCTTGCCAAGCCCTAGACAGCCTTGCCTAGCCCTAGACTACCTTGCCAAGCCCTAGACAGCCTTGCCTAGCCCTAGACTACCTTGCCAAGCTCTAGACTACCTTGCCAAGCCCTAGACTACCTTTCCAACCCCTAGACTACCTTTCCAAGCCCTAGACAGCCTTGCCTAGCGCTAGACTACTTTGCCAAGCCCTAGACTACCCCGCCAAGCCCTAGACAGCCTTGCCTAGCGCTAGACAAGCCCATCTACCTTGAGAACTGTTTTGTATTAAAGTTATCGTATGTTTACAATTTTCTAGGTCGTCGTTATCAAGATATCTATCCCGACGTCCGTCCATCGAACGCCGTCGACACAATGCGAGCTTTCACAAAAAATCGGCACGCTAGAATGTCCTCAACAGATTCGGATGGAGCACAAGTGCCGCCAGGAGCTCTGGGACCGATTACGAAAATTCGGTATAATAAAAGCAACTCGAAGGTTGACCCTGTAACTGGGTAATTGAGCCGAGTGCCAAAAAAAGCAGAGTGCCGGAAAAAAAAAGTGTGTGTCCCAGAAGCCGTGCGATTCCATAAACGCACGCATCTGGTGTACTGGCGAAACGCCAGTCGGTTTAATTGCCCAGCTGCAAGGCAATTCAGCTATCTCATTGCAAAACTATTCAACTTTTTACAGTGAAAAGACCGAGCGGAGCTTCCCGATGTTCCCGCATGGCCACGATCATCAAAGCCACGCACACAACGGCTCATCATCATCGGTGTCAAAGCTGCGAGCCCCGTCCGACGTGTCGCTGGGTGATTCGAGAATCGGTAAGTCACTGTGAGGTTTACTGTAGCGTAGCAATCCTTTAGCAAACTCATCTTGACCTCGGGTTACTGTAGCTATTCCTACCGTTTAGAAAGACTCCCGATCCTATCTTTTAGACCAAGTACAGTAATCCAGTCGCCTCAAACAGCTATGGAGGTTACTGTAGTGCCTTTTAGCTAGCATAGGATTACAGTAGCTCGTCTTCCAGGGGCACCTTTTAGAAACGACTTTCAATGAGTTTAAATCTACCCTACAGTAATCTCAAGAAACTACAGTAATCTCCGACTACAGTAATCTCCGACTACAGTAATCTCCGACTACAGTAATCTCAAGAAACTCAATCTAAAAGCCCACGAGTCTAAATTATGGGCCAAGTACAGTACCCCATTTTCAGGCAAGGGTTGGCCGGGTGGAATCTCCCCAGCTGGCAGTCAGTCGAGTCTCGACCGGGGCAGTCGTCCGCCAAGTCGGGCAAGCGCCGACCCAGAGCGCTCCACGAGGATTCCGTCGTTGCGCGGCAAAAAGGGAGTACGGTAGGTGCTTCACAATCTTAAATCCTACCTTAAAAGCCGACAAACGCCACACTAAATCATTTTAAGAAGTACTGTACTTCACAAGGAGTACCGTATCTTTTTTTACTGGTATTACTGTAGCACAAGAGTCAGACACTTTACCATTTACCGTTCTCTAGTGCTTTTTAACCCATTCGAAACTTTCTGCAGCGAATAATCGCTGCAGCAAAAACTCAGGAACGGACCGCTGCAGCGATTATTCGCTGCAGCGCTAATTGAGCTATTTTCATTCAATTAATTGGTTTTTTTTGCTGTTTTTGCATTGCATGTATATTCCAATTGTAGCAGACCTACAAATTACGTGGGCAAAGAAGATGTTTTATATTGACCCGGAATCAATGCAGTCTCTGGTTTTGCATTGAAATGTTCCATAATAGTTCTAATCTTATAAAGCCGATCTCCCGCAGGATCCAGTTCATTATCACAAAAACGCAGGTTTCGAAGAATAGATTCAAATTTTGCTCATGACATAATGTGGGACATGTGGGAAAATCCTCCTAATCCAGGCCTGCTACTCCAGTAGTCACGATACAGAGCCAGGAAGAGCTTGCATCGAAATCCTGCCAGTTTTTTTTGCTTTTTTTCCATGTTTATTAGATTCGCCTACTAACATGCTGATTAATTTGTCGTCGATAAAATAAGAATAATATAGGATCTTGAAAAGTACTGAAGTCGAATCCAAATCGTTCTTCATCAAAAATAAATGGTGTAGACCTCTTGCATCTTTCCACCAAATAAACTGCTTCGGGTCAAAATGTCAAAGGGCTTGGTCCGTAGACGAAAAAAAAGAAAAAACGCTGCGGTTTCGAATGGGTTAAAGTGTTATAGATAATTATTATATTATTATAGTATTATATTAAAAATAGTATTATAAATAAAAGATAAATATAAATAAATAATAAAAAAGAAAAATATAAATAAATAATAAAAAAAATATAAATAAATTATAAAATAATTAAAATAAAAAAATCAAAGCCTGAGAATATCCACATTTTTAGCTACAACCCACCGCGTCAACTGTAAAAATCGGAATTTGCCTTATTTTTTTAACTTTTTTGAAGAAACCAGTATTTTTATGGGTTTAAATGCTCATTTTTGATAAATTTTATCATTTTTTGCTTAAGTCCCAATAAAATGTGATCTCTTTTTGAAAGCTTTCTGTGAATTTTTATATGTGAACTTCTGTTTGTTTTAGCATTTTCGTTGAGAAAATTCACAATTTTGCCGGTTTTCGTCAGTTTTCCTACCGTAATTTATCTGTTTTATGCAAATTTTGCTTGTTTACCGTAACCATGGCGCATTTTTGGTTGTGTTTTAGCCTTTGACAAGTGATTTTTCTAAAGTTTTAAATAAATTTTGCAATTTTTCTTCAAAAATTTCACGTCTATACAAAAAAAGCGACCAAAAATTATCACAGGAATCCGTAAAAAGAAAAAAATGATGGGAATTTCGGCATTTCATAGTTAAACCGTTTAAAAACAAGCAGAAATTATAAAATTTAACTCAAAAAAACAGAAAAACGTTACCAAAACACGTGTTTCCTATTTCTTTTTCTTGTTTTTCTTCGCTCCACCACCACCACCACCGGATGATCCTTGCTGGGCGCTGCTCTGAGCTGAGAAACCCGGTTGTCGACTTTTCAACTTGGGAATCGTCTCGCACAGATACGCAAAGAGCTCTTTTCCTGGAAAATATGACAATAAACTAGGTTTATAAAAGGTCGTCGAAACCAAAATCTATCGAAAACCCTAGAGTACAAATTTTTAGCTCATAAAATCCATCGCTGAATAAAACAGGACAGGGGATATTAGTTTTAAGTCAAACCCTGGAACACGTGTCCCCTTATTTTTGATTCTCTATCCAAAAATATAAAACACATCGAAACCGGTCCATTCCCCGATTCTTTGCTGACAGACAGACAAACATTTCACAATTATATAATAGTAAGATAACGGTACTATTTACCTAAAATCGGTCATTTTGGTCAAGGGAAACAAGTGAAAATCAGTAAAAACTCTACCTTTACTTCCTTTATTACCAAATCACAAAACCCAGGCGATCTCGTAGCTTTTCACTACCACTTATGCAATTCAAACTTCAATTTATCTACGTTATTGAATTTTAAACCCATAGCCACGGCTTACTCGCACATCTTTTCATTCAAAATTGACGAATACCCAACAATTGCCGTTCGAACAAATTTCCCCTCAAATCAAGCACCACTCACTTGTCTTGAATTCCTTGAATTTCGGTGTGTCATCGTCGTTCAATAATTGTACTTTCACGCGTCCCTGCATCGCCCAATCTCGCGTCTGATCACGGGGATACATCTTTTTCTGAAAAAAAATAGCAAATCAATAAAGCTGACTCTCACTTTCTACAATGAAATTTCGCCAACCGATTCTATAATGTAATAAATAAAGTCTAAAGGTTGTCGTCAACAGCTTCAAAATCTATTTTACAAACCTCAGCAATTGGAGCAAAATTTCCAGCCTGGAGAATGTCGAAGATCTCTTGAGTCGTCGGATTCTCAACAGCCTAAAACAAAGCATTTTGATGATGACAGAATCAAAAAGTAGACTCAGGCTATCAAATATTATCAAATCCAAATTCATATCCAAATTAAACCTTCAAAAAATTCTTTAAATCTTCATCAAAACGTTCTAAAAAATTTGTCCAAAGTTGGAGGATAATCAACCAATTTATTTATTTATTTATTTATTAAGGTTGATTATAATTATAAGGAGGATTTATTATGATTGATAGGGCAAGTCTATCAAAAAGTACCCGGTACCTGTGCCTGTGTGATTCGGCGTCCCTCTTGCACGGTTTTCTTCGCGTTGATGTATGCCGGATAGACGGCCACCCATCGTTCCTGTGCCGATCGGGGTTTTTTCTTCACGTCGCTCATCACTAAATAATCTAAAGTTACTATAAAGTACAATATATCGACAAGAAATTGAAAATTCAAGGTCCAGCTATGTAAAAGGCTTAAAAATATCAAAAACTTCAACGAAATAGCTAATTTTCGATGGAACACTTGCAATATTTGGGCTCAAATTGATAAAAACGAATAGATTTTCGACTTTTTCGCTTACTTTTCTATAGAATCACCAATTCAATAAAACAAATGGCCAAATTGGCTTTCATCCAAACGGGAAGAAGTACGGTAACTTTCCACAAGTCCACAAAAAGAAAAAGAAAGTCCACAAAAAGGATGCCAATCAATTCGCGTCCAAAAGCCTTATTCATTCCAAAGGTCTAAAAAATATTCAGCTAACGCAACTTTTTCCATAACTATTCCAATTATAACAACATTTATTCATTTTTGAAACTAAAAACAACTCAACAAACAACTTTAACAATCAAGAAATGAGCGATAACAATGAAAAGGATTGGGTAAAGGCACAAGAAATGATGGGTGGATAACAAATTGGAATAAAATCTCGAAAATTAAACAAATAACAACGTTTTTCCTCTCAATTCTCCATGGCTTTCCGAATCGATTTCAACATCGGAAGTGGCGTTTTGGCGTTTATCTGAAAGAAATTAGTTAAGGCAGTTTCAAAATTTACTACAATCATTATCTTTATAAGCACAATGAAGGGATTTTAAGCTTAAAAATGTTCAAAAGTGTTGAACACTGTATTTTGCATGTTTTGAGTACGTCTATCAGTTAGTCTCGCAAAAATAACCAACCTGTTGACAAGAAGCGTTGAGTTTCTTCAGCGATCCGCCCGCTTTCCACAAATCCTCATCGCCGATCAGCGTGTCCAATGTTTCATTCAACGTTTTCCCAGCCAACGACATCAACTTCTCGTCATCGGAGCAAACCGACACGAATTGGATGAGCACTTTGAGCAATGCAGCAACGATTCGGGGCTTGATGTCGGCACCGCTTGTCGTCAGAGTCTTGAGTAAATTGGCTGAGCTTTCCAAGAGCATCTTCACCAATCCTTTCTCCAATGGGCTCACTTTGACGACATCTTTCCGCAACAAAGCCGCCGCACACAGGAAAGCCTCAGTCTGAAAGAGAACCATGTAATAAAGAAAATAAGATGTAATCAACTCTTCTAAAAGGTCGAATCTTCTCATTGAACCCGTAAGCGATCAATTTCGGTAATTCCGTGCAGAAAGAGGCCTAAATTTGAAAGTAATTAAGAGAAAACAAGTGAAAAAAGCTTACCGGATAACGTGTATACGCTCCAACGACCACTTCAGAGTCAAAGTTCGCTTCATCACCTGCAAAAAATTGTGGTTAGAAAACGGTCATAAATCCAAGTAAACTTGTCATGAATTTGTCCATCAATCCAACAAAAGCGGCCACATGTTTGGGATCGCTTTGACCCTTCTCGGTGCCGAGAGTGAACTAAAAATGAGTCCTGTGCAAGAAATTAAAAGATAGCAGGTTTTAATGCAAAAAATCAACAAACCAGCCAAGCCGAGAAATCACCAATCGCCTTTTTGATGACCGGATTGATGGCTCCTTCGGCTTCTTTAGCCAATTCGTCCAAAACGGCTGTCAAACGTTTTCGTGGTACTTCCAACTGGAAAAAAAAATATTCTTAGCTTTTAAACTTTGACTAAAATACACCTTCATTGGTGAAAAGCCAACCTTTTTCATATGAACAAGCACATTCAACAACTCCAGCGCTTTCTTGGTGACTGTGTCATCTTTGGCGCGTCGCAAAAGCGTCTTCACCAAGGAGAGTAGTGGAATAGCGATTGACTAAAAAGCAGATAATGTATAAATTTAGCAGAACTGATTTCAAGTATCATGGGCAAATGGTCAAGTACCAGTGTCAGTTTTCCTATTCAGCAACTCACCAATTTCACTTTTCCCGGTGTTGACTCGTTCGAAATGAAGACGAGAAGCAGCTCTAACAGTTTTATCCTCAACGGGTTCGCGATTCGTGACGCATCGGCTTGCACCTAAACATTGCCATATAACTTGAATTTCCAGAGTTTATTATAACGCTAATATATAGGCTATGGTTATGACTTAGATTTGGTCTGGCTTTTGGAACAAATCCAATCACAAAATCCGAAAGTTGTACCTAACTTTTAGCTTGAATGCCAGTGTACCTTTTTCTTTGAGTTCTTCCCGCCAATCGACTTGAACGCAGCCGCCAATCCATCATCCAAACGGAACATCTCGTCATCGTCAGGCCCATCCGAGAGGTCACTTTCCTAAAATTGGATAAATGGCATCTGGGCCATAAATGTAATTCAGCGTACACCCGATTTCGTCTCATCAACGGCCGCTTTTCCGAGCGCTTGTTTCAGTCGACTCAACAACATTGGATCAACCTAAAACCTTGGTTTTGAAAAACAAACTTTTGATTGCATACCTCTCCTTCCGGATCAGATTCCGATTCATCGGACAACTCGACATCACTCTCCTCATTTTTTCCGTTTTGCTCCTTTTCACCGTTGACTCCATTCACTAAAATAAACTAGCTTTACGAACAGAACATTAGCTTTATTTCTTAGTCTTTACAGCAATTTAGCCCTGTTGTATATTAGCCATTCACAACCAACCTTTAGCATTCTCGATCTCCATCATTTCTTCATCATCTTCTTCATCCGCTTCTTCATTCTCTGCTGTTCCCACCAACTCCTCGTCACTTAAAGCAATCGCCTAAAATTTTTACATAACTTTCAAGAACCCATAAGCTTTACCTCAATAATGTGCATCACGTGAACTGTTTTCAAATGTGGCAGTGTCGACAAGAAGAGGTACTGAACAGGGGCTCGGTGGAATCTAAAAAGCATAAATATTTGCGAAACTTTTCAACAAACCGATGCAATTGAGACAACAAGGCTACGAAGAGATCGAGAAGAACCTGGAGAAAAATATTTGCTAGAGACGCGTAAAAGTTTACCTTGAAAGAATCCTCATCCTCTTTGAACTTTGCCGCTAATCCGACCAACTCTTGCGCGTTCTCCAAGTAGGCTTTCTCCTAGAAATGAGAAACTATTGGAAAAACCTTTAAAAATTATTTTAGTAAGAAAATTCAGGAACTAGAAAGAGAAAACTAAGATATCAATAAGCATCAGAGATTTCTTCAAAACAACCCCTACCTCATCTGAATCCGGTGTCGTGGCCGCCCAAATTCTCAAGCATTGCCAAAAGGTGAGGAGTTGTCTGAAAAGAAAAAGGTTAAGAATCAAAATTTTTGATGTTTTTTTGAGCTCCTTAGCGCTTGTTTTTAAGTCTTTTTAGTATTCTGTAAGCATTAGCTTTCTGAAATCTCCCAATCCAACTGATTACCATGACAACCAGAAATCCATTTCCATTCGGTAAACAATTTGTTTGTTTGCTTTTAAAAATTTCTATTAAAATTATGCCCTTTTCTCCGGAAACCCTTCCAATTACCATTATCATAATACTTATTATCTACTTACTCATTGTTGCGCTTGGCTTTTGGATAATGATTTTGTATTGGGTAAGTGAGCCAGGAAAATGCAGAGAGAATCGAATTTCAGCCTCATTTATTGAAGCAACGAGCCACCTCGTCAATTTTACCCGATTTCCCGACATTTGCAGGTTCATTATTTGAAATTTTAGCCGGTTAGGACCGGTAAGCCAGGCAAGGCAAGATCAGTACTTGGTTTCTGGCCTAGCTCTTGCTTAACTTGCCTTTGCAGTAGTAAACTGAAGCAAATTCCAGATTGTTCCTTTATTCTCAACTGTTGTCCGTGTGTGTTCCCGAGTGGAAGAGCTCTATTAAAGAGATGTTGTCCAAAACCGGTAAGCTTTGGCTTTTGCCTTTTCCGTCAGCATTGGACCAAACGATTCAAAAAACTTTCTAGGGTTGGCTCCGAAAAGTGGCCACATGCGAGCCTTGCCGACCGGCCGTTCAAAATCCAAATGAAACCCAGCGGTTGCATTTAGTTTGTTGTACTATATGACTTGGTTTATCTTCATAAAATGTGTATTTCTTACTGTTATGACAATTTTTTCGCTAAACTAACTTTGCAAAATCCAATCCCGTTCCGGTCAATCGCTTCTTTCCTTGTTCAAAGTCTTCCTTCTTCAACAGAATTTTTGCCGTCGAGTCTATCAGTTCAACACTCTCGTCGTCGATCAAAATTTCCGCCTTTTCTCCGGCTCGAACCTAAAGCAAATAATTTTAGAAACAAAATCTTTCAGTCCACCTTGACTTTAAACATCGTATCGATACAGTTGGCGATTGTCAAGAATCGATCCTCCGATTTGAACATGTTATTGGTTGAGGCGAGCAGGTGAAGGGCTTTCTAAATTTAAAGGCTTGGATGATCAATCTATCAAACCAGCAAAACAGCTAGTTTTCTTGTTGACAAGTTACTTTCAAGGAAAATCTGTGTTTAAAGTAAAATCACCTTTCTCGACTCCAAATCCCATTGTGGATAGATCGAGGCCAAGCGACGCACCGAGGAGCCACCGGAGCTTGTGTGCTAAAAATAAATTTGCATTTTTAAACCGCATAGATTTAAACCTAAAGCCTAGTTGAATTCAGTTAATCCCAATTAATCCCAAATCCCAATTTCACTCACCGTTTGCAAGAAAACATCCAAATCCTCTCCTTGTAGCTTAGCCATTAGCGTTTCGGCAAACCTAAAAAGGTTTACACTTTAAAAAACACCCTTTCAACGTTACCGTATTCCAATCGTTTTGTCGAAAGTGCTCGTCAAATCGATCTCTTTCAACAAAATCGCAGCAATATGTGAGAGCTCCTCTTTCGACACCGAATCAGCCTCCCGTTGCATGAATCCCAAGATTGATTGGCAAAAGTTACGCACCTGAAACAGAACTTGAAATAGAATTAGAGGCTCTAAAGCCCTCAAAGACTTTCACAAAGCCCACCTTTAAAATTGTTGCATTTTTCTCCGGAGTCGCTTTTCCTTGTGTGATGAACCTCAACTTATTCAAGAGACTCGGCGAAAAGATTCCCAGAAGCTAAAAAGGTACTTGAACATTTAAAGTTCACAGTACATACATCTTTGGTCGATCCGTTTTTTATGATTCGTTGAATAATGTCGAATAGCTGATCAAGCGCGTGCGTTTTCTCGGCTCCGCCCAAAACCCAGGCCTCGACGACGCCTCGATAGACCTGAAATAAACAAAAATTAGTGAGCCTCGGTTCAAACTTTAAAGGTTCTTGTGTAAAGATTAAATGAACTTAGTCAAAAAAAATTAAAACCTTTGCAAATTGATTTGTTTCACGAGCACTCGAGAGCAACACCTCGATTAAGTGAGTGACATTCAACGAGTTTGTCTTCTAAAATGCAATTTGTTAGCTGCCAAGATTTATCCTAGATGTCTAGATGCCTAGATCTATCTTTTTAGATCTTAAAAGTTGCTTAAAACGATCGTTTAATTGAAAGTTTACCTTCAAAATGGCGATCAACTTCGGAAAAGCGTCCTCATGAAAGGTGAGATGTCCCTTTTTGCTAAGAAGTGGTACATTTTGTAGAATATTCTGAAATCAAAGTACTGTAAGGTTATTTTATGAATGAAATACTTACCCCAAACTTTTTCGACCACAACAGAATCGCTAACAAATGCTCGGGACCCAAGTTGTCAAGTGAATGTGGAATCTGAATATAAATATAAAACTGTGTTTAACTCAAAGATAACCATTCATATTAAATTTTTTCAAGTAGTAAAGCTTTACCGATTTCTCCACACATGGATATACGTCTTTTTGGAAATCGGCAGGTGAAAGATGCAACGATGTAGTGATAATCTAAAATTTCTTCATTAGCTGTGTAAATATTTTACGGCTTATGTACGGGCCCTTTTTTTGGAATAAAATGCGGAAATCACTCACCGACTGCCAAATGCCCATTGAAAGCCACTGGAAACGCACCGCCAACGCTAACTGCTTCTCGGCAATCCATTTGAAGTTCTAAAAGATGAGAAAATGACATGGTAATAAAAAAGTAGACAGCTTACATTTTTATACACTTCCGAAGCAAATAGTGAATCCAAAAATAGGTAACGCCCGACCGCGTGTGCCTGTGCTTGATCCTAAAGAAAGGATTGATTTTTATCAAACCAACTCTAAGCGCACCTTATCATTTAACGGTAATTTGTCCTCGCAAAGTTTCCACAAGTCGTCGCATTTCCATCGTTTCGGGTACTTCTGCAAGCAGTGCACGAGAGCGCATGAAAAGCCTAAACAATGGCCATAATTGGGCCCAACCGATTTATTTTGTTGAGTTTGATAACCTCAAAGCGTACCCAGCTACTTACCAACTCTAGCCGCAGCTCTTGTCGACGACAATCCGGTGATGAGTCGATTGAGCACATAATCTTGAACGCCATCATCCAACTAAAAAAAGAGAAGCATACGAAAGAACAATTTTAACCTAGATATAATGGTGAATTGCATAAGAACCGTGTCTTCTAGATACTAAAAGAAAATCCCAATTTATCCCTCACCTTTTCCCCAACAAGACTTGCACAAGCCTTCAGTCGGCACTCCCCGTTGAGACTCGCCAAATCGTCGAAAATTGAGAGTACTTCTTTGGGGATTTGACCCACCATTTCACTAAAAAAGACCGGCATTACCATGATAAACAAAAAAACATCAAACAGCTCATTTAAGGAAATTTTTAAAAGCATGTTTCCCACTGCACATTTAACAGAAAAGCTCTCGTTTATTCATAAAATTTTCATTCTCTTCATGAAATCATGGCTTTTTTACATCCAGTTCACATTAATTTTATCAAAAATCCGTTACAAAACCTTTATTATCACAGTGAAAGCACACTAGGAATCTCCTTTTAAACCCTGCAAAGCTAAGCACGAACAATGAGATCAAACAACACCAGAAAAGCATATAAAAATTGCACAAACTTAAAATTTATATACAAAAATATGTTCATCAACTATTCTTTCGCTTCTTTTGACTCTTTTCCCAAAGCAACTTTCCAGCCGATTACCTAAAATTGAAATTTCAAGAGTTGAATGGAAAATGAACCTGTCCATCGAAGCCACAAGTGATCAAATTGTTCGTCGGATGATCATCGGCCCAAGCGACGCCGGAAACGATACGATGATGGCACTAAAAAGAGGAATTTACTGTTTTTCTATTAAAATCTTTCATTGATTATTTGCCTTCCTGGTTTCATTAGGAGCCTGATCTTTGATACTAAACATTTTAGGTTCTGAATTTTTAAAAACAAACCCTTCTATTGGGTACTCTCGGTATGCGAACGCCGTTAAGATCATAGATTCGCACATGACGATTATCGTGTGGAATGGCAACAACTAAACAAAAATGAATTAAGATTTTTGACTTCATAAAGCTTTAGAGCTATAACTATTATTACAGGTTTCACCTAAACTGGCTTTTAAAATTAGACCAAAAGTAACTGACGATTCTAAAAATTTAAAAACACCCTTGACTAGATCTTAATTGTTTAATCAACATAAATTTCTACCTGAATGCACTTGACTAACAGCTAAACGATTCACGGAAGAAGTGAGCCGAATCGTCGTCAAAGCAGAACGCATATTACGAAGATCCCAAACCTGTTTCAAAAAAATTAACTGTTACAAATTTAAATCCTAACCTTAACCGTTCGATCATCACTCCCCGAAACGAGGCGATCACCCGACGAGAAAGAAACACACGAAACCGAGCTAAAGCTTCGTTGTTGGGTAGAAAACTTATACACTCACTCATTATGCCCCTGAAAAACGGCCACACTTTGAATTGACTCTCTGAAATCCCATAAGCGAAAGGTGTAATCCTAAATGAAAACTTTAATTTTGCCAATTGTGAGCTAAAATCTTACCTTACTCGAAGTGACGACCAATTTTTGCGATGAATGCGCAGAGCAATGGGTCAATTCTTGTTCGTGACCTGAAAGGAAGAGATTGTAAATCAAAGCTATTCAGTTACCTGATAGAATGTTCAAGATCTCTCCTCGTTCCGCGTCGTAAACGTTTGCCGTTCGGTCCCAGCTTGCCGTGAGCAACTGGTGCCCGCCGGCCAGCCAATCGCAGCTCACGACGGCTCCCGTATGCCCGGTGAGTCGAATTTGCGGATTTCGTATCTTTGCTCCCTCAGCGTTTTGTGGTTCATTATCTAAACAATTTTATAAGCTAATAAGCCTATTAGCATACCATTCGTTTCCGTATTATCGCCTTCCTCTTTCTCAATCAAATCCGCATTCTCATCCTCGCTGCTAGTATGGTGAACAGGCTTGGCTTCTAAAGCGGCAATTAATCGATCAAATAAACTAAAAGGACCTGTATTTGCAGGAATTTTCCAAATGTGAGCACTCTCGTCACCACTCGCCGAGCAATAAATCAAAGTATCGGTTTGAATCGAGGTCGGGCACAAAGAAACGGAATTTACTGATCTAAAATCTTATAATTGTCGAAACACTTGAAATTCTCAACCCAGTATGTCCAACATATGTTCCCAAACAGACACCGGTGTCCAACGAGAAGACCCGAGCCGTTTGATCTAAAATATAAAAACTTTGAATGTCTCATTAACAATTATTGTTTAATATTTTAGCATTAATAACATTGCTGTTAGTATAATATTGTCACTTACCAGCGCTCGCGCTTGCGACAACTTTTGCCACTTCATTCGCTGAAACGTGCCATACACCATCACGATGCCCAGTGAAACGAGAAGTCATCCTGAAAAGTTATCAGTTATCAGTTACAAAGATGACAAGTATTGGCACTCATTAAGGTTTTAAAAATCTTAACGGAGTGCTCGGTAGTCAAGTTAGCCGTATGCAACTTCAAGGATTACCGAAAATTTCGCCCATCCGCTCCACCAACTTTAAAAACGAGTCGTCCGGGTGGTCCACGAAGAGCCGTGCGCAATTTGAGGCCCATTTGCATAGCTAAACGGCAACTTTGAAAAAGCAAGACTTTTTGAGCAACCCTTTTTCCCAGATCCTTTCAAGGCCACGATTTCCGAGTTATTTTGCACGATTTCCGAAACGGGCACCGATGAGACTACCGAGTCGCCGAATTTCTCCGTCAGTGCAGCGATTTTTGCATTCACTAGAAAAAGAGAGTTTAGAATCAGAAATTTTTGACTTACGCTCGCAATTCTCTGCGTACAAGGCATCAAATTCTTTTTCGATCAAGCCGAAGAGTTGATAGAGGCGACTTCTGAAATCGAAAATTGACTGAAATTTTGTACACGAGTCTATCTAGGTCAAAAAAGATTATTGGAAATCGATAGACAAGATAAATTTAGTTCGATTCCATGATGCAAACGAGTTATACCCAAATGAATACCTGTATGGAGCATCGACTTCTTGATCTTTCTCCTCGCGTTCATAGCTCGGGCCCACATCAGTCGCCGATCGCAGTCGTTGCTCATTTTTTGCTAAAAACGAAAATATTTAGAAAAATGATTATGAAAAATACACTAATCCAGCCGTTTAGTTTAGTTTTACACAATAAAATGAGCAAACCCAATCAAAAAATTATATTACGGAGGTTTAGTCCAAATTCTATTCGATTCAAGCTGTAAAGTGGCTCCAAAAAGCTAGTTAAACTCTTTTTTAGCTTGTGAAAGAACGAAAATAGCTCCCGGACAGACTTTAAGTTTTCTAAGACTTAAACCAGCATAAAAATTACGTACCTGGGGTGTTTTTCTTCAAGCTGTACTCGGAGTGCGACTGATTTGACGTTGGCATCAGCTGGAAAAAGCAAAAAGTTAAAAGATTAACGGTTTTTAAAGTTTTAAGCTTAAAAAAATGAAAAGAGTTTAATGAAATTCTGGGTTTTATAGCTGTAAAACTTTTATTTATTATTTTAAGACATTCGAGGGAAGGAAAAAAGCTGAACAATAGAATATCTTTATTTTTGTGACGAGGCTATTTAAAATAAAATCAAGAAAGATAATATTTCAATCTTGGTGGTGTCTTTAATGTTATAAAAAAGTTAAACAAGTAAATTCTTGTTTTTGAACTTAAGTTTTTAAAACTTTTGATTTTATATGCATTTTAAGCCCAAATGCATGTAAAATCAAAAATCTTATCAACTACAAATACCTATTTACGCAAAAAATCCATGCGCTTTCTGCGGCAACTCACCAGGAATTTCCCAATTTTGCATTACTTCACGTGAATTTTCGTGAAAAAACTTTTAGAATTCTGATTTTGATGTACTTTTTGGTGTTTTAATGTTTTAGAATGCTGGAAAGCTTAAATTTCAATATTTTTCTTTCAGGAAATGCAGGCCGACGATATCACGTGGAATATCCTCAACAAGGGGCATTGTTCTTACAAAACAAAGTGGGTTTTTGAGTTGATTTGGTGATTGGAATAGAATTTTGGCAAATAGTAATGTTTTAACTCATTTAAAAGCGAAAAAAAGCAGTTTACTTTGAGAATTTAACTCGGAAAGGCTTCTAGAAGGAGTTTGGTAGCTTTCATCTCAATGAAAATCTACGATATTTTCCAAAGTCTCAACCTTGTTAAGCTATAAACTTTGGTAATTTATTGAATCACCAAAAATTTTATTTTAGAGTGAAGGTGAAGACGTTTTGCCGAAATGAGTACAACTTGACGGGAATTTGCAATCGAGCCTCGTGCCCTTTGGCCAACAGTCAATACGCGACGGTTCGTGAAGAAAATGGTGAGTTTTTGAGTGCATTTTTTACCTCGTGCTGTATCTTTTAAGCTTAATCAGTACTGTTCAGGCGTCTGCTACTTGTACTGCAAAGTCGTTGAGAGAAGTCACTACCCTCGGCGATTATGGGAGAAGACAAAGCTCAGCCGAAACATGGCTACGGTGGGTTGATTCTTCAAGTTTTAGAATGATGACAGCGGGTGTACATGATAAACTTTTAGGCGATCAAGCAAATATCGGACCAACTCATTCACTGGTCCGAGTTCGTGCGACAAAAATGCAAGGCTCGTCTCGTGCGAATCCACCAATATCTCATTCGAATGCGCAAAATGAAATTGAAAGGCCGGCAACAAAAGATTATTCCAATTCAGGTTGAAATCCTGGCTTTAACGTTTTTAAATGGTTTTGTTTAGACAAAGATCGAACGTCGCGAGAAACGCAGAGAAGAAAAAGCGCTCATCGCTGCTAAATTGGACACGGCCATTGAGAAGGAGCTGCTTCAGCGTCTGAAGTGAGTGTGATGTGGTTATGCTTGTCTAACTGTTCTGTTTAAATTTAGGCCATGTTTTAAATGACTAACGAGTTTACGTCATTTAAAACATCCCTGATTAAGAATTGGTACAGTTAGCAAGTTACACTTGTTATTAAACGTATTGCTAATTTAGGCAAGGCACTTATGGCGACATTTACAACTTCCGCCAAGAAGCGTTCGAGCAAATGTTGGAAGAAGGTGAGAGGGAACTTGAAATGGAGCATGAATTGGAAGAGGATGATGAGGTATTTATATTTAGCCAATAATTGTTGAACAATTGGATATTTAGCAAACTGGTCAAACGCAGTTCGTTGCCGATTTCGAGAGCTCGGATGAAGAAGGGGACATCGAGAATGCTGAAGGTACTACAGTTTTCTTTATTTGATATCAACTCGCACTAGACATACTACAATTTTACGCGATATCTGATTATAGATATCGGGTAAATAAAACTTAAACGGTGCTAGATTATATGCGGCCTCTACCGGAGCATCAATCATTTTCATAGATTTGGTCTTTAAAAAGAAGCTGACATTAAAATTTTGAATCATTTTGGTAAACTATGGGCTAAATTTTTAAGCGATAGAACCCTTCGCTTGTTTTTAGAACATTGGACTCCGCCAGACACGGATTCGGAAGAAGGGGAATGGGAAGGGCCAGAAGAAGATAGTGATGATGACAATGATGAGGAAATGGATATAGGAGAAGAGAACGAAATGGATCAGGTTTGTTGATTTGAAAGATGAAACATAAGAGCTATTTAGATAAATGATAAATTATCTATTTCAGGCTGAATTCAGTGGCGATGGATCAGATGGAGAAGAAATCGATGAAACACCTGTTAAGAAGGTTACATTGCATTGTTTGGTTTCTAATTTTCTTTTTAGATTGCTTCCAAACCAGCGGCCAAAGATGCTTCTAAGGGAAAACAAAAGAAAAGAGTGTGTTAAAAAGTTGTGGTCCAATTAATTTTTCAACTTTTAGGTCTCTTTCGATCTCCCACCAAAGAAAAAGTCAACTAAGAAGGCGCAACGATCTAGGGTTTATTTTAAGTATTTCTTTAAATCAATAGAAAGTTTAGATTGAAATCGAGTACGAACAAGAGCCGACGGTGCAGAAGCAAAAGATTCGACACCATGATTTTTAGGAGAATTACTATCTGTTTCATTGATTTTTGTTGTTATTGTTGCATATTGGAGAATGTTCGCGTTGTTGTTATTGTTGAGGGGATTTTTATGTCTTTGATAAATTGTTTTTCAAGAAAAGTTGAAAATTGATGGTGCTGACCAATGTCCTATTGAAGAAATGTGATTGTTCAAGTTTTGAGTGAGTACCTCGTCGATTCGTTACGCTTGAGTCAAAATCGAAAGTCGGTTTTCGAGTTAAATTCTCTATCGGTTGGCTAGTAAACATTGAGTCGATCGTCTTTAAAGAATTAGCGGACTTTATGCTTTTTTGTCAATCGTCATACCTTTTTGATGCAGAACAAGCCTTTTATCTTCAGAATGGAGCCGATTGAGCAACCGGCGTTGGACCCATCGACGGGATTCACCTGCGTCACTTGCCAACTCGTTTTCAGGAATGCTGAAGTTCAGGTAGATTAAAATTTAACTGCTAGCATTTAACAAGATTAACGTACTTTGCGGCTTAAATGCGTAATTTATCTATCGAACATGTAATTTAACTCATAAAGTATCCTTTGATTAACTTAACAGCTGTATTGTTTTGTTTTAGCGTGAACACTATCGAACCGATTGGCACCGATACAATCTGAAACGCCAGGTGGGGTTATTACTTGAAATTTTGAGCTCAAAACATTCTTTAGGTCGCCGAATTGCCACCAATCACCGATGAACAATTTCGATCGAAAGTCTTGATGTTTCGAGAAGAGAAAGAGGTTAAAGTTAGATAATTTCAACAATAACTTCAACAATTTTTTTAGCAAGCTTTGCGAAATGCTGAAGAGGAGACGTCTCTGCTTTGCGAAGTGTGTAATAAACGTTTCAACTCGCAGAATGCGTAATTTTTTAAGGTTTAAACTTAAAACAGCAAGTTTTAGATATTCTGATCATTTGAAATCGAAAAAGCACCTGGAAATTGTAAAGAACGGACGTCGTGGGCCGAAGCAGCCAAGAAAGGTTAGAGTTTTTTTTACATGAATTTACTTTCAAAACTATTTTAGAAGACTGCAACCACTTCCACTTCCACTTCAACTACGGTAACTACCATTGAGAAGATTGAAAAGAAAGAGGTAAAAGTTTGCTCTTTTATCTTAAAGTTCCCAAATTCAGCCAGAAGACGAGAAAATGGAATCAGATGGCGAGGAAAGTGATTCTTCCGGTTGGCATACCGACAATGGAAGTGACGAGGAGGATGAAACGATCGACAATTGGGATTATGATGAGGATAAGGTAACTCTAGACCACGATTGCAGAAAGTCATTTTTTCAGGCCCTTCCGATCACCTCGTGTCTCTTCTGCCCACAAACAGCTGGAACCTTTGACAAGAATCTCGAGCACATGAAGGTTCGAACCATTTATTGAATATTTATGTAAACCTTTTAGACCCGACACGATTTCACAGTGCCTGACAAGCAATATTGTGCCGATTTGGAGGGATTGATTCAGTATTTGGGTTGGTTTTACTTCTTTTCACTAAAAGATTCTTTTTAGGGTTAAAAGTCGGTGCTGGTAGAGTGTGCCTTTATTGCCCGGAGTCGAAAGGACGTTATGCGAGTATTCAAGCCGTTCAACAGCACATGAATGATAAGGTATGAGGATAGTGTAGCTCTATTTTACCTATATTTCTTTTAGGAACATTGCAAGATCCCCCGTGAGCCTAAATCGATGCTCGAGTTTGCGGATTGGTACGATTATAGGTAACTCTAGTCTTTTAAATTGATCCACCTTTGTCATTTAGCCCGTTGTACGACGAATTGGCTAATAAAGAGGCGCCGATTGACGACGGTTGGACGCTGACATTGCCAAGTGGTGAGATTTGTTGCCAAAACTCACCAAAACCTGTGCTTTTAGGTGCCAAGATTGGTCACCGAGCCCTGATGCGTTACTACAAACAGAATATTCGGGGAGTCGACTCGCAAAAGGAAGCACACCGGCTTGCTCTTGAAAAGGTTTGATTTTTATAGTTAAGGGTTTTTTATTACATATTCAGGGGCTTAATCAACCGAAAGCACTCAGCTGGATAGGTGGAACTGGTAGTAGCGGCAACAAAATGGTCGTGTCTAAAGGTTGGGCTTGGAGATGATTGAAATGTGCATGCCTTGAGTTAAACTTTATTTGGCTATAGTCGTGAAAAGGATTAGGTGGTAGTCTAAATTTAACTAATGGATTTAGACTTGCTTAGCGTTAAGGCTTGTAATAATACAATACGATAAATTAGCTAAAGTACTTTATCATTCTCCTTCCAGGTGTGCTCATTCAAGCGGCTCGCGACATTCGAATGATGGAGAGGGCTCGTCGTCGTTTCGATTTACGAGCGGCCGTCTGGAGCAATAAACTCTTCAAGACACGCGGAAGAGTTGGTGACAATTAGAGGGAAGCATTTGCTTGTTGATTTGTTTTTCCCCATTTCCCGCACAAAACTTGTGATTTTGTTTTTTTGTTACACTTTTTTGTTGACGATAAATTTCTATTTCCCAACCGCTGACCTGCCATTTTTTATGGTGGGCGATCGATTGAAGAAAAAGGTTTAACTTCGTGAAAAATCAGACAGTCATGCCTAGTCATTCTGGGAACAATGCACACAATTTCTATTCTAACACAATTCTGGCATTCATTTTCTCAAAATGTGGCACGTTTTTGGACTATATTTGGTGATTTTGCCGATCGCGATTGGGTTACAATGTTACTCTGGGGTTGTGTACTTTCAGGTGATTAAAATCTGCACAGTATTTACTCTAATGGAGACCCAAAATCCATTACATAATCCGAGCCACATATCGTGGCTAACTTTTAATTTTACCGTATCCTAAGGCTCTCTACAGTAACCCCACGTGTAAAACTTTGAGAATGCACTCCAAGTTAGGCAAATTTTTACGATTCAAGGGAACCTCTTTGGGCACCAAAATGGAAACTTGTAAAGCTGGTGAATCGTGCTACAATATGAGTGTCTCGTTGACGGAAAGGAATAAATTGTCGAAGCTTGGATGCTCGAGTTTTCGGTGTTTTGTGAGCTTTATGAAATGCGAGTAATCCACGAAGATTCTAGTTCGCGAAAAACCGATGCATCCTCCAGGAATTCATGGGGAAATCAGTTCAACTGTGCTGTTGTGATGGAGATGGATGCAATACTGTGGTGGGAAAGAGGATAGGCTTTTTGGGCGTACGGTAGGATAGATAGACTTTGAGACTATTGGGGTTACGGTAGCAGATCCAGCAGGATCACGGCAGCAGATCCAGCAGGATTACGGTAGCAGGTCCAGCAAGATTACGGTAGCAGATCCAGCAGGATCACGGTAGCAGGTCCAGCAGGATCGCTGTTCTACCGTTAAGAAACCGTATGCGGTAGCTGGAACCAGTCTAGCCTTGGATTTCGGTAGCTTTTCGGGACGTAATCAAAACAGTGGGACCAGAGCAGCTCCAAAAAAGCGCCACTATTAGACTTGCTTATCGACCCATAGCTGACCTATAGCTGATCTATAGCTGACTCATAGCTGATCGATAGCTGATCGATAGCTGATCGATAGCTGACCTATAGCTGATCCATAGCTGACTCATAGATGATCTATAGCTGATCCATAGCTGATCGATAGCTGACCTATAGCTGATCCATAGCTGACTCATAGCTGATCTATAGCTGATCCATAGCTGATCGATAGCTGATCGATAGCTGATCGATAGCTGATCTATAGCTGGCCAATAGCGAGCCTGAGAGCCTGAGATTACGATAGTTTTCTTGTCTTTTAGAGAAGAATTTTAGAACCTCTCGAAAATCGACAAACTCAAGCACACCGTGAAAACGGTTTTGGACATTTTCGGGTGAAAAGAAAAGATTGTTTTGATCAAAATTTGGTTCCGTTTTCTTGCGCTGAATGCAATAAATCTCAAATTTTTCGATTTTTTTTCGCTTTTTTTCGCTTTTGAGAGAAATCTTTGTTACTTTCACAAGAGATTTCGCGAGTTTTTCTTTTGTTAAAATGAGATTCTTCGTATCGATTTTATTCCTCGCTTTCCCCGTTGCTTTAGCGATTGAATGTTTTACTGGATTCACGTATATTAGAGTGAGTTTTAATCAGTATTGTTTTAAAACGTCAACAACTACGGCCCTCAAAGGCCTCAACAATTACGGCCCTCAAAAGCCTCAACAACTACGGCCCTCAAAAGCCTCAACAATTACGGCCCTCAAAGGCCTCAACAACTACGGCCCTCAAAAGCCTCAACAATTACAGTCCTCAAAAGAACCTACCCTAAATACTGTAATGGTACCCCACCCCTCTCGTACAGTCGCGTAGTCTAACTTCTTTTTAGAAACACATCTTTTTCTCTCCTAGATTCTCAACCCCTAGATTTTTCCCAACTACACTTTTGGTCTCAAAAATTATTAGATTCCAAGGGCTAAATGGCTAGATTCCAAGGACTAAACGGCTAGATTCTAAGGACTAAATGGCTAGATTCCAAGGGTTAAATGGCTAGATTTCAAGGGTTAAATGGTTAGATTCCAAGGACTAAACGGCTAGATTCTAAGGACTAAATGGCTAGATTCCAAGGGCTAAATGGCTAGATTCCAAGGACTAAACGGCTAGATTCCAAGGACTAAATGGCTAGATTCCAAAGGCTAAATGGCTAGATTCCAAGGGCTAAATGGCTAGATTCCAAGGGCCAAATGGCTAGATTCCAAGGGCTAAAAGATTGAGTCAACTTTAGGCTTTCGAATGGCACCAAAATCAGGCTAAAGCATTTTTTCGGCGCTGAGATATAAAGTTTTTTGCATTGTAGCATAAACCAGTGTTGAGAAAAACGCGTTCAAAGCTAGACCACGCAACACTCCGCACCGTCATTATGGGGGTGGGGTACTATTACAGTATTTACGGTAAATTGTTGATTAAAAGAATTCTATTTTTATCGATTCTATCTATAGAGATAGAGAAAAGTGGATAGAGAAACGAAAAAATAGAGAGAAAATTTTTTTAGACTTTTTAGAAAAGTGCCTAGCTATGAAATACCTTTCTTGCTAAGGACAAGAATGGATTTTGACCGGGCTGACACTTGAAAAATGATTACAAGGATTACAAGGACCGTCACAGGGTGTGAGTGTTGGCACGAGTAAGCAGCGATGCTCGTCCGATTCGGATTACTGCTACAATGTGACCGCTGACTTGACGAGTCTCAATTTGATCTCGAAATCGGGATGCTCGTCGTTGATGTGTCGAGTGAGTTGAGCAACAAGCTTACAAGAGATTCGAGCGTCCCAGAAAGCGCGTGTTTACATGGGAGATGGCTAAAACGGTAAACAAACAGCGCATCGGCAAAAATAGTCGCTTCGTGGTTAAGTTTTTACAGTACTGGACAGAATAATCACTCGCAGAAACTCGATCTTCAAGCCCCCGTCAAGCCCTAAGTCCCCCGAACACCAAATACCGTATTCTCTCTAATAGTAGTGCAGAGCAGAGCCGAGTTGATGACTATTTGACGGTTTTCAAGCTTTTGCAGAAGCTCAGTAAAGAGCTCGAGCTCTTTACTGAAAAACAATTCCGTGTCGCTTCTTAAATTTGTCTAACCAGCCGCCACTCACTTGAAAATCAGTAACTCCCTTCGGCTCCAAAGCTAGCAGACAGCTGATCCAGATAGCAGATAGCTTCTACAATCTGTCAAAAAATTATAGACGCACCCTGTTTTTTGCTAGTTTAGAGACGGGCATAAGTGCTAGTCCAGCGAAAAGTATTTTTTTAGTTTCTTTAATGTAAAAAAACAACCCATGCAAAATTTCAAGTCATTTCACTCATCCAAAGTACTTTATCGTACAAAAAACGTTTTGTCAGCTGTCAAAAAATTATAGAAGCAACTTAAATTTGACGATTTATTCTATCGATATTGGTGCTGATGGTTTTCGAGGATATTCGAGGACAGCCAACAGCGCTCCATGACCTTGTCTCTTCGATGTAGAGACGTCTTTTTGAAGTTGGACTAAAGCAAGGAGGGGCCACACATTATTAATTTATTTGGTTTTTGTTGTTATTTTTATTTCTGTTAACTTTTTCTTGATAAAATAAAAGTGCGTCTATAACTTTTAGACAGCTGATAAAACGTTTTTTGTACGATAAAGTACTTTGGATGAGTGAAATGACTTCCAACTAGTCCAACTTCAAAAAGACGTCTCGACATCGAAGAGACAAATAAATTAATAATGTGTGGCCCCTCCTTGCTTTAGTCCAACTTCAAAAAGACGTCTCGACATCGAAGAGACAAGGTCATGGAGCGCTGTTGGCTGTCCTCGAATATCCTCGAAAACCATCAGCACCAATATCGATAGAATAAATCGTCAAATTTAAGTTGCGTCTATAATTTTTTGACAGCTGATAAAACGTTTTTTGTACGATAAAGTACTTTGGATGAGTGAAATGACTTGAAATTTTGCATGGGTTGTTTTTTTACATTAAAGAAACTAAAAAAATACTTTTCACTGCACTAGCACTTATGCCCGGCTCTAAACTAACAAAAAACAGGGTGCGTCTATAATTTGTTGACAGATTGTATATCCAAAAGAAATAAGAAATAAAGTTAACCGGAAACGCATTATTTTGGCCGGCTATTTTGGCCGCATTTCGACTATTTTGAAAAGCTTCCCAAAGACATTAGGCATTAGATTTTAGGGAAAAGCTTTTTATTAAAAAACTTACCAATTCTGGAGCACACCAAAGTTTTCCCGATTGAGATTTTTCCAGTTCAACCACAATAAATGCATCGAGAAGTCATTTCTGGGGAAAAGTGGCCGTTTCTGTTGCTGTAACACCGGAGATTTGTGCAATTCGAAAGCAACGGTAAAGAAATGAAAAATTTTGCGATATGGGACTTTCATTGGATTGAAGTACGGTAACTTATCGTCTCAATTAATCAAATGAAGCCTAATAGGGCTAAACGATACCAAAAGCTATCATAATCCAATCCTGCTTTAGACAATTTCGATTTAAGCGTTGCGTCTCGTATGCAAATTTGCAATTTGCAATTTGGAAAATGAAAATTTCACCAAAATAGTCAAAAGTACGAAAAAATGCACAAATCTATCTAAAGGAATTTGGAAAAATCGAAAGTAATTGAGCTAAACAACAATAAACAATAAACAGATTTCTAACAGGTTTCTAACTATTCTAACAAACAAATTCTAAAATTTAATAAAACATTACTTGACATGTGTTAAACCATGTCAAGCAATGTGAAAAGTGTTAAAACCTGTTTGGAAATCCGGTGCTATAGTAGTGAGGGGGAGGGGGTAGTGTTAATGTTAATGAGTGTTGGAACCGTATTGGATCAAAAAAGAACCGTATTGGATCAAAAAAAAGAACCGTATTGGAACCGTATTGGATCAAAAAAAGAACCGTGTTAATGTTAATAGTTAATAGTTAAAAGTAAACAGTCTCATGAAAAGTATTTTAAAATAAGCTTGTATTTGAAACAGTTTGAAACAAACAATTAACTTTGCAAAAACAAAAAAAGCAAAAGGGAAAGCAAAAGCAAAAGCAAAAGTAAAAGCAAAAGCAAAAGTAAAAGCAAAAGCAAAAGCAAAAGCAAAAGCAAAAGCAAAAGTAAAAGCAAAATCAAAAGCAAAAGTAAAAGCAAAATCAAAAGCAAAATCAAAAGGAAAATCAAAAGCAAAAGCAAAAGCAAAAGCAAAAGCAAAGCAAATCTGCTATAGTATTAGGTTGAGGAAAAAGTAATGTCGGTTTTTGTCACAAAACTGTTTATTGCTAAAAACATAAACAAATGCACATCAATCAATGAGAATCAATATTCTCCATTATTATTGATGACTCGTTCCCCTCTTCGTCGCAAGTCCCATCCTCAACAAAATGGGGAGTTTCGTAAAATAAGTGTCGACTGCTTTTTTGATCTGTGCATGATTCTCGAACTTTTCTCCCACCCATATGAAAACTCTTCAACGACCGAAACAAAAAATAATCTGATGGGACCAGGCCCGAACTAAAAGGTGCGTGGGGTGCGTGGGGCAGAAGTTTCCAGCAGAAAGGTGCGTGGGGCAGAAGTTTCCAACTAAGCTCGTCGTTCCAACCAACCAACTTTTTGGTGAGTGATTTTTGCAGTGTGAGGTTTTGCATTAAAGCAAAAAAGCAAGCAGTTTTGCAAAAAAAGCACTTTTGATGTTTTAACGCCCAATTTTCCCCGCGCCTCGTTTCCAATTTGCCTCGCCCAAGGCCTCATTAACTCTCATCAACTGTTTTGAATAAAAATCAGCGGTGACAGTTTCTCCCGGAACAACAACAACTCATAATACACCAAACCTTTTGTATTCCACCAACAGCAAAGCATAAGTTTCTTTCCATGAATAACGGGTTTTGAAGTTGGTTGTGGGAGTTGACCACCTAGAGAAAGCCACTGATTTTTGCGCTTCACATTCTATTGAATTCATATTTAATATTGAATCCATGTTTCATCAGATATTAGAATTCTTCCCCAAAAATCATGAGATTTGCCTTTTTGAAGCAGAGTAGAGCTAACGATAACACGAGTTGTTTTGTTGAAAAAATTGCATAAGCAAAGAACTGGAACAAAGAAAAGAGCAAAGAAATCGCCAGCAAGGGGTATTCAAAACCGACATTACTTTTTCCTCAACCTAATAGTTGGGGGGGAGGCAGTGTACACCTCTATTCACCTCTATTGACCCAGAGCGCACTAATTTTTGCTTCTAGGCGTAGATTCTTAATTTGGTATTTATTTAAGCTTTAGTTATTGCTTTCTAGTTATTTCAAGCGGTTACTAAGGTTTTAAGCCTCTTAATTCGATCGCGCACTTTTTAAGGTCCCGGTTTTAAGCCCAGTGGAAATAGAGCCACTCATGAAGGAGCGAAATTGTTGCTCAAACTAGCATAAAAGCTGTTTAGAACGGTTTATAAATGCTTCCAATGGATTCAGTGCGATTAATTACCCCAGAAAAAGTTTTTAAAATTAGTAGCAAGTTCGAAAAAAACAGGTGTTTACAAACTGGCCGCCCCCAACTACTATAGCACCGGAAATCCTATTTAAAATCATCACCAATCGATTCAGCATGGTCGAAAACCCGAGCGAGCAAAATTTCAGCCTTTTCGAACGAGTTTCAGACTTGCGGCATTTTCGCCGACTAAACCCGGCTTATAAAGAAAATTCGTTGACTGAATATCTTTAGAGGAAGATTATTTTAAGATTTTTTTAAGATGTTCAGTCAACAAATTTTTGTATATAATCCAGTTTTGGCGGTAAAACGCCACGATTTTAAGTTTATCGCCGTTTTTTAAAATTTTTTTTAAAGGTTACTAGATCGAGTACTATATATATAATTTTCAACCAAAAACTCAAAAATTTCAGGGTCAAACGACTTTGGAGAAGTTTAGCGACAAAATGCATGATTTTGCGAGGATTTTTGGATGAATTGTAATAAAAGTTTCGAAATTTCACGTGCTTTTGACGATTTTTTACAAGAAAAACACATAGAAATGCTGAATTTGCGTAAAATTGTGCACAAAATGACGAAATTGTTGAGAATTTGGTGATTTTTAGCGTTTCTTGTTTGTTTTCATGTTTTTCTTTCCAAATCAATATATGATTTTGTTAATTTTTGTCTTTTACAGTTAAATCGACAATGATCGTGCATTTTGGACGAATCCCGATCGAGGAAACGGTGATGCTGTATCTGATCGGCGACACAAAACATCCGCCGAAAGCCTCCCCGTACGCGGAACAACAACGATTGGCTAGGTAAAGCTTTAAAATATTATGTTTCTAATCAAAATTCCACCCATTTCGGGGTGGGACAAATGCGACCTTTTTTTGCTGGAAAAAGCCTTAGGCAAGGCCGTAGAGCTTCGAAAATATTTCCATATAAGGGAATCGTATGCGTAGATTCCGAATTTCGACAAATCAGACCTCGCTGGCACGTCAAATTTGGGCTAAAAGGCAAAAACTGCGAAAAAGCGTTAAGTTGCGTAGTTTTTGCCTTTTAGCCCAAATTTGACGTGTCAGCGAGGTCTGATTTGTCAAAATTCTGAATCTACGCATACGATTCCCTTCTATGAAAACGTTTTTGAAGCTCTACGATTCCTAAGGCCTTTTCCAGCAAAAAAAAAGGTGTGCAAATGTTCAGGTGCGCAAAAAAAAGGTCGCATTTGTCCCACTCCCATTTTGAGTCAAACCAAAGCTAAATACACCGGTTTGTTCTGTAAAATTCCACTCGTAAAGCTCTAAAACGGTTGTTTTCTGCAAAATCTCAGCAAAAATAGGCTAAACTGCTGCACCCATTTTACAATGTTTGACACTAAAAGAGGGTCAGAGCTGAAAGTTTGCAAAAAATGAAGTAAAAGTGTGTGCTTTAAATGATGTCAATGCACTTTTTGAAAGTAAAATGCATCTCTGAACAAATAACCGCCACGTTTTTTTAACTAAAGCTTATTAAATCAACTATCGAAATTGACGCAAGAGCTAAGTTTTTGCGGTTAAATAGGCGAATAAGGGTTTGGCTCTAAGCCTATTTCTTTGAGTTTATTTTAGTTCCAGTAACCGTATAGGGCACAAGTAAAACAAATTTAAGCGCCGGAACCATGTTTTTAGCAAGAAAACTGCAGAGCTTTACAACGTTTACTTCACGTCTTAAACCCTTTTTTTCAGTTTTTCTTTTCTTTTTTGTTGATTTTATACCAATTTTACTACTACCTAATTAATTTTTTTTTCTTCTAGAATAACGGGCATTAGCGAGTTATTTGATGATTTACCAACTATAGCAGCGCCGTAGGTGACGCCCATGCTAGCCCATGATGCACGGCCAGGAAGTAACCTCCTGCCTCACACCGTATTTTTTTAAATGGACCGAAAACTACGTGACGCGCAGAGAACGCACAAAAAATATTACCCGATTGAGTTAGGCCGCTCTGCCCAACACAAAAACTATCAGCTCTAAAATTTTTGTGTAAGACGTGAAGTAAACATTGTAAAGCTCTGCAGTTTCCTCCAGCTCTGCAGTTTTCTTGCTGAAAAACATGATCCTAGCGCTTAAATTTGTTTTGTTTGTGCTCTATACAGTTACTGGAAACTAAAATAAACTCAAAGAAATAGGTTTAAAGCCAAACCCTTATCCGCCTATTTTTCCGTTTTTGCAAACCTTGCACAGTTTTAGGTTTCGAAAACAGACAGTCTGTATTTTTGCAAGTTTCTGTTCCTTCGAGGTGTTAAAATACTAAAAAACTAAAAATAGTATCGACAGGGTGTCCCACAATTATGGTGACAAAATATCATCAAAAGTCTATCGACCTTATTTTGTCAAAACAAATAGTAATAAAAACTTTTTTTATTCAAAACAACTGCAAAAAGATTACAAAAAACATTTAGAGTTCAAAATGGCCACCGCGCAATGGCATTAATACATTTTCTTAAGCGCTTCAGGAAATCATCAATGCCTTTTTCAATGGTGCTGATAGAGATTTCGTTCCATGCCTTGATTAAATCTCGTTTCAAGGAGTCAATTGATTTGTGAGCTTTAGCATATGCCTCGCTTTCAAGAATCGACCATATTGGGTAATCTAAGAGATTGAGATCGGGCGAGTTTGATTCGCCTTGGCGTTGTTGACTGATGTCTACGGTGATGATGATTGATGATTTCCCAAAGCGCTTAGGAAAATGTATTAATGCTAATAGTGGCCATTTTGAACTCTAAATGTTTTTTTAATCTTTTTGCAGTTGTTTTGAATAGAAAAAAAAGTTGTTATTACTATTTGTTTGCCAAAATAAGGCCGATAGACTTTTGTTGATATTTTGTCACCATAATTGTGGGATAATTAATAATTAATACACCCTGTAGATTGTTTCTATTTCAGAAAACTTCTCTCCACTCCAAGGCTCTCCGGTTTTTGTGTGGCCCCGCTTCGCGACACCACGAAATTGGTCATCTTCGGCCTAAAGCGCCACCTCGATCCACCGTGCCCGGAACTTGAGCACTTGATATTGGATTTTAATTTATCGGTAAGGAACTTTATTAAATTAAATTAACTTATTAAATTCAGATCGAGTCCGTACAACGGCCCGATCACACTTTCGTCGAAGCGGCCATCAAGTTCACACTCTTTTTCTGGCTGGAAGCTGAGGGGTTGGTTTTCCAAAAATTTAAGAATCTTGTTTTTTTCTAGATACGCAAAAGTTGGCGACGCGTTGATGCCACATGACAGTTTATTCGCGCCACCACATGAAGGAATGCTTCAAATCGGTAGGTTTTCAAATTCACGTTTTGATCCAAGATTTTTCTTTAGCTTTTAACATAAACGTTTCGCCGGACTACGATGTTGATGTGAGCTTTATGGCGAGAATGGTTCGTGTGCAAGTGCTGGAGGAATGGCTGTTTGAACGATGCAATAGTCAACTGCAAGAACGATGGGTGTTCGTGTTACCAAAGTAAGCTTAAATAAGTGGAAAGCAGAAGTTGGCTTAAGAAAAGTTGCCCTGCTCCGGGAGTAGCTCGAGCTGAGCTGGCATGACTCACTCAAGGGGTAATTGGTTAAGCTAAGATTAGGCCAAGAATCCGTGGTTAGCCCGTGGCCCAAGCTGTGCTAACCTGGCTCAGAGGTCTGTAGGCCAGGTCAAGTCGTGGTGGACCTGGTAGTAGAATAGAATACCAAAATACCAAAATGCACTAAAATACCTGGCTCAAATTTCCTTAATTTATGTGTCATAACTTTTCTAGTGAATTTCTCCCACTTTGACTTTTTTTGTCTTTCATTTAATTTAGTCCTCACGGAACTCCTTTAAGTCTAGTTTCGACTCAAATCAAATTTTTGCCAGAGAAAGGCACAAGATCTAGGAATTTCTTTGAGAGAATCGGTCTGAAAAGTGGAGCACTTTTGAATTGAATGAGAAATGTGAAACTGATAGAGCCTTCAAAGTCAGAGTGGAAGAAGTCCGTTGACTCAAAAAAAGATCTGAAATAAAGATTTTGTAGGCTGTTATAGTTATAGAGCAAAAGTTCACAGACTCGCGAGAAGATCTGAAGAAGAGATTGCGCGAAAAATTCCCTCCTATCTCTCCTCAAGTTTCTCCAGTTCCTTTCCATGGCATGGAAAATTGCGCGGGAAACGAGCGGAGAACTTCTCAATTTTTCCCTCATCTCATCTCCTTTTCACTCTTTTTTTTCCTTTCAGTCGTCTCGAGTTCTTGGGCCTTTTTGTGCGTGCGTGAATTGGATCTTGCCCATCTCTTCCATTTTTTTCAGCGATTTGCTTTCTTTTTGCTTCTTCTTTGCTTTGAGTTCATGTGTCTTCAAGGGGAGATGTTTGCACAGGAACGCCACCTTTTTAACTCGAGTCTTTTCTATGAGAAAAGGAACGATTCTTTGGAAGTTGACATTGCTAGACTTGGTTTATCGTCCATTTGAAGTACTTTTCATTGTTTTCCATTGCAATTTAGATAGGTTGAACGTAAACTCGCCTTTTGTGGCATTTTTAAGCTCAATTTTCAGCCAATCAAGTTTAGAGACCTGCCGATTGTTTTCAAACTTGCTTTTCCAAAGTCTATTTCAGCTAAAGATCAGTCCGATAATTCATCTTTGACTTAAAAATTCTGCATTTGCTACCCCGACCTCATTATCCGTTCCCTCTTTCTGCATAATTTGTGTGTGGTAAGCGAGATTTCGAAAGTGTTGACCACTCTAGGCGTACATGCCCAGTTTCAATACTCATCTTTTTTTTTTCGTTTTTGTCCTACTTGCATTTAAAATCCTATTTTTTTAGCTATGCGCTAATTTGTTATCTTTTTATCTAATAATTTGCATTCCCAGCCAAGAAGCCTTAATTTTATTCATTTCTCCAACTCAAAATGTCCCCAATTCCTCAAGAACCATAGAAAAAACTACTTTATCTACTCGCTGACGTGATCGATGCGGTGTGGCGGGTGGGACTGGGTATAGCCGAGGAAAGAGGTCGGCCGTGGTTTGAGCGCCGTCGCCGCCGAAAACCCAAAGACCTAAGGCATTGCTGTTGTGTGCTGGGCAAAGGAGTGTAGCTCTAGCTGCCTTTTCTTGAAGGCTTTTCCCTTGAGGGACGTTTCCTTTCTCTTTTCCCGGTCTCTTCCCACTCCGGGGCTCATTCTCGCTCTCCTTTCTCTCTTCACAGCCCCATCTTTTGGCCAGCTTTGGGAGTGAGGCGGCTTTAGGACCCGGCACATACTTTTTCTCCTTCTCCGTCTTCTCCGCGGACTTTCCCCTCGCTCAGATGTCTTTACATATGGGTTTCGAAAGCTTTTCTGTTTATCACTTGAATATTGAAGTTTTATGTTAGGGTCTGATCTGGATTTTTGAAGATTTTTTTGAAACTGATTCGACTAATTTTTCTTTATTTATCCGGCTCTTTAAGATGCATTTTTTTGCTAATCCCGGCCAACGATTAGCCCTCACACTCATCTCATTAGCGTTTGTTGATGCGTTTGGCTCTTTTTTTTTCTTTTACGACCATGTAGGCATCACTTTTTGAGTGAAACTCATTTGGGTGGCATTTTGAATGGAAGTTCTGTAAAAGTCGATTTTTCCAAATTAAAAAATCAAATTATCTTTCATTTTTAAACTGAGGTACATAGTTGTTTGCCGACCGTACTCCATTTTTCTATCGGACCTGATTTGGCCTGATCAACAAATCCTAGGATCAGCACATTTTATTTTTGAGCATTATTTGGTTATTCTTGTTCTAGGTCATCATTGAGTAGAACTCATTTCGCCGACCGGGGATCACTACATCTGCCTATTTTCTCATTCATCACACGCCTTTTTTGATTGACAGCCGGCTCTGGGGCTCAACTCTCTTTTTCTTTCCCTCTTTCACTCATCCAGTTATGACCTCTTTCTCCTTGATACTCCTCGATATGGCCTCAATGACACGCCATTCACTACATTTTTTATGTCGAAGCCAGCTTTCTCCCTCTTCGAATTGCCAAGCTATACATATAGTAGAACATAATTTTAAAGTAAATCATGATTTTAGGAGTTTAAAAATTTTTAATTCAAAACGTGCGATTTTCAAATTCAAACCGTTCGCTTTCCATTTGCGATCAGACAATGCAAGTCTGGGGTGAATCATCTTGCTCTTTTCTTTCTCGCCGTTTTTTTTGTTTTCTTTGACATTTTGCCATCCGATTTGATTGGCGATTCGTAAAATAACACATGTGTGTTTGAAAGGAAAATTTTGAGCCACCAGATTTTGTTCTTTGAATTTATTTGATTATAGAAAAGCAGACAAAGTCAGTTTGATCAGCAGATCCGGACCAGGAACAAGTTCAGGAAAATTTGGACAAACTGTAGCTGGGGTAGGACGGTAGATTATAATTAAGTTCAACTATTGCATAAAAGCTAATTTTTTAGAAAGTGTCCTAAACAAGCTTTGCAACAACAACAAGCTCCAACGTTGCAAATAGTTTATCTATCTTTCTTTCCGGCACACCTCTTTGAAAGCTACATCTAGTATGGAGAAATCTGCATTGCAACCGCTGCTGGTGGTGTCGGGTTTTGCACTCTCTAATGTTCCCGTCGCTTTCAAGAAAGTCAAAGAGAGGCTGTTGATCGCTGGGAGGGTCATCTGTTGCCTTGGACTATTCAATTGATAGAGGAAAAGGGGATGAGATCAGTCAGGCCCATCTTTTTCATCATTTCTAGGACTAGTTTCTCCGAGAATCTGCCTCTCCTGCTGCGTTCTGTCTTTGTTCTTTCAACCCGACTAACCTAGCGATGGAGGGCAGCCGGTCCTGTATATTGGGGAGATAGAAGGGGAGACAGGACACGCGCCATCTGTCGCTCTTCCCCTTTCTCTCTCACTAGACACACCGGGTCGACCCCCTTCCCCCTTTTTTTTGATTTTCTTTTCATTTCCTCACTGCCATTGTTAAGTTGTATCATTCTTTTTTTTGAATGATACAATTTATTTTGAATGATTTGAATGAATAGACTTTGTGAAACACGATTTTATGACGAGTCTTGTGAACTAATGTGAACTGATTCGATGACTGATGGTAAATTTGATGTCTGTTTTGAGTTTTGACTGGAGAAGACTTTGTAAGTCTTACGACCAAACTGGTTAGGTCAACCGTTCTTACGATTAGGTCTACTTGTCTTGAGATTAGGATTTTGATCAGTATCAATGCCTGTCATTGCTTACTTGATTTTCAGCTTCTTTCTGGCTCTATTTTGGACTTTTATAAGTAGTTTTTGGCCAACTTTGTTATTAACAGTGATTTAAGCAGCTTGAGGCCAAAGGTAGATTCTTTGTAGATTGTAGATTGCAAATTGAAAGCTCATTTCTGGAGAATTTTGTTCAAAACACCTCTTTATGAAATAAATTAAACATCGAAAGTTAAAACCGTGCATTAAATTTAAAACTCATTATGCAAGTTAAAGAGATTTTCTGACCGGATCCAGGATTTACTGGATCTAGTGAACGGGTCACCGCTTGATGCCGGTTGTTTTCCCAAATCGTTGTCCTTTCACTCACTCAGCCCTACCTTTCTTTGTGTCTTCTCTCCCTTTTTTTGTCCCAATGCCCTCTGTTCTTTCTTTTCTTCAATGGCGCTTTCTTCACTTTTCTTCCCAATGGCTTTCCACTTCTTTTCACTGCTTTCCTCTTGCGATTCCCCCTTTTCCTCAATCCAATCCTCATTTTCCCATCGTGTCATCGACAACCTTGTCTCCCCCACTAGTCTGCCCCAATCCTTGCTTTTTTGATTAAACAAAAATTTGGCCAAGAAATTTAGTGATCTTGCTGAAGCTTCCATCTTTAAAAAAAATTAATTCTTATGCTAGAGTTTAGAACGTTATTGTACTGACAAATCCACTTTTTTTGAGTAAAACAAATCAGCCCAATGAACTCATTGCTTCGTTTTAGACATTTAAAGCTAAACATTCATCCAGTTTTATCCCAGATATTCCCAGTTTTATATTGTCCAGTACATTAGGGCGAATTAGATCCCAAACTTTTGACTTTATGTTTATGAAGTTGAGTCAAATTTTATGGCTTAATTAATCTCTCCTCATTCCAGGCTCGGTCGCGGCCGTGTGGTGGGCGCTCATCGGGCGCTGCCCGCGCACTCTCCGTTTGCCACCTACGGACAACTGCGAGAGTACTGGAGTGAATCGGTTGGTTTTTTTTGAGATTTTAGGTTACTAATTTACAGATTAGAGTGTTCATACCTATGTTCTTTTTTTAGTATGGATACACACTTCCACCACGGGATCCCGATTGCTACTATGATATCAAGTTCAACGGAATGAGGCACACGTTCTTGTAAGTTTGCTAGTTGCAACTGCTTAATTTCATCTTTCTTGTTCAAATTTATGTGGTTTCCCTTTAGATATCCGTATTTTCTCGTGTGGGCGCAAAAGCCGGAGCCAATCCATTTTATGGCATCAATGGAGCACGAGCGAAATGTTTGTTTAGAAATTTTTGATTAGATTAGTGATTTAATAGATTTAATAGATTTAATAGATTAGTGATTTGCTAAATTTCAGGCATGCAAAGAGTTTCTCGTGTCGTTGAAGAACTGTTGTCAGGGACGAGTGATTGGTGGCTTCGAAGTTGATGGTGGGGTTTAGAGAAAAACTTGATAGTCTAAAATTAAGCATTTTGGCATGTGAAGATAAGATTTCAGCAGCTTGAACACCGTCAAATTTTCCGTTTTAGTTAGACTCAAAGCCGGCGAAGTGAACAAGATCACCGCTTCTGTGGCCTCGTTGCAACAACGGCGACAACTAATGGTGCCGAAATTGGTGTGTTTTTATTTTGTTATTGATCTCTATAATACGTAAATCTTGAAATTTTGTTCCAATACTTGAAATTCCAATTCTCATAGAACCTAGGCTTACTTTTATGAAGCCATTAGTAATTCATTTCCAAAATTTTCAGGGTCCATTTCGACCGGATGCCCCATTTAAGCGGCCGATAATTGTCTCACCGGAGGGAAGTGAGGAAGAGGAGAGAGAAATGAAGCGGCAAGAGCAAAGACAAGAAGGATCACAACAAGGCCCAAGACTGCAACAACGAGCAGAAGTAAAGACTTGGAGAGCACAAGAAGAGCCACATCAGCGATCACAAGAGGAACAACAAGCCCAAGCGAAGTCTTGCAAGGTTCTAAAAGCCTCACAGCAACAACGATTGCCACTGCCATCGCCAAAATGGAAACCTTCCGTGAAAGTTGAGGAGGACTCGTCAAGTGAAGAGGATTTCCTGACCAGCAAATTATCGAGTGGGGTTTTTTGAAATTTGTTGGTTTAAACTTTTGAAACTTTGCATAGATTTTTGCTTTAAAAGGTAAAACTAGGCTCTAAAAATATGAATTCTATCTTTTCAGGCTCCCGTACCAACTTGGTGGAGAGTATCAAGCCGACATTTGGATATCAGAAAGTTTCTCCGGCTGAAATGGCAAAGTCTCTTGGGAAAAAGGTGCGTTTTAGCAAATTTTATCCACTTTGCTTTGTATTGGATAAACTTTTGAATAGATTTTGTTAAATTTCAAGCGCTTTTCAATACTTTTGTTTAGAGAGATTTCAACGCGAGTTTGACGAGCGATTTAGAGCCACTCGAGAAGAAGAAACGAGGATTTCTAAGGGAATTTCAGCACTCAAATGAAAAGGTATTCAATTAATTATTTGGCAAATTTTTGAGACTTTTTTCCAGTACTATATTAAATTTCACCCGTATCTGTCTCAAGATATCTTATGCCAAATTAGCAATTTTAAATCACTAACCATTTTTTTAGAAAACTTTCGCCGGTCCATCCGTCTCCTTTCAAGTTCCACAATCGGCCACTCAACTCGCGAAAGAACAGCCGGCTAATAAAGAAATGAAACTTAAGCAGGTAAAATTTGCAGAACTTTATCCAGATTTCTTGTTTTCTAGGTCTCCTTCTCGAAGCTGGCCGCTGATGCTTCAAAAAGTGTCGAAGATCCACCGCAAATGCCCGTCAAATCGTCTCTTTCGTACAAGCTGAAAAGGAGTTTCGAGGTGGCGGCGAAGGTGAGGGTTTGTAAATTTAGTAAAAGGCAGTTAAACGCGTTGGTTAGAGTTAAGATTTTAGCATAGCTTTTTATCGCTTTATGGCCTGCCTGGCCTCAAAAATTTTGTTTAGTTTAAGTATAGTTTAGCGCCAGGCTTATGGCCTAGAAGACCAGTCTGCCTATAAGCGATAGTGAAGAAAGTTTTAAGGCTTGTAAATCGAAGTTGGTGCTTTAAAAACGATTATCATACTACATCCTTTAATGTTTTCATTCAGACATCATTGGACACTTCAATGGCCACGAAGGATCTCGGTGATCGTGTTGATGAAGTGAGGCCATTGGAAAGGATTGAGCGAAAGAAAGAGAGGACACCTTTCACGACTCAGACGGCGATCCCGAAAAGATTTGGAGAAACCTTTCAACTCGTTCAAGCGACACCACCAAAGCCAAAGCCTTTGCTGAAAAAAGAACAGGTAACGTTTAAAGTTCACTGATGCAAACAGCTTTAAATTGACTCTTCTAGACCTTTGCCACTTCATCGCCAACCGGGAAGACCCTGAGAACACCGCTGCTGGATCTGAAGAATAAAACGATGCCATCTCAACGCGTCTCCCAGCCCAGGGCTGAGCCTAAAAACGAGAAAGTGGGTGGATTTTTATAAGCTAGAAGTGCCTCGGATTTTGAAAAATTCCTTTTTTATTTTAGACAAACTTTGCCACTCCATTGATGAGGAAGCCGGGTACATCACACGCTTCACAAGTCGTCATTGATGTGCCGAACACTCAACAGCGACCACCACCTGACCGCTCTCAACTCTCACAAGTGAATCCCAGCCAACCATATCGGGTTGTGCTGAGCGATGGGATCTATCCGATTGGATCAACTCCGGTGAGGCTTTATCCATTTATTATCAATCTAATAAGATGACAGGGCTTGGCTTGATCTATCTAGTTCTGACATGACCTACCCTGTCTTCAGACCAGGGATGTTTTAACCGGACTCTAGAACCTGTAAGCTAGGCGCTTACATCCTTACTAGTAAATCAAAACACACCAGTTGAGGTTAGGCAAATTTATATCTTTACTTATTCTTGATTCAAAAATAGCTTGATCCAAAAATAAATTGATCCATTCTATTTTCAGCGTCGTACGCCTCACCGCATGCCGAACATCGAATTCTAGGATCGGAATCGATTTGGTTTTGTTTTTTGTTAGCAAAATAGCTTTATTTCTTGATTCTCACAATAACCCTTACTCATAAAATGGTGTCATATTTTCTTTCCCCCTTTTCTTTTTACCTCTAACCTTCAGCAAAATGTGAGATTTATTCAGAAAGCTGGTATCCACAAAAAGAAATGTGCTAAAAGCTTTTCATTTGTTTCATTTGACTCATTTTCCTTTTCCTGTCGTTGGGTTGGGGCTGTTGATCTGTGCAAAAAAGCTTCTGTTTCTAATTGTGACTGTAATTTTGAGGATTTGTTTTTGAAGGTTTGTTTTTTACCTTTTTATGTAAATTTACTTTTGTTACCCGAAGCTCTTTTCCCTGAACAGATCTTTTTCAGCTCCGATCACTGAGCATTGTGATACTTTGTTTTTTGTGCAGGGCGCGGATTGTGCTCCTGGACTATTTCTTTATATGTGAACTCTCGTTATTTGGGGAAAACGTTGCCAGGCTAGGTTTTCTATAATTCCCGAAAAGCTTTACTTTGTCTCGACTGCTTTAAATTTTTGCGTTTATGAGGTAGATTTGTAGATTTTCCGGTACTTTGGCTACTTTAGACGAAAATTTGCGTTTAACTGGCAAATCTACATACGAACGGCGACGGTTAAATGCAAATTTACTGCTGTCTTTACCACGGAAAGCTACCGTAACCCAAAAGGTTTTACAACGTAATGCAAATTGAGCCAGATTGCGGGATAACCGTAAGTTGGTGTGTCCTTTAGCCGCCCGCTTGATTACGGTAGCTTTTTGGGCTAATGTCACAATGAACTACCGTAATCTGATCCTATGGAGTATACGGTAGCTAAAGTGTGAAAGGATTTGCATATCTTTATGACAATTTAAAGTACAGTACCCGCTTTCCCGGCTTTTCCCATCGCTTTTCAAACCCCCACACTGATATTTGGTCTGTGAACGATGTCAATCTGTGAGTGAAACCCCGAATTTTTTGATAAACCTCCCCCAATTTCTGATATGATAACTGTAGATCACACTCATTTCTTGAGAAAAAGAAGGTACACAACTGTAATAGTGTTAAAGTTTGATAGCGGTTTATGATATTTTTGTCTTGTTCTTTTTGTCAATAAATTGTTTTTAGTGTGGTTTCTGTCTTTTTGGAAAGGACGTTGTATTTGAGAGCGAAGAGATACTTTCAGTATCAATGTAGTCAAATCAAATAAAGCTACGGAATTGAGCGATACAGTAATACAGGGTGCGGCAAGAGTTCCGACACTTTTTCGAAGAGAAATAAAAGTTGCAAACTTTGGCAATGTTAATCAAAAGAACGATAACAAATTGTTTACTGAAGACAAAACTAACAAAAAATCATAACAAATATTCAAAATTTCTACCCTAGGCCTCGATGCACTTCTTCAATAGCTTGCTGAAGTTGCCGACGATGGTCGCGCATTGCTGAACAGTGATTTCAGCCCAGTCCCTCTTCAAAGTAACTTTCAAAGAATCCACGGAGTGAAATCTCTTGCCAGAGATCTTGTCTTCCAAGATCGACCAAACGGAGAAGTCCAGGGGATTCAAATCGGGGCTATTCGACGGCCAAATGTCCTTACCCCAGTAGCCCGGAAACAGCTGATTGCAGAGAGTCGAGAGTCGAGCGGACTCCATGGGCCGGCGCCCTGTCCTGCTGAGGGGTAAATCCAGTTTGTCCGAAGTGATTCGCTGCCCAGGGCTCTAAGATATCCTTTAACACCTTTTGCTGGTAGACCTTAGCGTTGATTTTCACATTTCGATCGATGAACACATGGGGCGTCTTTCCTGTGGCACAGATGCCGGCCCACACCATAACGGACTTCGGAAAATCTTGGTGGACCATCAATTTGACTGCCAAACTGTTTTTCAGACCTCACTTGAGAAGTTGGCGATGGTTTTGACGATTGTGGATCGGTTGAACGGTGAAGATCTTCTCATCTGTGAACACAACCTTGTCCAAACGACCAGCAGCGACCAGGTGCAAGATCTTCTTCGCTTTAGCCATCCTCTTTTGCTTCATGGCGTCGTTCAGGAAATGAGCCCGAGCAAATTTGTAGCTGGACATTCCAAGTTTCTTATGAACAATCCTTCGAACGCTTCTTTCGCTGATTCCGAGGCTTGTGGCCATCTTTCTCATTGAACGAGTGGGATTTCGACAGATTCGGCATCTGACTTTGTTCATGTTCTATGGGGTGACGGCTGTGGTTGGTCGGCCGCTTCTTGGACGGTCCTGATCGTTGCCCTGCTCCTTGAATCGTTCAATGGCTCGATAGACAGACTTTTTTCGATATCCGGTGACTCGAACAATCTCCATCGGTATCTTTCCGGCTTTGTGCAACTCAAGTATCACAGTGCGCCTCTTTTTAGCATCCAAATTGAAAGCGAACCTAAACAAAAACGTTGTTTCTTGTTAAAAATAAGGAAAAACAGTTTAACAAATGCTAAAAAACAAAAAGTGAGCCAAATACTGTTTTTTGAAATTTTATACAGCCGTTTGAAAAAAGTGTCAGAACTTTTGCCGCACCCTGTACAAGCGCGAAAACGTTTGTCCCAAACTCTTGGTGTTAGCTAGTTGACTTTGCATCAATCAAACAAATTCATGGCTCTCAGGCGCTCATGGCTTTATTCATGGCTTTATTTGTTACATGGTTAGAATCGTATTTACGCGCGGTTTAAAGGGGTTGGCGCGGAAGCAAGCGGCGCGCTTTCTAAAGCGTGGATACGCTACCCTACCCCGCATGAAAATTCCCCTTGGCCATTCCCTGATGGAATCGTGAATGTTGTTTGGTTTTTTTGCCGAGTCCCGCTTGTTTCTTTCCCCTTGATAAAATTTAATATGCTTTGTGGCGTGTTTTTAAAGTATAGAAAAGGTGTTTTATTTCCATATCCCGATTCAAAAACTGAAAACCGTTTTTGGCTGATCCTTACCGTTTTCTAGAGCTGAGAACCCGGTTTGGAATGGAAAATCGGGTTTTTCGAGGTTTGGACCCATAACTTCTTTTGGGTTAGAGATCTAAAAACCATTCTGATTTCAAAAATCTAGCTTGAATTTGTGAAAAAAGTTATTTCGTAGTAAGGAAATCATTGATTTATTCGTCACATATTCGCCCTAAAAATCACATTCTTTTTTTCAGCGATAAAACTTTAAGGATCTAGCTGTCAAGTATAAATTAGAAAAATCAGAAACGAGAAAAAAAAGGGTTTCTTTAATTCATGCCAATTGTGGCAGCTGTTAATTCGATAGAGAAAAGCGTCTGGAGGCCGATGAAAGTAAAGGATCTCGCCATTCTCCCCAAGTACGAACTTCTTAACAAGTGGAATTTGAGCTTCAAGGAAGATAGAAGTGAGTTGCTCGTAGCTCAGATCCGACCTGCTCACTAGAGCCCCTTCACATTGAATGCTAAGAAAATCATTGAAATGATTGCTCCTCACGAAGAATTTCACACAATCCACAAAACTCGCCCCATTATCGTAACATAGTATGGGCAAGGCATCTTCTTTCATTAACAAAAGCTTTTCTTTGATAAGGTCAAAAGGAAGAAATCCCTAAATAGAGGCGCTCACAGAGCGCCCAGCGATTCTCCATAAATCGCAGAACTCCACGATGAACGTCACGAGAAACGTCACGATTGCCATGTGGAAAGATGATTGCCACGCTTTTGCAGACTGGGATCGCATTATACATTGAGAGAAGCGAGCGAGTGACGCTGGAATCTTCATTGAATTCGAAGCGTACGAGTTTCAAAGGTTTTCCCTTATTAATCGGCAAAAACTTCTGGACATCAAATTTTGGGGAACTCGTCCCGTATTCATCAAGACAGCATATTTCCAAATTCGCGAAATGTGCGAGCCTTCGAAAAAGTCGCCCGTGAAGGGGATTCAATCGCACGTGAGATCCATCTCGTTCGTACGCGTTACTGTTTTGCTCGAGAAAGAAAGCTCAAAGTTATCTCTTGTTAACAAACTGCCACAACGTAAATAAATGCGAATCGCACTTGCCGTTCAATGCAGTTCTGATCCGACATTCCTTTTTTTTCCATAGGCTTCCGCGGCATCACCTCGAAAGGCCGGAGACTGGGGCCTGGTCCTAACTTGACACCTTGGCCTGACCTGGCTTAACTCCGGTATGAATTAGTGGAAGAAAATTCCAACCGGAACCAATTTTCCATAGCTAAAAGGTAGCTAAAATGTTTCCCCATCTCAGCTGAGCCTGAGTATACGGTAGCTGAAATATGAAATAATTTCCATATCATTATGGAAATCTTTATGGAAAATTTAAAGTACAGTACCCGTTTTCCATTTTCCGGCTTTTCCTTTCTTTCTTTTCGAATCCCCGCATTGATTTTGTCTGTGGTGAATTTTCACACTCTCATTGATTCTGAGACCAGATGTGAAATTTCCAAATAGAAGGCAAAATGTCACTACAATTACGTTCGCGCTGCTTTGCTTTGGGCATTTTTCACGCCTTTAGCCTTCCAATCATCCAAATACATAACTTTTTCTCTAACAAAAAAAATTCATGACTTTCCAAAGTTTCCCCTCTTTGCCGTCTCTTCTCAAAACAGGGATTCTGCATAAATTGAAGGTGTTAGAGGCACATCAATTGCTGAAAGTGAATCACGATCTGCGCTCATTCGTCCTATTTTGTAGGCTAATCCCCTCAAATTTCGAAAATGTTGAAGTGCGACTGTTCAACCCGGAAATAGATCAGGACAACGGACGAATTGTGGCAAATGGGATTGGCATTTCTTTATTTTATAACAGTAAATCACGAGAAGAGTACTTTTGGCTTAGTTTTTTGAGCGACGGGATCTCGCGCCGTGGAAGTAGTGTGACGGTGCAGGTGAATCCCCTTCACGGGCGACTCTTTCAAAAGCTCGCACATTTCGCCAATTTGGATATAAGCTGTATTGAAAACAACACGAGTTCCCGAAAATTTGATGTCCAGAAGTTTTTGCCACTTAATAAGGGC